CAGGTGGTCGTGGGCCGGGCTGCCGACGAGGCCGTGAGCGATCGACTGCATGATGGTGCAGTCAAAGAGCACGGGCTCCTGGCCCACGACGCCGATCTGGGAGCGCAGCCACCGGACGTTGATGTCGCGGATGTCGATGCCGTTGATGCGGACCGAGCCGGCCGTCGGATCGTAGAAGCGCTGCGCGAGGGAGGCGATCGTGCTCTTGCCAGACCCGCTCATGCCGACGATTCCGACGCGCTGGCCGGCAGGAACGTCGAGGTGCAGCCCGTCGAGCGCCTTGCTGTCGGGGCGAGCCGGGTAGACGAAATCGACGCCGTCAAACTGCACGGCGATGCTGGCAAAGTCGCCCGGCTGCGGCACGAGGCCTTGCTTTTCGTCGGTGCCGTCGATGGGCGACTTGGTCTCGATCGTCTTGAGCAGCGCCTGACCCGCGCCCGAGGCCGACGAGAACGTCTGCAGGTACGGCGCAATCTGGCCGATGATGAACGAGGCGTCGAGGAGGAGGAAGATGACGGTGTAGACGGCGCCGACGGTGCCGCCGTCGCCCGAGCTGGCGATGAGGCGGCTGCCCGAGAAGAAGGCGAGGGCGTTGGCCGAGTAGCCGACAAAGAAGAGGCAGCCGAGCACCAGGGCGGCGCAGAGGGCCTTGCGGGTGCCCTGCTTGCGCGCCAGCTCGAGGTGGCTCTGGTAGATGTTCGAGAGGCGCTTCTGCGAGCCAAAGGCCTGGACGACCGACAGGTTGTTGAGCGCCTCCGAGGCCAGGCTGGCCGCGTGCGACAGGTGCGTCGACGTGTTCTTCTGCGCCTTGGCCACCAGCTTCGACCCGATGATCGAGATGATGGCAAACGCCGGCAGCAGCGAGACCAGCTGGCCCGCCAGCACGGGAAGCTTGATGAAGGCCACGATATACGACGTGACAAAGTACGAGAGCGAGCTTATCATGATGCCGACCTTTTCCGAGGTGCCGTTCTGGATCGTCAGCAGGTCGGCGCTGAGGCGCGTGCCCACCTCGCCCGGCTTCATGGTATCAAAGAAGGCCATGTCCTGGCGCAGCACGCTGCTGAGGTAGCGCTCGCGCATCTTGCGGACCAGCCGCTCGCCGAGGTTCGACCAGCACGTCGTGTACGTCCAGATCAGCACAAAGTTGACCGCGGCGATGATGGCGACCAGCTTGACCTTGTCGTTGACCGACGACGTAAAGTCGCCCGCCGAGCCGCCGCCGCCGCTTGCGCCTTGGGTCGCGCACGAGCTCGCGTTGAAGCTGTCGATGAGCTGGCCGAACAGGATGCCGATCAGCGGCAGCGGCACGCCGGATCCGATCGCGGCGACGATGCCCACGGCCAGGAGCATGTAGTCGGTGCGGTCGGCGTAGCGGTAGAGCGAGAGGTAGTTGGACGTCATCTTGATCCTCTGCCACGTCGATGGCGTCTGCTCCTCGTCGTCGTCGTCGTCGTCGCCGCCGCCACCGCCATCGCCATCGTTCCCTCCCGGTCCTTTGGAACTCGGCGTGTCGGCCTGGGGGGCGGCCGAGGTCGATGTTGCCGGCTGCTCGCGAGAAGCATCGCTATCCCGCTCCTCGTCGATCCTGGGCTGTTCGGGCGCCGCCTTTTTCGCCTCCCTGACCTCTGGCTCTGCAGCCAGCGATGACGAGGACGTGGGGCGCGGCGAGTCCCAGGGATACGCGGTGCGTTGACCCGCGCCGACGCCGCGGTCGCTCGCCGCGTCGTCGGTGGGACCGGCCATGGACGCGGACGGGTGGGGTAGCGCGGTGCCGGGCGCCGCATTCGAGAAGAGGAAGGTCTCGCGGCTCTGGGACCACGCCAGGTTGGCGTCATTGTGCGAGTTGGACCGCAGGCGGCCGGTGCGGGAGCCATTCGTGATGCGGGAGCCGTGTTGCAGCGTCGGCTGCGCCAGGCTGGGGCGATGCGGTCGGTCGGCGCTGGCGTTGGAGTTGGATCTCTGGTGCCGAGTGGCGCGCCTGCCGAGGTAGCTGTCGGTGCGCTTGACGCCGTTCATGGCGTCAAAGTCGTCGTTGCCGCCGTTGTCGTGGTCGGCGTGGTCGTCGTCGTCGTCGGCCCACTTGATGCGGTGTGGGTAGTCGTGGTGGTCGTCGAAAGAGTAGCGGACGGTGGGGGTTTCGTGGCCCTGCTTTTGGATCTGGGAGAGGAACGAGGCCGAGAGCGACTCGGGACCTAGCTGTCCGGGACGCTTTGGTGGCGGAGGGTCGTTGACCGAGGCGGCGGTGGACGACGAGGAGGAAGAGGGCGAGGGAGACGCGGTGCGGTCCGCGCGACTGTGGTGGCCGGGCTCGTGTATTTCAACATGGCGGCGAGAAGGAGCGCCCGAAGCTCGCTCGGCAAGTGGGCCGTCGCCGGCGGCTTCGATGGCGTTGGACGGGAGGGCGGGCGGCAGCGGTGTCGTTGTCGCCGCCGCTGTCGTCGAAGCCGGCGTGGCTGTGGCCGTCGCCGACCCAGGAGCGGAGGTTGGTGCGCCTAGATCCGAGGAGGACTGGGCGTGCAGCGGTTGGGCGGACCCTGACGAGGCACGTTGTGCGGGCTGGTCGCGGTCGTTTGTGGTGCTGGCGGGCAACGTCATGACGTTTGGCTTTGTCGCGGCGCTGGGTCGATGGTCGAGGGCGAGGCAGCCGGGGCAATATTGCAGCGCAAGCGAGCACTTGGGCGGGCCGAACCGACGTAGCAAGGCTCTGCCTTACGTACGTGCTCTGCCGAAGAGCTCTGACGGGTGCGCTTGGGAAGCCGTCGAGCTTCAGTTCCGTGCCCGGCCTCAATCGGCAGTGGGCTCAGATTGCGCACCTGCAAAGAGCCTGAAGGCGGCGCAGGGCCGAGGTTGGAGCACGGCGAGGACGGGGCGTCAGTTGGTCGGATCATGGCGAGGACGGCCTGGGACCCCTGCGGTGGCAAGGCGGCGAGGTGAGGCAAGGGCGGAGGCCAGATCGAGGCAGAGGGCCCAAGAGGTGGAGGCAACTCACCGCGCGGAGGTTTTTGGAAAAAAAATCGCCCGAAACCGCCGACGAAAGGCGGGCACCGAGGCAGAGGCACGAGCAAACCACCTGAAAGCAAGCAGGCAGACAGGGCAGATCGGATGATATGACGCCCGCTAAGTGCCGACGATCCCAGATCTCAACCAGGCTGGCCGATGGCTGGGCGCACCAAACCAAGCAAGCACGAGGGCGAGGCAAAGGGCGGTCGAGGCGGGCGCGACGGCGTAGGCTGTCCTGCCTTGTCTGTCCTGTCCTTGTCGTCACCGCTGTACAACGGCCAGGGAATTGCGAATTCGCTACCGCCGGCCTCGTCAGCCTTCTTGGTCGATGCTGGCTGAATCCACCAGCCGTCGACAATAGTGCAAGCTCAAGGTAGCCGGTATCGTCCTCGTGCTTGCGTTTTGATGCGGGCTTTCTCAACAGAGCCTACGTGCGTGGTCCCGATGGCAAGCCGCCGATCCTGATCGTCCCGATGGATGGATGGACGGATGGCTGACCGACTTCTTCCAGACCAGAAGCGAGGATCCAAGGCGGGTGCGGAGTGGTCGTCGACGGTCGTCCGTAGGCAAGCTCGGATCGCAGCTTCTTGTCCGTGTCGTCCGATGTTCGTGTATGGTATCCCCGAGCGTCGTTCCGGGCAAGGCGGGCGGAGACTTCGGGAGAGAAGGCAACGATGGCACGGCGGGAAGGTGGTGGTGGTGACGAAGAGAGGTGGGGCGTTGCTCTGCCAAAGGACGGTACGGTGGGGACGTGGGTTAAGAAGAAGATGAAGGCCGGGGGCGGCGGTGAGATGAGACGACGAGGGCGCAAGCAAAAAGAAGCAAGACGAGCAGGCAGGCAGGGCAGGTGCCAAGACGCGCGGATGGTCGCAGGAGGGCCTGCCTTTGCTTCCTGACGGTGCTCTACATGCAGAGTACATACGCGGGCGAGGCTGGCCTATCAGATGCGGCCCTGGCCCGTCACCCGCGACGACGCCGACGACGACACGATGTTGGCCTTGGCTGTGACCCGGTTGCGCCCTTCCTCTAGCGCCGTTTCGTGCTTCCTAGCTTTAGCCTGCTGCTGCTGCTGCTGCTGCTGCTTGATCAGAGCGAGAGAGAAAGAGGCTAGGCCGGCAAGGGGCGAGTCAGCCCGCCTGCCTGCCCCACCTCTGAGCCGCCGTGCCTATCAGATCCCAGCGTGCGCCATCTGATTAAAGTTTTTTCTTCTCGCCTTGCTTGCCTTGCCTTGGCTGCGCTAGCCTGATAACCGAATGCGCGCTGGAACGCAGCAGCGGGCAGGCAGGCTAGAGGCCTGGCTGCGCGCCGCTCGACAACGGCAGCCGTGCGTACGTGCGGTGCGTGCGTATGCGTGTGCAGCTCGTCGCCTGCCTCTGTAGCCTGGCAAGCCGGTCTCTTCCGCTCCCTAGGCCTAGCCTTGCTTTCTGCCCTGCCCTGAGCCCGTCCAGCCAGCCAACCAAGCTTGTTGTCGGTTGAAAAGGCAAAGGCTAGGGCCAGGCGGCGCTCGGGGCAAAGAACGCCGCAAGTTATGCCCGCCCGCCAAGCGCTGCGGAGCTGGAACCACATGTACGCACGCACGCATCTGACGCAAGCCTGCCTGCCCCTTCCAGCCTGGGCGGCGCTATCTGCGCGAGCCCGCATCGCTTCCGCCGATCTTGCCAGCCATCTCGGCCTTATCAGATCCGATCGTCCCCACTTTGCCCACCTCTCGCGCCTCCGGCTATGGTGGCCCGCCGTCCCCAGCCAGCCACCTCCGTCACCTCCCTCCGGCACATCAACCCACGACGAGGGATGCACATCTCTTCTAGCACCTGGGAAGCCCACTCAGGCATGCACCACCTTCACTACATTGCCCTCTCGGCATCTCAGGCGCATCCTCCTGCCAGGCTGTCTCCATGCTGATTCGTCCCTTGTCGTACAATGTCGTGTCACACCATCGGCCTGCCAGGCCGCCATGCTTTCCCCTCGCTCGCGCCGACCCGCCCCGCCCCGCCCTGCTACTCTATCTCTGCTTCCCTGCTCTTCTTCGTCCGCTTGCCAACTGCCGACCCGGCGCCTGCGCTCCCGCTCGTCTTCTTCTTGCCCTTGGCACCGCCCACGGCCTCGGCCTTCTTCGCCGCCACCGGCTCTGGCGGCGATCTGGCTTGCTCCGCCTCGGCCCCTCTCGCACTGGCACTCGCGCCGCCCGCATACGCCGCGTCCCCGCCACGGGCCAAGAGCCGCAGCCAATCGTCGCCGACTTCACCCTTGAGCGCCTCGATCCGCCGTCGGAACGCCTCGGACCGTTCAGCGCCGCTGGGCCCCACCTCTCCGCTCGCCGCCTCCGCCAGGCTGGGCAGAGGGCTCCTCGCGGCTTGCGCCTCCCCGCCGTTCGGAGATCCGGCCTTGGTCGGAGACGAGGCGCCGCCAACAGGCTCGCCAATATCCCCCAGATCGACCGAGCTGGGCTCGTACAGGCTGGCGGTCACCTTGGACCGCCGGGCGAGCGCCGCCGCAGAGCTCGTCCCTGGCCGCGGAACCCGCAGTCGCGCCGTGGCCTGAGCCTCGCTGGCATCGGCCCGACGCCCGTAGCTGTCCGCGTCAACCAGTCCGCCCCCACCAAAGCCGCCGCCGCCGCCACTGCTGCTCCCGCTCGAGGATTCAAACAGGTCGCCGCCGGGAATGCTCGCATCGCGCAGGAAAGCCAGACGGCCTCCCGACCGCCCGACCGTGTTGGACCCGCTGTCCCTGCGACGCACCGTCTGTGGTTTGCTCTGTGAGGACGGCGTGGCGTCAGCAGTGGTGTTGGAGCGCCCAAGCCGGGGCGAGGCCAACGGCAGATCGCCAAGATGTGGCGGGATCGCGAAGAGGTTCTGAAAGGCCTCGCCACCTCTCGAGGAGCTCGCCGATGGCCCGGCTCCACGTGCGTCGGACGCGGCCGGCGATGACGATGGCCCCGGCTCGTCCATGCTGAGCGACGCGGCAGCTGCGCCCGCCTTCTTGCTCCACGTCAGCCGCGAGTTGCTGGCCAGGCTCGGCGCCGTGCCGCCACCCGACGACAGGTACATGGAGCTGGGTCGCTGGAATTGCCGCGAGGGCGATCGAGGTGCGACCCGTCTTGTGCTCGTTGCCGCAGTCGGTGCCGCTGCCGCTTCGTTGTCGCTGGCTTCGACGTCCGTGGCGGGTGCCGAGGCCATCTCAGAGGCTACAGGCGGCGTGGATGCAGGTACTGGCGATGCGGCCCCCTTGCCGTTGCCCTGGGCCGCCTGCTTGATGAGATCGGATTCCGACATCGGCTTGATGCCAGACTTGGACTGCGAGGCGTCGTGCGCGCCAGCATCGGCTGCGGCCACGGCCTTCTTCGGCGTGCCCTCCAGGTCCACCACTCTCCGGTTACGGCGACGAGCAGCCGCCGCCGCGTTGTCCTTTGATCCATCCCGGGCCATGGCGGCCGATGGGCCCTCGACCGCCGTCGGTGGTGCTTGATCGACTTGCGCTGCCTTGCGGTCCGGAGACGACGTCGACGTGGCAGCCACCGCGTCCTTGGCACCGCGCCTCTTCTCGGCACCCTTCCTCTGCGCCGTCGATCCGCGATGCTTGACGGATTTGACGACAGCTTGCGCCTGCCTGGCCTCGAGCTCCGCCCGCGCCTCCTCCTCGGCCGCTGTGGCGCTGCTCTGCGACCGCCGCGCCGCCGAGTCGAGCACGTGCATCGCGCTGGGCACCTTTTCGGCGATGCGCTGGCGCTCAAAGAAGCCCGGGCCTTCGCCGTCGAGCCCCACGCTGCGCCCTTCCTTGGCAAACTCGACAAAGCACTCGACGCGGTAGTCGAGCAGCTCGTCTTCGAGCGGGTTGTCCTTGATCCAGACCTCTTGGATCGACGGCAGCGGCGCCAGCCTGCCGACCTCGCCCGCCTCGTAGATGCAGTTGGTGCGCAGGTCGATGCGCTGCAGCGTGTACAGGCGCTCCAGCCCGCACAGGCTCTCGAGCCGGTTCTTGGCCAGGTTGAGCACCTTGATGGCCTTGAGCGTGTCGTAGATGCCCAGCACCGAGTCGATCAGGTTGTCGTTGACGTTTAGCGAGGTGAGGTTCGGCAGATGGGCCAGCGCGGGCGGGACGACGTTGAGCAAGTTCGACGAGAGGTCGAGGTGGGTGAGGCCCTGCATGGCCTTGAGCGGCATCGAGGGGACAAAGGTGAGGCTGTTGTTGGAGATGTTGAGGTGGCGCAGGAAGTGCCAGGAGAGAGACGGAAGCTCTGGCGGCGGCGAGGGCGACACTGGTCTCGAGATCGTGCCCTCGGCCTCGGCACCGGCCGCTGTCCGTGCCGGAGCATCGATGTCGGTGTCGGCGTCCGTCTCAGTCTCTGTCTCAGTCGACGAGTCGACGACGCCACGATAGAGCTTGCGCTTGGGCAGATCAACTCTTTCGCCGCGCCGCCGCCGGGCGTCGAGCACGACGAGGTTGACGGCCAGGTCCGTGAGATCCTCGAGGCCGCTCTTCTTGCACGTCAGGCTGCGCAGCTGCATGCTGGCCCTGTCCCAGCCGATGAGCGTGCGCGGATCGACGTCCTCGAGCTCGAGGAAATGGAGATTCTTGAAGACGTCGAGCGGTACTGCGCTCTTGCCCGGGCAGTCCTCAAACTCCTGGATCAGCTTGGTCGCGGGAATCGGCCCGAGGCGCAGCGAGGGGATCTTTGTGAGCGCGGCGTAGATGTACTTGATGTCCTTGTTGGGGTCTGGGGGATGGCCTGCGCTTGCACCGCCCCACCAGGACGACGAGCCGAGGGAGAAGGACGAGGAGACGACGCTCATCCGGCTGCGGAACGACGACATGCTCATGGTGTCGTCCTTGTCCCTCGCGGGGGCGGATACATAGGAGAAGTAGGAGGTCGGCCTTGCCGATGCGGGGATCTTGATGTCGAGCGATCCGACGGGCAGGCCGAGCGCTTCGAATTGGATCAGGAGGTAGTACAGGTAGTGTGGGTTGAGGCGGAGGGTGAGGGGCCGGATGGGCTGCTGCGAGGAGCGGCCGTTGCGCGTTGCGGGGGCCGGCACTGCCGTTGCGGTGGATCCAAGTCCTACGACGCTCCAGAGCGACGAGGCGATGCCGCCACCGGTCGTTGCTGGGGCGTTGGCTGCCGTGCTGGTGATGAGGGCCTTGCGGGCGGCATCGCCGAGCTTGGCCTCGTGCACGCGGATCCAGGCGGCATAGTCGGCGACCCACTTTTCACCCTTGACCGTGTCCATGGCGGGCAGACGTGCGATGGCGGATATGCTGTTATCTGCAGGAGTCTGTAGCAGCAGATGGATGAGAGATGCGGGGCGCGTCGTGGCACTTTGGTGTCGCTATGCTCGGCGGCGACGACTCCAGTGCGGGCGGCCCCCGACCAGACGGGCGGACGAAGGGTTGAAGATGGCCGGGCGACGGCGGGTATACGATACGATTGAGAAGGTATGACGGCTGCGGAGGTCGAGGCAGGGATGAAGGGCTCGAGGGAGAATGGTGCTTGGTGATGATGGTGGTGGTGAAGGTGGTGGTGGTGGTGGTGGTGGTGGTGGTGCAGGCGGGGTCGAGGTTGAGGTCTGGCCATAGGGGGGGTCCATGCGTAACTCTAGCAGCGGCTCAGGGTCCAGCGCCGAGGCAGGCTGGCGGGCTCAGCCTCACCCGCGAGCGGCGACAACCGTACGTCCCTCTGTCCTTTCGCACGATTGAGGGCCTCTTTCTCCACATTCAAAGACCCATGGCCGCCTGTGACCCCCCTACTTCACCACCGCCCCCCCCTTCCTCTGTCCACCACCATCAGCCCCTGCACCCGGCCACCTCGATACGACTGTCCGACATGAGCGAGGTCAAGCTCAAATCAGAGCCACCATCCGCCTCCCATGGCGCGGCAGGCCCGTCTTCAGCGACGACTCCCGCCCAACCCCCTCGCATCGAATCCGCCCTGATGCGCCACCTCGACATCCCCTCGAACCCCACGGCGCCTCCCGACTACGGGCCCGCACTCGCCTACGCCCAGACGAGCCAGGCGCGCAACTGGCGCTTCACCCCAAACAGGCTTGCACAGATGCGCCAGACCAACAACCTCACTGCCAAGAAGCGCCTCGAGAAGATCTGGAATGACGAAAAGGTGAGCATGCCACCCCACCGTAGCTCTGCGCTGGTCCATGTCAAGTGGGCAAAGCGAACTGACTCGCTCCACCGTCCTCTTCAATCAGTCGGGAGCAGCTTCCTCGTCAACGCCCTCCGACGTCCCGTTCCTCTCGGTATCCGACGAGCTGGCCCTCCTCACCTACTATCTGATCCAAGTCGGTCGCATCGTCAAGGCCTTTGCCCTGCCAGAGCTCATCGAGGCGACGGCCATGTCGTACGTCAAGCGCTTCTACCTGCGCAACACCTGCATGGACTTTCACCCAAAGAGCATCGTGTACGTGCCCGTCCGGTCTCGGTCTTTGCACCCGAGGCTCCGTCCTGGCGGTCCCCTGGCCACCGCTGATCCATAACGCTGCGTTCCGCTTCCATCGATCGCGCCTCGACCTTACACCCATACAGAATCACCAGCATCTACCTCGCGACGAAGACGGAAAACTACCCGCAGTCGCTCTCGTCCTTTGCCAGGAAGCTGGCGGGCAAGGATCCCAAGCCCGAGGTGGTCAGGGACAACGAAAAGACGATCCTCGATCTCGAGTTCCTCGTCTCTCAGAGCCTGAGCTTCGAGTACTCGACCCACGGCGCCCACCGGGCCCTTCACGGCCTTTTGCTGGATGCACAGGTGAGCAGCGAGACCCGCTCGTCCTGGCGAGCCCGAAGACGGGGGGACTGGGAAGCACTGCTGACCGCTGCGTCTGCCTGTGCGTTCGCTTCGCAGACCCTGGACAAGCCGCCGTCGCGAGAGGCCGTCCATGCCCTCGCAGCATCGAGCCAGAAGAACCTGACCAACTCGCGCCTCACCGACGCCGAGTTCATCTACACGCCCACGCAGATCGCCCTCGCGTGCCTGCGTGCGTCCGAGGGTGTCGGGGCATCGGGCAGGGACATTGTCGAGCAGTGGCTGGACCAGAAGGAGAGCAGCGCGCGTGCCGCGCAGCTGGCGGCCAAGGCGGCCAGGGACAAGACGCGATCCGACGAGCGGGAGCGCTTCGCCCGCGCCAAGATGGCCGCAGCACGCAAGGCTCGGGGCAAGGCGGGCGTCAAGGTGGCCGAGGACGAGCTGGCGGCGGCTCCGGCACCCGCCGTCGTCGAGTACGACGACGCGCTGCTGGCGCAGCAGCCGCTGGGGATGGGGCGCCAGGAGCTGCACGGTATCCTCGACGAGATTGAGAAGCTCTTCCGGGACCGCGAGACGGGGGGCTGCACGGGGCTGGGCAAGGGCGACGCGGACAAGGCCAAGGTCGTCGAGATCGACAAGCGGCAGAAGGAGTGCAGCAGCCGGCTCTCGCTCAAGCGCAAGGCCGACGAGGAGGCCGTGGCGTCGCAGAGGCGGGCCAAGAAGGCGGCGACGGCCAAGCCGACGACGATCAAGGATCCCTTTGACGACGGGGGTCAGTCGTCTGCTGGGGGTGCAGGTGGCGGTGCGGGTGGCCTCTTTGGTGCCGAGCTGCGCAAGCAGGCCGACAACGGCGGCACGAATGGCGGCACAGAGACGGGCGGGGCAAAGGGCGAGGACGAGCGGCAGCAGCGGCAGCAGCAGCAGCAGCAGCAGCAGCAGCAGCAGCAGCAGCAGCAGCAGCAGGCACCGGCACCCGTCGACAGCGACGACGAAGACGTGCCCGTGTCAAAGGACTTTGCCGTCAAGCCGGACGCCGAGGTCTGACTGCGCTCGCCGACATGTACCTTAGCCGGCCCCGATTGCGCGTCCGTATGACGCTGTCGAACCCATCCCGTCTGTTGCGTCCTGTACTCGCCTGATATGATGGTCTTGTGTCAGCAGCGAATAGCGGTCGGAGGGGGCTAGTACTTAGTGAAGTCAGGTGTGGCGTAGCCGTGATCCTGCCAGACCGACTGACATCGGAACGAGACGTCGGGCAGCGGCGTGTGGCGCGCAGGCCGTGTGGAGGCTCGGCCTGGCCAGACCCTTTGGCTGTGCGGGCGCGGCGGGGCCAGGCAGGCAGGGAGAGAAGGCAGGGAGAGCAACACCCGGCGCGGCCGTCCTTTTCTTCTCGTCCACCATTCTCCACCACCGCCACCATCGGGGAGCAAAGCAAAGCAAAGCAAAGCAAAGCCAAGCCGGGCAACATGTCGTCGTCACAAGCAGTCAACCCGTAAGAGCGAGACGCGCGCGACGCCTCGCGGGGATGTTCCCGTCGCCCTCTCTCTGCCTGACACCCGCTCTGGCCCCCCTCCCCCCCTCTTCACCCGATCAGGATCCTCGCTCTCGTCTCTCAAGCCGACACATTAGCAACGGGTGAGGCTGCCCATGCCCCTCCTCCCTCCTCATATCCATTCACATCCCATCTGACACCACCGCCATCCCGCTTCTACCCACCGCGTCCACCACCAACAGCATTCACACAAACGCACGTCCAATCCCTCCCCTTCGCCCGGGCGCTGGCGGACCCAACGGCGTCGGAGGAGACGCAGGAGCGCAACCTCTCGGCGCTGCGCGCGGTGCTGGAGCGCCTCGAGCAGGTCGTGGCGCAGATGATGGAGATGCTCTACCGCGTCGACCTCTTCCTCTCGGAACCCACCCGCCCCGGTATCTCGGGCTACGATCCAAAAGAGGCATGCAGGCACGTCTCGGAACTCTTTCATGTTCGTTGCCCCTTCTCGTCTCGTCTCGTCTCGCCCAGTCTGCTTCGTCCACCGCCATCGAGGTGGCAGTGAGCCCCTGTCCTTCGCTGCGTGGATACTGATACGCTCGCCCCCCTTTTCTCTCTCTTGCCTCCCACTTCTCCATTGTCGCTGCTTCGACTCCCGCTACTCCCCCTCCGCGCCAACCGGATCGCCGTCGTGGCAGATGTACCAAGCCGAACTGCTCAGCAAGCGCGAGCTCCTCGCCGAGTTTACCTGCGAGGACATTACGGCCGACGAGTTCGTGCACAGATGGCAAACAATGGAAGAGGTGCGCCGTCCCCTCGTCTTAAGAAACACCCGGCCAGGACAGGACTGACGATACCTTCTCGCCTCGCCTCACCTCTCTACTCTGGACACACACACGCACAGGTGCAGCAAGGAAAGAAGCAGGAGGTCGATGACCTGGCCGACATGTTTGCCAGCTTTTCCTAGGGCGACAGAGAGGCGCAGCGGCGGGCCTGGCTGGTTACATTGCACAACGCACACAGAGGACGTCATTCCGAGTCCCCCTTCCCACTCCAAATGCAAAAAAGACGTCGGCGGCCGGACTGGACTAGAGGTAAGCCTTGATGGCCTCGGCCAGCTCGTGGCCCGCCTTTGCAAAGTCGACGGGCGCGGCGCGGCTGATGGTGTATCGCACCCTCGTCGTGTCCTGCGAGTCGGAGGGGGAGTTTGTCGGTCGTCGGTCGTCGGTCAGCGGCGGCTCTGCGTCAGGGCGTGAGTGCGCACACGCGCTCTGGCGCCAAAACTCACGTTGAATGTGTCCTGCTTGGCGCGGCAGTTGAACATGTACATGCGGTTGGCCGCGCGGTGAAGGACGGCCGTGTACTCGCTCTCGTTCTCCTCCTGTCCGTCCGACGAGGCACGCCACCAGATGAGGAAAAGCGGGCGGTCCAGATCGTCAGCATGAGCCAAGGAGGGAACGGAAAAGGTGTTCACGGCCGACAAGGCCCACGGGGCCACCACACCCACCCTAATCTGGTAGAGCTCGCTGGCCGTCTTGCCAATGATCTGCTCGGCATCATCGTTGAAGCCACTGAGCCACATCTGGCCGCTCATGTCGGCGACATTGGTCGAAAGCAGGTAGCTGTGCGGACCGAGAGGAGAGAAGAGAGGTGGAGCGGGGCGGAGCGGGGCGGAGCGGGGCGAAACGGAGCGGTGCCGGTCAGCATCGTCGGCCCCTCGGGTCGCGCCTGACCCCACGCACGCGCGCTGCTCACCGGTACTGGGGCTCCTCGAAGCTCTTGTCGCACTTCTCGCACCGCCACAGCCCGTCGTTCTCCTGGTTGACCTTCTTGTTGCACGAGTCCGACGGGCAGGCCGTGTACCACAGGTTGTCCTGCTTGATGTAGACAATCGTGGCGCGAATGTTGAAGTAGTCGGGTTTCTCGCTCATGCCCAGGTTCTCGTCGCGCACCTGGGCGATGGAGCGCCGCTCGGCCAGGTTGCCTCCGGCTCCCGCGCCGCCGGCGCCCGCCATGCCCACGTTGCTGTACGGCTTAAAGTTGGCCGTGGCGCCGTCGTTGTCGTACCAGCCGCGCAGGCCGTGCGACTCGGGAATGTCTGGGTTGACCATCATCGTCGAGCTGCCAAACATGCTCAGGCTGCGCCCGCCAAAGTCGCCCACCTTGACGCCCTTGACGGCGATGACGGGCTTGTCGTCGACGCCCTGGTTCTGCGGGAAGTTTTCCGCCGACTTGCCCCACATGGTCAGGCGGACGCTGCGGCCCGACTGGTCCACCAGCGTCAGCTCGCGCTTCGACACCGGCCGCTGCGACGCCTTGGAGACGATCTCGGACACCTCGCCGTAGCTCTCGAGGACGCCGATGACGTCGCACGTCTGGTTGGGCTCGACGTTTTCGAGCTGGTCGATGGGGACAAACTCGTACTTGACCTCTGGCACGTCGCTCGCGTCGGTGCACTGACAGGAGCGAAGAGATCGACACAGAAGCGCGAGATCAGCATCGACGTGTCGTCCCATCGACACCGCGTCCGTCTCGGGACGCCGCCAAGACGACTCACCTCTTCGATCTCGGTCGAGTTCTCAAACATGATCTCGTACTCGTTGCTGAGGTTGCTGAACTGCTTCTTGGCGATGCTGACCTTGGCCTTGCTGATGAGGTACACCTTGTTCTCCTGGAGCAGGCCGTAGAAGCGGTCGACGGCGTCGTTGAAGCCGGTCGCCTTGATTTCGCCGCTCTCGTCGAGCAGTTTGACGCTAAACAGCTTGCCCTCGCCCCGCTGGTTGCTCCAGTGTCGGATGTCGGACTTTGACGTGACGCGCGCCTTGATGGTCCACTTGTTCTGGTAGGGCGACAGGCCCTCGATCGGGTAGATGGGCAGGCCGGCGTTCATGCTCGAGCCTCCCGGTCGGCCGCCCATGGCCGGCTTGGTGGAACCGGCGCTGGCGCCAGCGCCGGCGCCTCCGTACGACGTGGCGGGCGCGGTGGCGCCATTCTCCTGCTTGACGGGCGCGCCGGCACCCGCGGGCCGCGCCTGGTCTTCGAGCGCCTTGGGTGCGCCGAGCCTCTCGGGTGTCGGGCCGCCAATCACCTCGAGGTCGAGGAGGATGAGGATGCGGCGGTTCTGGACGTTGTTGCTTGAGTACTGCAGCACGCGCACCACCGAGTTCCTGTCAATCTCGCCATTCTCGGCCATTTGCCGCTTCTGCGAGGCGAGCATCGCTGCGGGTGGCGAGCGACAGAGCGAGGAGGTGAGCCGACATGGTTGTCAGCATCCAAAGGGCTTGCATGGACCCAAGAGACGCCTGCTCTCGACACTCACCTTGGGCAAAGTGGACTCCGTCGGAGAGGATGATGCGGTAGCGGTCTCCGACATTTGGGTTGGCGGTGGAAGTCGAAGAGATCTTCTTGATGCTGAGGATCTGGCAGACGGGGTTCTGCACTCCGTTGCTGGTATCCGTGCTCTCGACCATGCGGGCGATGGCGCCCTGCGTGAGGTCCGAAAGCGACATGGTGTGGTGTGTGTGGGTGCGGAGGGACAGGTGAGGGTGCAAGGACGGCGCGGTGGCGGACGGACAGTCGGGCGGGTAGAGTGTGCTGCTGCAGGTCGAGGTGAGAGGCCTGATCGCCGTGCTGTGGGTTCGAAGTGGCGTGCGTGCTGCAAAGGCCGTGGCGGTGGTGGTGGGTGGCTGCAGAGGTAGGATGGCAAGCAAGGGCGGAGGGCTGAGCTCCAGGCCGCCCGCCACTTGCCACGGTGCTGGCCCTCGCCCCCGCGCGCGCCCGCCCGCGAGGAAAAAGTGACACTCTGAAGGCTGGAGGCCGCCTGGCCTCTTGAAGTCGCCTGGAGCCTGCGCAGGCCTGGCCAAGCGGGGCGAGAGCCTGCGGGCGACCGCCGCTCGATCTTTGTCCCCTTTTACGCGTCGCGTCGACCGACCAAAGGCGAGTGGAGGTCCATTCCTAATTCAAGGCCGGGCTTTGAATACAAGCAGCGGAGCGAGTCGAATACAAACACGGCTTCCGGCTCAAAGCCTGGTCGCCCGGGCAAGGGCTCGTCGACGCCTCCGCTCCAAGGCGTGCCGGCGGCGCTACAGACGACCCAGTCGAGATCGAGTGTGCTTCTTGTTCGGGTCGATCCGGCGACAGAGGTTATGAGACTATTTTTGTTTACATAGAGGGCCACCTCGCTGGGGAAAGCCGGTCAGCGGCCAACGGGACGGAGCATGGTCGACGAGCGACGGGACCCGTTGGACGCCGCCTAGGCCGACGAGGTGCCGAGGAGGAGCTCGAGGTAGTCTTCGGCGGCGTTCTGGACGGCGTCGACCTCGAGGCACGCCGGGTCCCATCGGCTGCCGAGGTTGAGGTCGACGTGCGACACGGCCGGCTCGAGGCTCTTTCGGCCCAGCACGCCGAGCGACCGGCTCGACACCAGCCGCACCAGCATCATCAGGCCCGCCACCATCTCGGTGCGCGCCACCTTCTGCACCAGCTCCGCATCGCGCCGCGGGAAGAGCGCGTCGACGCTCGACAGCATCTCGGTCAGGCGCCTCGAGAGCCGCTCCAGCCGCTCGGCCTCGGCGCCCGTCAGCTCGCCCGCGTCGGCCCGGCTCAGCAGGCCCGGCAGCTCGCGCGTCGCAGCGACGTAGTCGACAAACAGCTCCCCTCCCTCGGCCCAACCGGGCAGGTCCACCGTCGGGTCCATGTCGTCGGCGTAGAACGGCGAAAAGAGCCGCGTGATGAGCTCCTGGTCGCCCCTGATCACGGCCTCGGGCGCAAGGTGCTGCACGGCGACGTTGTGGGCCGCCACAAAGTTCCTCGCCTTGAGCTGCAGCAGGTACTCGCCGTACCGGTCGTCGCGCTGGCGGGCCGCGTAGGCTCGGGCCTCGTAGATCCACTCGACGGGGATCTGCAGGCGGTGGCAGAGGAATTGTTCCGCATCGTCGTCGATGTCGTCCACACGGCGCGCCAGCAGCGCCTTGATGGCCGCCTGCCGGCTCGACGAGAACTCGAGGTGGAGCAGCACAAAGGCCGACCACGTCCACAGGCCCTCGAGCTCGAGCTGCTGGGCGTAGCTCGAAGCGAGGCCGTCGGCGCGGGCGCTGTTGCCCTCGGCCCGAGCCTCGCCGTCCTCGGCCATGGCGTCGGCGGCGACATCGAGGCCGAGCTCGGTACGGTCCTGGAAGTCGCGCTGCCTCAGCACGCGCGAGAGGAGGTCGTAGAGGTGCCACGGCAGGCGGAAGTCGGACACGCTCGGTCCAAACGCGCACGGGCGCAGCGTCGACTCGAGATCGTGCGTCGGCTCGGCATAGAGCTTGATGAGCTCAAACTGCGCGTCCCGTACGTAGTCGGGGCGTTGCAGCAGCTGCTTGAGGCGGAGCGCGCCCAGCTGCGAGCCTTCCTGGTAGTGGGGCAGCGGAGGGGCCGTGCCTCCGGCGCCGCCCACCATGCTCTCGTACCGCTCGAAGCTCTGCTGCAGCGGCGCCTCGTGAGCGGTTTCGTACCAGAGGTGGAGACCAAAGGCGCGCTTCCAGTCGAGGCCCTCGGGGATCTTGAGGTCCGGCACCTGGTCGACGGGGTCGCGCGTGGCCCGCGCCTCGGTGCCCTTGGACAGCGTCACGTTGCCGGCAAGGAGCTCGTAGATGCGGCGGTGGTCCTTGGTGATGTGAGCATCGACGCCCTCCTGCCGCCAGACGAGCAGCTGCTCGTTGATGTCGGCCTTGGTCTCCTCGTCGCCGCCCGCCTGGGCAATCAGCGTAGCGAGGCGGAGGTCGCCGGACTCGAGAGCGGCCTGGGCGGCTCGCTCGACCTGGTTGCCGCTGAGGTACGCAAAGGTGAGCGCCGCCGTCCGGCTCGCGGCGACGTGCGAACGCGACTCGGTCTCGACAGTGCCAGCGACGCTGTGGCGGAGCCAGTTAGAGAGGGCGGCCTTGCGGCGCAGGTTGGCGACCCGATCGGCAGCCGCAGTCGACATGCCATCGGGCAGCTTGAGGTCGATCTCGTCAAACAGGGCGACGCCGAGGCGCCACAGGCAGGCCTCGAAGCTCCTGTCCTTCAGCTCGAACGCGCGAGCGAAGTGCCGGAAGCGGGTGGTGAACTGCGTGTAGGCCACCGGGCAGCCCTCCTCGTCCTCTTCGATGATCGAGTTGTCGAGCTGCACCTTGAGCAGCCTCTCGGCCTTTTCCCCCTCGGTTTTCATCTGAGGAGCGAACGGCGAACACGGACGGCCTCGTCAGCAGGGAACGGGTGGAAAGGCGGGCATCGCCGGTCCTCGCCGAAACACTCACAGTCTCAGCATCCTTGAAAATCTTGAGCTTCTCGATTTTGACCGTCGTCACTGTGCTGGCCTGATTCTCCTCTGCATTCGACCTAATAATGGAGATGGATTGGGGAGCGTCGGATAGGATGGTGCTAACGGCAGAGTCAGCTTGTGACGCTACGGCGCGGAGGCGATCGTGCGCCGTTCGGTGCACTCACTTGTTGGCGCCAGCGGCGGCGAGGCCGACAATCTTGCCGTTGTGCACGATGGTGCCGTCGGGCCCCCAGCCTACGCGAAAGCTGCGGCCTAGGGCCAGGCCGGCGTCGAGCGAGAGCCCCTCGTGGCCTTTGACGGCAGATCGCGAGAGGTCGAGACGAGTCAGCTTCCTCGCCGGTCGGGCCGTCTCGGGCTGCTGGACCACGGGCTCGACGTCGAACGCCGCACGCGCGCCTGCGACGCCCTTGTTGTTGCCGCCTCGTTCGACAACGTTGGTCGTCGGGGCCGTCGAGGCCGGCTGCGGAGGCCCCTGCGGGCTCGAAGACGTGTTGGTGCCGGTGCTGTACCGGTTGTGCTTCCTGGGGTTGACGACCTGCGCGCCCGCCATCTTACGCGATGTCGGAGTCGCTGCAGCTGCCGTCAGAGGAGGAACGACAGCCCCGGAAGCTACCTGGCTGTCGTCCTGCCCAAAAAAACTCGCCTGCATCACCTGCACCCTCCGCGCCTCGACGCCAGAAGAGGCGCGGCCGGCACCTCCAAGCGCTCGCGACGGCGTGCCGGCGCGGCTAGAGGCGCCGCCGCCAAACCCCGCCGAGGCGATGACCGAAGGCGTCGAGCTCCGCGCTCGTTCCTGGCCAAACCCCGCCCGCGACGCGCGCGGTGTGCTGGCCCGAGCGCCCCATGCGTCGTCGAGCTCGCTCTCGTGCATCACGCTCGAGGTGTCGTTGGAGATCTGCGAAGCAGCCTCCTCATCGCCGCCGAGGGTCTCGTGCTCCGAAGCGCCGTCGAGCAGCGCCTGAGAGGGCGGCGGAGCGTCGTCGTCGTCGTCGGTCATGTCCGAGCTGCCGGCATACTGTCGCGAGCGCAGGGCACGCTTCGTGGTGGCCGACGCCTTGGCCTTGGCGTGCAGAGCGGCCTGGGCCGCGTTCGGCGCAGCGCCACCGGCGGCGGCGGCGGCGGCGCCCTCGCCGTCGTCCTCATCGCTGTCGTCGAGGCCGTAGCGCGAAAAGTGCTTGACCTTGAAGGTCCAGGTGCCGCTCTCGGCCTCGTAATCGACAAACTCGGTTTCCCCCTTGTTGCGGAGCTTGTTGATGTGCTGCTTGACTCGCGGGTGGCTGGCGTCCTTGATGGGTTCGCGCGTGGCCCGGTCAGTGGGCCAGCAGCCCTCGAGGCTGACGCGCGCCGGCACATTGAGCCCGGTGCCCTCGTCGGCCTTGGGGAGGAAGTCGTAGTTGCGCTTGGCGCCATCCTTGGGGTTGCGCGGATCGTAGTCGCCCTCTTCCGGATAGACGACAATCTCCTTGAGCCGGATCTGGACCACACCGCCGGCGATGTCGGTGAGATCCGGCAGCGTGGTGAGGTCGACGGGGTCCAGGAACTCGACCTTGCCCACGCCGTGGCGTCCGACGATGAAGCCGTGGACGGCCGCCAGCTCTTCGAAGCGCGCGGTGCGGAGCGCCGATAGGCTGGGCTCGAGGTAGTACTCGCCCTTCTTGGCCGTCGCGGCGGTGGGTTCAGACGCGGCTGCGACGAACGAAGACTCGAGGTCGCGTCCAGGACGAGGCACGGCAGCCTTGGCTGCGGCAGCAGCAGCGGCGGGTTTCGAGGGCGAATCGTCGACTATCGAGGTCGAGGCGAACAGGTTGCCGCGTCGAGATGGCAGCGAAGAGGCGAAGCTGACATCGCCGGCACCACCGGGCCTGACGGACTCGGCACGCTGCTCGAGCGCCGGGCTGAAGCTGACGCGGTTGGCGGGTGCTGCGGTGCCTGAGCGGAGGAAGCCAGCACCAGGAACCAGCGGGCTGCTGATAGTGTCGTGGAACTGGGGCACGCTGCCGCTGCGACCGATGCCGCTGCGGCTGGTCGAGAAGCTGCCGTCGCCGACGTCATCGAGGACCAGACGCTTTGAGCTGGGACGCGAGACAAAGGCCTGCGACGACAGCGGCTGCGTGTGCTCGTCGCTGAGGCCCTTGAAGATGCTCGGCGATCCCGCGCGTCCGGGCGTGCCGAAGCGGGTGTATGCGCCGGGCGTGCCCTCGCGGCCCAGTCCGGGCGTGCCCTCCCTGCCTCCGAAGCCGGTGGCAGCGGGGGTGGAGCCGCGCAGTCGCGTTATCTTGGCGGCGCTGCGCGGGCTCGAGCGGAAGGGAGCCACCAGCGGAGGCTTGTTCTTGCTCCCGGCGACGTTGAACGGCAGAGGAGCCTGGGCGGCAGCGCCCTGCGCCTGCGGCGGAAGGCTCGAAGCAAAGAGGCTGTCGGTGCCGTAGGGGTTGGTGTCGAGCGAGGCCTGGATGGGCTGCTGCTGATGCTGTTGCTGCTGGCCCGCTTGGGATTGGCCAAAGAGACCGCCGCCAAGACCCGTCTGGCCGGTCGACTGGCCAAACAGCCCTCCGCCACCAGCAGTGCTGCCGCCGAAGAGCGAGGAGCCGCCGCCGCCGCCGAAGAGGCCACCGCCAGTGCCAGTGTTCTGAGTCTGACCTGCGCCCCCGAACAGGCCCGAGCCGCCAGCGCCAGTGCTCTGTCCGAAGCCACCGCCAAGGCCTCCGGCCTGCTGCTGCTGCGGCTGTTGCTGCTGCTGCTGCCCTCCAAAGAGCGACGAGCCGCCGCCAAAGGAGAATCCTCCAGGCTTGGCGGCGTTGTTGTTGGTGCTGCTGCCAAAGAGGCCGCCGCCCGTGGTGCCGCCGAAGCCGGTGCCAGCCTGGCCCTGTCCGGTCGTGCTGCCGAACAGACCGCCGCCCGTCTGCGTGCCAGTCTGGCCGGCGGGCTTAGCGCCAAACAGTCCTCCCGAGCCGAAGCCGCCCGCGCCTCCGGTCTGGCCAGCCTGCTGTTGGTTCTGCTGGTTTCCGCCGAAGCTGAAGCCGCCGGTGCCGGTGGTGTTAGTGGCCGCGCCACCGAAGAGGCCGCCAGGCTGGCTGGTCGTCGTTGGCGCTCCTCCGCCAAACAGGCCGCCTCCGGTCGCCGGTGCGGCGGCAGTGCCGGTAGTCGCGCCGCTCGACGCTCCGAATGCGCCGCCGCCGGTGCCGAAAGAGAAGGCGGGCTTGTTTTGCTGCGCTCCTGCCGCCGATGTCGCACCGAAGCCTCCAAAAGTCGACGTCGTGGTGGCGGGCTGCGTGCCCGGCTGGCTAGTGGCGCCACCAAAGAGGCCGCCCGTTGCCGGCTTTGCGCCAAAGCTGAAGCCGCCCGCCGTGCCCGTGCCGAAGCCGGTGCCCGCCTGTCCTGGCTGCTGCTGCTGCTGTTGCTGCTGGTTGGCGCCGCCGAAGCTAAAGCCGGTCGAGGGCTGCGACGGCTGGGTGGTGGAGCCGAAGCCAAACGCGGGCTTGTTTTGCTGCGGCTGCTGCTGGGCCCCGAACGAGAAGCCGCCGGTCTGTCCGGCCGTGTTGGATGTGTTGGCGCCGCCGAAAGAGAAGCCAGTAGAGGGCTGCTGACCGGTCTGCGCGGTCGAGCCGAACAGACCGCCGCTCTGTTGCGGCTGCTGCTGCTGCTGCTGGCCGAAAAGACCGCCCGAGGTGCCCGTCGAGCCGAAACCGGTGGTGGCGGGCTTAGCACCAAACAGGCCTCCTGCCTGCTGCTGCTGATTCTGCTGCCCAAAGAGGCCGCCAGTCTGCTGCTGCTGCGGCTGCTGCTGGCCGAAGAGACCTCCGCCAGTAGCGGGCTGCGATGCGCCGAAGCCAGTCGTCGCGGGCTGCTGGCCAAAGGTGGCGGTGTTGGTGGGCTGGGCGCCAAAGCCGAAGCCGGTCCCGGTGGCGCCGGGGCCGGCATTGCCCTTGGACCGTCCCTGCTGGTAGTCCATCAGGCGGAGCTCCTCGGGGCTGTAGTGCGAGTATGCAGGCATCACCACGATCGACTGCTGGACGTCCCAGTTCTTGCGATCTTTGATGTGCTCGTTCGGGCTGACGTCTTCGCGCAGGGGGTCATAGGGGACCGAGGCGGTTCCCTGGGTGATCTGACCGGGGGTCGCCGTGGCACCAGCGGCCTGCTGACCGAAGGCGGTGCCGAAGCCAGTTCCGGCGGCAGGCTGCTGCTGCTGCTGCTGGCCAAAGAGGCCGCCGCCGGTCTGGGTGCTGCCAAACGTAGAAGGCGTCGATCCGAAGCCGGTGGCCTGCTGCTGCTGGGGCTGCGCCGTATTGGCTCCAAAGGTAAAGCCGCCGGTGGAGGCGGGAGCGGCAGTGGTGGAGGAGCCGAAGCCGCCAAAGCCAGTGGTGCCGGCCGGCCTTGCACCGAACGCAGGCGTGGCGCTTGCATTGTTGGTGGCGCCGCCGAAGCTGAAGGGCTGCGACTGCTGGGGCTGCTGCTGCTGGGCGCCGAAGAGACCGCCTCCGGTCTGGGCTGGCTGGCTGGCGCCGAATCCGCCGGTGGATCCAAAGCCTGCGTGACGGAGTGGGCCGAGACAGGAGGAAGGAGATGCGCGCGATCAGGATGGTGCGAGGAATCCAGACGAGACAGGAAAGAAGAGTCAGTCAGCCTGTCTTGCCATTCTTGAGCAAAGATCCAGCGACGAGCGCCGTGCGGGGGGTCGTCAAACGCACCTCCAGTGCTTCCGAATCCGCCGGTGGCGGTGTTTTGCTGGGGCTGCTGGCCAAAGATGCCGCCTGTGGGCTGGGCGGGCTGGTTCTGCTGGTTCTGCTGGTTCTGCTGGCCGAAGCCGCCGAAGCCCGAAGAGCCAAACATGGTGGAGGCAAGCTCGATGCGCCAAAAAGCGGCCCTAGAACGAAGCTGCTGGTGGTTTTGCAAGCGAAGGAACGAGAGGAAGGTGCGCTAGACTGCGATGAGCTGGACGTCGATGTGTCGCTGGATCCCGTCCTTGTCGTCGCCGTTGAGAGACGACTAGTGGGAAGAGCGACGGGCGCCGCGCCGTGTCGAGATCCAAAGTGAGTCGGGAGGGCCGCCGACGAGATCGAGCGCGCCGAAACGCAGACGCAGTCGGAAGTTCAGGCTGTGCGTGGATGGGTGAGGTGGTCGAGTAGGGGAGGGGCACGGTGAATGCGGAGATGGACGAGGGATGCGAAGGGGCGGAGAGCGAGAAGTGGGCGTTGGTCGGCTGGTTGGATGCGGGAAAAAATGAGGGGGCGTCGGCTGTTGGCTGCTGGCTGTCCTGCGCTCGTCCAGCCGCACGCGCTGCTGGGCGATCACCCGCAAGCCTGTGTGGCAGGCCAGCAGCAGGGGGGGCTCAGCTGTGGGCGGTGGGGCTTCTCTCTTTTGGCCGTGTGTTTGGCGCGGGCCCGATTTCAGATCCAAGTTGGATGGGACCCAACCAACCAACCAGCCAGCTCAGGCCACCCCCTGCCTACAGTACCCTCCACCTGCCTTCTTGGACGGGGCTGCCTGCCACTCGACCACCACCGCGACCTCCCCTTGCTGTCTGCACCGTTGTGCTCGCCCTCAACCCCATCCGCCCATCATGGCCTCAAACAACGCGGCCTCGTCGTCGTCGTCGTCGTCCAAGAACCCAGGCGCACCGGGCGTCGGTCCCTCGCGCCGCACCTGGGACGTGGAAGAGTTCACGGCAAGGGCGCGCGAACGCGATCGGGTCGACCGAGAGGCGGCCGCCGAGAACGAGGCGCGCCTCCAAAAGGGCCTCGCGCCGCTGCGCCGGAGGAGAGAAGTGCTGGCCAAACCCACCCAGGCGCTCCAGGCCCGCAAGGCGCCGCTCGACCTCGACAAGAATGTCGGAAAGACGATGATGGTCGACATGGGCGGCGCAGGCGACGGAGTGGGCGGAGGCAGCAGGGGGCCCGGATTTCACTGCGATGTGTGCAACAAGACTTGCAAGGACAACGTGGCCTACCTCGATCACATCAACGGGCGTCTGCGTGAGTGGTGCCGGGATCGGGTAGCTGCAGGCTGCTACATGAAGACGAACGAGCACAGCTGACCTGGACGATGTTGTACCGCCAATCTGTCCTCTCCTTTTCCCCCCGCCCACCCTCGACAGACCTTATGCGGCTTGGCCAGACGACGCAGGTGACACGCTCGACGGTCGAGCAGGTGCGCGCCAAGCTCGATGCGCTACGCAAGCAGCTCGCACCGGATGGCACGCGGCGCTCCGTCGTCACCACCTACGACTTTGACGCCCGCATCCGCGCCATCGCCGAGCAAGAGGAAAAGGAAAAGGAAGAGCGGAGACAGAAGAGAAGAGAGGCCCGCCAGAAGAAGAAGGGCGTCGCCGCCGGCAAGAATGCGGCAGCAGCAGCAGGAACAGCAGCAGCAGCCACGAAAGCGACGGCCGCGGCCACCGGGATCCCAGATGACGCCGACATGATGGCCGCCATGGGCTTTGCGGGCTTCGGCAGCACCAAGAGGTGATCCGCCCCGGGTCCTCTACCGGTCTGCCTCTCTCCCTCCCCCTGTTGCCATTCATCCAGACCTTGTACTACCACCACCACCTCCGACCCGACTCTCTTCGCTGCAACTGTACCATCATCCCCATGCGAGGCTTCGGCCGCTCGCTGCGCGGGCCCGCACCCCGCCTGACATTCCCAGACGACCGCTGCCTGATCAAGCACTCTCAACGTATGCGATTCACTCTGTACGGAACGGGGGAGGGGCGCGGGGATCGCACCCTCCCCGTCTACGATACGCGGCTTGCTTCTTTCCTCCCCGCGTCTTCTCCCGGTCCGAGCACGCTGTGGCGTAGATCGGCAGAGGGCCGCGTGGCGTGCGCCTACGCCCATGCGAGGCAGAGCATGAACTTGTCGTCGCCGACCTCCTGCTCCTCTTCGGCAATGACCTTGGCGTCGGCCTTCCTCTGCGACAGGGGCATGGGCCGTCTCCTGAGCGTCTTGACAAACGTGTCGGCCTGCGACTCGATGCACTCGGCCAGCGCCTCGCCGAGCCCGTGCTCAAACGAGTAGAAGGCGTCGACCTCGTCGGTGGCCACCAGGCCCGCCTTTTTCCGCAGGCGCTGGATGCGGTTGATGACCTCGCGCGCCGTGCCCTCGGCCTGGAGCTCGGGCCGCACCTCGACGTCGAGGAGCACGACGACGTTGCCGTCGGTGTTGCTCTCGAAGCTGCCCTCGATCTCGCCCGTCTCGACGTAGCGGATGACGCGCAGGTCGCCCTCGACGAGCTCGACGCCCGCCACGCTGATCTTGCCCGTGTCCATGTAGGCCTTGGCGTCGTCGGACGTGACCGCGTCGAGGCCCTTGCGCACCTTGCCCACGTCCTTGCGCAGCTTGCGGCCCAGCGTCGGCCAGTCGGCCATGACGCGGAAGCGCACGCCGCACTTTTTCTCGTCGCTCGACAGCACCAGGTCGCGCACGTTGAGCTCCTCCTTGACGTAGTCGGCCAGCGAGTCGACATCGGCCAGGTACTCGGCGTCGGTGTGGAAGACGACGAGCTCCTTGAGCGGCACGCGGACGGGCAGGTTCATGTTGACCCGGATCACGCGGCCCAGGTCAATGACGCTCTGCAGCGCCTTGAACTGGCGCTGGATGACGGGGTCAAAGTACTCCTCCTTGACGGCGGGGAACGAGAGGAAGTGGATGGAGCGGTAGTCGTCGCCGTCGTCGGCCGCCTGCGCCGGCAGGAAGGGACGCAGGCCCTGGTAGATGTTCTCGGTGAGGAAGGGCGTGAACGACGACATGGTGCGGCACAGGGTGAAGAGCGCCTCGAAGAGCGAGTTGAGCGCGGTGACGGCGTCCTCGGGCCCGTTCTCGCCCTTGAGGCGGCGGCGGTTGAAGCGGATGTACCAGTTGGTCAGCTCGTCGATGAGGTCGAGCAGGCGCGGCACCACCGTGTACAGTCGGTAGGCGGCCATCTCGTCCTTGACCAGGCGGATCAGGCTCTGGCAGCGCGCCAGCACCCAGCGGTCCATGACGTTGGCCGAGACGGGCGCCTTGGGGTCGTAGACAAAGTCGCGGCCGTGCACCTTTTTGAGCAGCGTCACCTGGCCCAGGAAGAAGCGGAACGAGTTGAGCCACGGCAGGAAGGCCGACGACAGCACCTCCTTGACGCCCTCCTCCTTGAAGCGCAGGTTCTCGGAGCGCACGACGGGCGAGTTGATCAGGTACAGGCGGATGGCGTCGGCGCCAAACTGGTCGATGAGCAGGTTGGGGTCCGGGTAGTTGCGCAGCGACTTGCTCATCTTTTTGCCGTCGGCCGCCAGCACCAGGCCGCTGACGATGACATTTTTCCACGGCGCCGTGTCAAAGAGGAGCGTGGCGAGGATCAGGAGCGTGTAGAACCAGCCGCGCGTCTGGTCGAGGCCCTCGGAGATAAAGTCGGCCGGGAAGCTCTTTTCAAACTTGTCCTTGTTCTCGAACGGGTAGTGGGCCTGGGCGTAGGGCATGCTGCCGCTCTCGAACCAGCAGTCAAACACCTCCTCGACGCGCTTCAGCTGGCCCTTGCCCCTCTGCGACGGGATGGTGATGTGGTCGATCTTGTCCTTGTGCAGGTCGTTGATGCCCGTGACGCCCGAGAGGCGCTCGAGCTCCTCGACGGAGCCGACGCAGACAATCTCCTCAAAGTCGTCGCTGACCCACAGCGGGATGGGCGTGCCCCAGTAGCGGTTGCGGCTGATGTTCCAGTCGCGCGCGTTGGCGATCCAGCTGCCGAAGCGCGACTCGCCGACGTGGGTGGGCACCCAGCGCGTGGCGGCGCTGTTCTTGACCAGCTTCTCGACGGCGGGCTCGACGCGGACGAACCACGAGGGGATGGCCTTGTAGATGAGGGGCGTGCCCGAACGCCAGCAGTAGGGGTACTGATGGCTGAGCGTGGCCTGGACAATGAGCCTGCCGCGCGCCTTGAGGTCCTTCTGGATGGCCTTGTCTGCCTCCTTGACGTGGACGCCCTGGTAGTCGGGCACCTCGCTCGTGTAGCGGCCGCTGCCGTCGACGGGGCTCGGCGGCGACTCGTCGCGCTCAATGATGCCGTTGGCGATGGCGACGCGGTGGTCGTCGTCACCAAACGCAGGCGCCTGGTGGACGATGCCGGTACCGGCGTCCGAGGTGACGTAGGTGTCGGCGACGACGCGGTAGGCGCGGTCCTTGAAGCGCTCGACAAAGTAGGGGAAGATGGGCTCGAACTTGAGCCCGACGAGGTCCTTGCCCTTGTACGTCTCGAGCTTCTGGAACTTGGCCTTCTTGGGATCCTTGTAGAGGGTGCCGAGGAGGTTCTCGTGGATGATGAAGTTGGTGTCGCGCTCGTCGTCGTGGATCTTGATGTAGTTGAAGTCCGGGTGGACGCAGAGGCCGAGGTTGGAGGGTAGCGTCCAGGGCGTCGTGGTCCACGCCAGCAGCGCCGTCTTGGGGTCGGAGACGAGCGGGAAGCTGACGACGACGGCCGGGTCCTGTACCTCGCGGTAGTCGAGGCCGGCCTCGAAGTTGGACAGCGGCGTGGTGCAGGCGGTCGAGTAGGGCATGACGCGGAGGCCCTTGTAGACGTGGTTCTTCTCAAAGAGCGTCTTGAACACCCACCACACCGACTCCATGTAGTTGATGTCCATGGTCTTGTAGCCGTTGTCAAAGTCGATCCAGCGGCCCATGCGCTCGACGGTGGACCTCCACTCGCCCTGGTAGCGCATCACAATGGCGCGGCACTCGGCGTTGTACTTGTCGATGCCCATGGCCATGACGTCCTCCTTGCCCTTGATTCCGAGGTTTTTGTCGATCTCGTGCTCGACGGGGAGGCCGTGGCAGTCCCAGCCGAAGCGGCGGTCGACATAGTGGCCGGTCGAGTGGGCGTGGCGGGTGACGATGTCCTTGACGGTTCCGGCGAGCAGGTGGCCGTAGTGGGGGAGGCCGGTGGCAAAGGGGGGACCGTCGTAGAAGCTGAAGGGCTTCCTGCCTTCGCTCTGCTTGAGCGACGTCTTGAAGGCGTCGATGGCCCTCCAGTAGGCGATGACCTTTTCCTCCTCCTTGGCAAACTGGAACGCCGCCGTCGGGTCGTGCTCGGGGAAGCTGGCGGCCGCCATGGTGGGCGGTGGGCGATGCAGATTAGGGAGAGGTTGCGTGTGGGGATGCTGCCGATCTATTGGCGGCGAAGGGCGGTGGTGGTGGTAGGCGTCGTCGTCGTCGTCGTCGTCGTTGTCAAAAAACAGACAAGCTCGCCGGTCTTCTCTTGAGAGAGGAGCTGTCGGCTTCGATCGAGCAGGCGGGCAAATGAGAGCCTGGCTGGTGACTCGGTGCGTGAAGGTGTGAACGCCGTCGCAGAGTCGCTCTACTCTAAGAAGGTCGGGCGGCGGTGGCGGTGGTGGTGGTGGTGGTGGTGGTGGAAGACGGGGTTAAGGTTGGGCCTGCGCAGTCTCTGTCCGGATACGGGCTTGCTGCGGGTGTTGGTTGGTTGGGCGGTGGGCCTGGGCGAGGCTGGCCTGCTGGGCTGGGCTGCCTCGCCGCTGCCGCCGCTTTTTTCTTTTCTTCGACGCAGGCGGGGCCAGGCCAGGCTTTGGAGCGAGCGGGCGGGCGAGCGGGGCGGCATGCGGCCTGCCTGCCTGCCTGCCTGCCTGCCTGCCTGCCTGCCTGCCTGCCTGCCTGCCTGCCTGCCTGCCTGTCCGCCTGCCTGCCGGCTTCTTCTGACTCGTCTGGGCTGCTGCCGGCCCCCACTCGTGCGAGCCAGACCTCGTGGGCCTTGGCCCGCCTTGCTTTCTTCTTTGCAGCGGTCCCGGGCCAGCCTGGTTGGCTTTGGCTTGCCCTTGCCTTGCTTTTTCCTTGAGCCCTCGCTCGCCTGCTCCCGGACCCAGTCCGACCAACCACCACCACCACCACCACCTACAGGTCATCCCCTGGCTCTCTCTCTCTCTGTCACTCGCACCCGTAGCCCTCGACCCTTCAGCTCGAGCTTGGATGCTATCGGCGAGACCGCTCGCTCGCCTCAGCTCCCTCATCGCCACTCCTTTCCCGCCCGTCGCCTCGCACCTCGCCCGCAGCCTCTGCACACGCACCTCGGTCACCCGGATCGCACAGGACCGCCTCGCCGCCACCTCGTCCATCGTCCCATCGCATCGCCACCTCTTCTCGTCACCCCTCCTGTGCAGTTCCATCATGACCGACGCCGCTGCCACCGCCACCGCCACCTCGGCGCCATCGACCAAGTCGCAGTTTGGCGACTGGCCCGCCGACAAGGTGCGCTCCACCTTCACCAGCTACTTCCAGGAGCGCGGCCACACCTTTGTGCCCTCTTCGTCCACCATCCCGTACGACGATCCCACGCTCCTCTTCGCCAACGCCGGAATGAACCAGTACAAGCCCATCTTCCTCGGCATCGCTGATCCCTCGTCCGCATTCGGCTCCATGAAGCGCGCCGTCAACTCGCAAAAGTGCATCCGCGCCGGCGGCAAGCACAACGACCTCGACGACGTCGGCAAGGACACCTACCACCACACGTTCTTCGAGATGCTGGGGAACTGGTCTTTTGGCGACTACTTCAAAAAGGACGCCATCGCCATGGCGTGGGAGCTGCTGACAAAGGTCTACGGCCTGCCCGCCGACCGCCTCTACGTCACCTACTTTGAGGGCGACGCCAAGCAAGGGCTCGAGCCCGACACCGAGGCGAGGGACTTTTGGAAGGCCGTCGGTGTCGCCGACGACCACCTCCTCACTGGCGACGCAAAGGACAACTTCTGGGAGATGGGCGCCACCGGCCCGTGCGGCCCGTGCAGTGAGATCCACTACGACCGCATCGGCGGCCGCAACGCCGCCCACCTGGTCAACAAGGACGATCCCAACGTGCTCGAGGTGTGGAACAATGTCTTTATGCAGTTCAACCGCGAGGAGGACGGCTCGCTGCGGCCGCTGCCCGCCAAGCACATCGACACGGGCATGGGCTTCGAGCGCCTCGTCTCAGTCCTCCAGGATAAGCCGTCCAACTACGACACCGACGTCTTTACGCCGCTGTTTGACAAGATCCGCGAGCTGACGGGCGCGAGGCCCTACGCCGGCAAGCTGGGCGCCGACGACGTCGACGGCATCGACACGGCGTACCGCGTCGTGGCCGACCACGTCCGCACCTTGACGTTTGCCATCAGCGACGGCGGCGTGCCCGACCGCGACGGCCGCGGCTACGTCCTCCGCCGCATCCTCCGCCGCGGCACCCGCTACGTCCGCAAGTACTTCCAGGTGCCCATCGGCTCGTTCTTTTCGCAGCTCGTCCCCACGCTCGTCGACCAGATGGGCCACTTTTTCCCCGAGATCACCAAGAAGATCGACGACGTCAAGGCGATCCTGGACGAGGAGGAGGTGTCGTTCGCCAAGACGCTCGACCGCGGCGAGAAGCTGTTTGAGGAGTACGCTGCCAAGGCCAAGGCCGAGGGCAAAAAGGAGCTGAGCGGCAGCGACGTCTGGCGTCTGTACGACACGTTCGGCTTCCCCGTCGACCTGACGCTCATCATGGCCGAGGAGCAGGGGCTCGGCGTCAACACCCAGGAGTTTGAAAAGGCGCAGGCCGAGAGCAAGGAGCTCAGCAAGGCCGGCGGCAAGAAGGGCGAGGCGGACGCCGTCAAGTTCGACGTCCACGACCTCGGTCACCTGGAAAAGGACGACAGCGTGCCCAAGACGCTCGACGAGTTCAAGTACGGCGTCGGCTCGGTCCAGGCCAAGGTCAAGGCCATCTACCAGGACCACAAATTTGTCGACGCCACGTCCAAGCTCGGCGCCAGCGACAGGAGCTTCGGCATCCTCCTCGACCGCACCAACTTCTACGCCGAGAGCGGCGGCCAGCAGGCCGACACGGGCAGCCTGGTCATCGACGGCAAGGCCGAGTTTGTCGTCGAGGATGCACAGGTGTCGAGCGGCTACGTGCTCCACATTGGCTACCTCAAGTACGGCGAGCTCAAGCTCGACGACGAGGTCGTGGCCAGCTTCGACGAGCTGCGCCGCGCGTCGATCCGCAACAACCACACGGGCACCCACATTCTCAACTTCGGCCTGCGCGAGGTGCTCGGCGATCACATCGACCAGAAGGGCTCGCTCGTCGCGCCGAGCAAGCTCCGCTTCGACTTTTCGCACAAGCAGGGCGTCTCGGTGCCGGAGCTCAAAAAGATCGAGGACATCTCGCTCGACTGGGTCAAGCGGGACGTGGCCGTCTTCAGCAAGGAGATGCAGCTCGAGCAGGCGCAAAAGATCCCCGGCCTGCGCGCCGTCTTTGGCGAGACGTACCCCAACCCGGTCCGCGTCGTGACGCTCGAGTACGACATCGACGAGATTGCAAAGGACATTGAGAACCCCAAGTGGCGCTCGACGTCGGTCGAGTTCTGCGGCGGCACCCACGTCGCCAAGACGGGCGAGATTCGCGACTTTGTCATTACCGAGGAGTCAGGCATCGCCAAGGGCATCCGCCGCATCATCGCCGTCACGGGCGACGGCGCCGCCGCCGTCACCAGGACGGCCGACGACGCGGCCGCCAAGCTCGACGAGATTGCCAAGATCGCCGACCGCTCGGCCAAGGACGCCGCGCTCAAGGCCTACGGCACGCAGCTGGGCCAGCTCGACATCTCGGTCATCCGCAAGGCCGCGCTCAACGAGAGCTTTGCCAAGATCCGCAAGGCGCTCGACACCGAGCTCAAAGCCAAGGACAAGGCCGACGTCAAGGTCGTCTCGGACGCCATCGCCGCCCACTTCAAGGAGAACCCCAACGCCACCTACATTGTGCGCCGCTTCGACGTCGGCGCCAACATGAAGGCCATCCAGTCGGGCATCCAGAGCGCCAAGAAGCTCGGCAAGGCCGCCTACCTCTTCACCGAGGAGCGCGTCCCCGGCGAGACGGTCGCCGACGGCATGGCGCCCAAGGCCAAGGTGGTCCACGCCAACTTTGTGCCCAAGCACGACCTCGACAAGGGCCTCAACGCCAAGGAGTGGGCCGACGTCGTCTCGAAGAGCATCGGCGGCAAGGGCGGTGGACGCGACGACGGGGCCCAGGGCGTCGGCGAGATGGGCGGGCCGGCCCTCGACGATGCCCTCGTCGCCGCGGAGCGCTTCTACCAGCAGCGGTGCTTTGAGAGCCCCGTCCCGATGGCCAACTGAGCAACAAGCCAGGGGCCCCGATCGCCGCCGCCGTCGTTAGATGATCAGCATACGAAGAAGGTGCAGGACTGCTAGCCATGGATAACTGTGCCGAGGCTGTGAGAGTGTGTGCGTGCCCCTCTGCCCGTCTGCCCGTCTGCCCGTCTGCCCGGTCGTCAGCACGTGCTGGTGCGGGCAGTGTCGTGTGATCTCCTCGTGTTGCACTACTCGCCCGCCTCTGTAATGAAGGGCTGGAGCCGATGCGGCGCGGCGCGGCGCGGCGCAGGTAGTGGTCTGCCAGGCCTTGTGAAGCAGATCAGGCAGGCCAGGCCAGGCAAAGCTGCCCAACCTGCCTGCCTGCCTCTCCGGCCAAAAAGGCGCGGCCTGCAAGAGCACGGACCCTTTTCGGAAGAAGCCGAGCCTCCTTCCTGCCTGAGGACGTGGACCTGGGCTCCCTATCTGCTCGTCCGGCCTGCCAGCTTGCTTGTTCCCAGCCACGCACTTTACCTCTGCCTGTCTGCCTACCCTCTCACGGCTCCGTCTTTCGACGGATCACATCCGCCCCACCGTTCTGCGCCTAGTCTGCCCAGCTGCTCAGCAGTCACGCCGGTCGCAGCTTGGCGAATAGCGGAGGGATGAGGCGCGGCTGAAGGGGCGGCGACATAGAGCCGCTAACTCCCTGCAGAGCCGCCCTCTCTCTCTCTCTTCTTTCCACACCATCCATCGCTACCAACCACCTTCTCCAAACCGCTCCCCGCTCCCCGCTACGAGGCGCACACCGCGCACGTCACCCTCCTCGGCTCGCCTTCGACATGCCGCAACACACCAACGTGCCCGATTCGCATGCTTACCGCTGCACGGGATGCAAGACGGTCAAGCCGAGCGCCCAGTTCTCCAAGCCCCAGAAGCAGAGGTTCAAGAGTGAGTAGTGAGAGGAGGCCGCGGCGATAACAGCCGCAGCTCGCCCGCGCGGCCCCTCCTGCGCCAGCTCATCGGCTTCTGGGCCCCTCACCCCTCGCTCAGAGTCCTACATGGGCAATTCCAAGCTCGGCGCCGACACCTCGTCGCTCCAGATCCTCTGCAAGGACTGCGGCCAGCTCGCCCACAACGACATGGTCCGCCACACCTACAAATGCGACGTTTGCAAGCGCAGCATGCCCGCCACCGCCAGGTTCTTCGGCAACGCTTTCCGCAAGGCCAAGGCGCAGCAGCACATTTGCCTGAAGTGCTACCACACAGGCTCCCTGGAGGACGCCTTCCACAGCGATGTCGATGAGGAGGACGAGATGATCCTCATCGACGACGACAGCGGGACTGCTGCCTTTGAAGGCCTGCCAGAGGACCTGGAAGTCTCGGAAGACGAGAACGAAGTCGTCATCGACCACGACGACGTAGACGCCATCGAGGAGAGCAGGAGGGAACAGGCCGAATACGCTGAGCTCATCACCAAGCGCAACACGGTGATGACCCCCGCCGACCGGGAGAGGGTGAGTGGGAGCCGGCCGCGAAGGGGCCGTCAGTGGCATTGCACTCACGCTGAAACGCATCGACATCGTGGCCTGTGCCTTGCACTACGACTGCAGGTGAGGGCCGCCCTGAACCGCGCAAGAGAAGAACTCGAGGGGGACTACAAACAGCGCAAGCCGAAGTTCGTGCAGGAGCTAGAGCAGCTCCGGCGCGAGGCAAGGGAGCGGGCCGAAAAGGACTCGAAACCAGAACGGGGCCAGCGCAGGGTGGAAGCCAAGGACGGCAAGGAGAAGGACGACTCCGACGAGGAGGTCGACTGGTACCTCGAGACGGGCCACACGGAGCGATACGGCGACCCGACCGACTGCGTCGCGTGGCGCTCCAACACGATCCGCCAGGCCTTGCGAGCCAAGGCGCCTGGCGCCGACGGCCCGGTCGGCGAAGAGGGCGAGGACGGAGAGGCGGAGGCTGAGAACAACGGCGAGGCCAACGGCGAAACCATCAAGCAGTTCACGGACCGCCTGCTGGACCGCCATCTCGGCTACGATCGAAAGCCGCGACCGGACGGCAGCGTGCCGTCGGCGGCCGAGATCCACGACCAGCACTTCGGGCTGCTGGTCGACGACGAGGTGCGCAAGGGCAAGCTGCCCTACCGGGGGCCAAAGAAGTCCACCAAGGAGCGAGAGAAGACCTGGATAAAGGCGATCGACCCGACGGCCGCCCAGGTGCGCATCAAGGCCGACGAGAAGGGCCTCGCACGCGCTCGCATCCCGCACGATCCGCCTCCGCTGGACCAGCTGCCGTGGTACGTCGGCATCGACAAGCTGACAATCGGCGACGAGGCGGACGCGCCGAGCTTAGGGTCGTCGTCGATCATCGAGGTCGACGCCAACGGCGCGCCAATCGGACAGGCGCAGCGGGGCTCATTGGGCGTCAAAGTCGAAGACGGCGAGGAGGCGTGGGAGCAGGTGGGACGCAAGGGAAAGGGCAAAGGCAAGGGGGCGGCCAAGGCCAAGGCCAGGGCGAGGTGAAGACGGAGAGCGGTCCGCAGCGGGCCGCCAAAGTCAAGAAGATCGAGGGCGGGTCCCAGATGGCACGTCCAGGGCCTGATCAGTCGAACGATTCTTGTGCATTGCAATGCAGACGCCCTCAGACAGCCTGCCGTACGGCCGCCGGGGCGAACTGAAAGAAGACGTCTATGCGTAGTTCTCGCTGGATTGTGGGCGGAGGCGGAGAGGGTGAATGACGGAGGGAGAGAGGTCAGCGGTCCACGTCGTCTGCAATCGCGCAGGAAGCATCGACGAAAGCGACTCGAGGCACTCACGCCGGGTAGTAGGCGTGCGGGTCGTGGGGCACGGCGCCCTTCTGCAGCTTGAGGATCGAGTGCGGCGTCTTGAAGGGCGGGCGCGGGGGCAGGTTGGACGACGAGTAGAAGCCGGCGGGCTTGGTCTCTGACGCCTTGTGCACCTGGGCCAGCACGTCGGTGAAGGCCGTGGGCGAGTCGAGGTCGGCGGGGCGGGTGAGGGCGGTGGTGTTGGACGTGTCCTCGGGCGCTTGCAGGCTGATGAGAGGGGCGAGGAGAGGGGCCGAAGCGGATAATACACTTCCGTCAGCGATGCGGTTCACTCCATCGCGCTATTCATCCCGCACCGCGATGCGCTGCACCTACGTCTTTGTGCCGTCTTCGTTGGGGCTGGCGAGTAGGAGCTGGGTGAGGTCCTTTTGGGTGATCATCTCGAGCTTGGGGTACTTGCGCCTAAAGTCGCGGTCGGCGTAGAGGTTGTCTGCGGGGTCGCTGGCCTTGGAGGGCGGGACCATGGCCCTCTCGGTGCGCGATGCGGGCTGCGGGTAGCGGTTCATGGTCGGGTCGGGCAGGCCAGACGAAATCTCGGGATTGGCCGAGAAGGTCTCGCGGAACTTGCGCCAGAAGGGCGTCTTGCCCTCCTTGTAGGTGTAGGCGTGCGGCGAGGCATAGTTCTTGCCCGCGTTGAGGAGCGTGCGGCTGGCGCGGAACGACATCGTTGCGGCGGTGGCAGGCGGGTGAGGAGGACAGGCGCGGGGGAAGGTGAAGGTGGCAATGGCAGCGAAGGTCGAGGTGGAGCGAGGGAGCGAGAAGGTGTGTGGGGAGGCGCGGGCGCCGGCGGGCGATCAATCGCTGGGCCCGCTTCCGAGGGTGCGATCGCTGGCCACCGCGGCTTTCTCTCGTGCGATTTAATTCCATGGCCAAATCCTCGGCATTCGGGAAAGGGAAATACAAGGGCGAGGGCGAGGGCAAAGGCAAGCGCCCCGCCTGCAAGGCACAACTGACTGACACGCTGGCTTGGGTCGGCCAGGCCAGGCGCTGGCCCTAGCCTGGCCCTGGCTCGGCCGCTCGGCTGGCACTCGAGACTGCACAGCCCGGCCCCTGCCTGCCTGCTGGACATCAACACCTCGCCCTGGACCTTGCTGCTGGCCGCCACCTCCATCATCACCTCCTTTCGCCCGCTTCTCTGCACCGCGCCGCTCCTGGTCGTCGACGCTCGTTCTCTCCTCCTCCCTCCGACCCTCCTTTGTGCGGCACTCCCTCACCCGACTACGTCGGACAAGATGGCGCAGTTTCTCGATGTTGCGATGAAGCGTGAGTCGGTCCGCTGGCCAGCCGGCCCCGACCTGCCTCGCTGTGGATGCCAGGCTGAACCATAGTCCCACTCTCTGCCCCTGTCGAATCCCTCCCTGCCTAAGTCCCGGAAAGGATCCGAGGCCTTCGACAGGAGCGTCTCTCCTCGCTCCGTCCGCTCGGCGAGTTCTTTGACCACCAGCGCATCAGCAGGCCCCAGGATACCAACGAGGCCTTCCAGGTGCGTCTCCCCGGCACGTCGTTATCCCGCTCGCGACTCGACAGAACCTCTCGCTGACAGGCCACCTCTCTTTTCATCTGCTCCTGCAGCGCATCACCTACAACACCCGGCACTTTTCCGGCAACTACGCCGTCGTCATCGCCTGCCTCGCCGTCTATGGACTGTAAGCCATCGTCCCTCAGCCCGCGCCGCCTGCCGCCTCGTCGGCCCTCCGCGCTCGCTCGACTCACTCTGACGGCCCCTTTTGCCTTGATATCTTCTCCGCAGCCTCACATCGCCGATCCTGCTCGTGGCGATATTCTTCCTCGTCGGCGGCTTCTGGGCCATCAACCGCTTTGCACCGGAACCCATGCAAGTCGGCGAGCACGTCGTCACGCAGAAATCGCTCTACACCGGCCTCTTTGTCATCGGCCTGCCGTTACTCTGGTGGGCCAGCCCCGTCGCCCTCTTCTTCTGGCTTGTCGGAAGCTCGGCCTTTCTGGTCCTAGGCCACGCCGCCTTCATCGAGCCCCCCGTCAGCTCCGAATACACGGGCGTCGAGGTGAGTCGCAGCTGCGCCCCCCGCGGGCGGATACATGCGGGATCCATGCTGACATTGTCTCCCGGCCTCGCTGCTTCTTGCAGACTGTCTGATGCCCCGCGCGGCAAGAGAAGCGGCACCAATGGAGGCTACCCGCGTGCAGATGTACCAGCGAGCGCACCATGGACGCAACATGAAAAGCTTCGACATCATCGTGTCCGCCCAGCGGCAATACGTGTGCTGCAGGACGATTGGCAAGCGTTCAGCTGGGTCCGTCCGATCGGTGACCATGCAGCGCGAGCGGTGTACGACCGCTTCTGGAGTGAGAGAGCGATGGAGGGCACGCATTGGCGTCAGGCGATGCTGGGATTTCGATGGGAGCGCGGCATGCGGCTGGGATATGCGACCTCGCCGTGGCTCCACGCCGTGCCAGAGCCGAAGCACCGTCACGGCACGGATGGCGGCAAGCCTGTGAGAGCTGCGAAGGGATTGGATTGCGAACCTAGTCGCCGACGGAGCGGGTGGATGAGGGTCAGGTCAAGGAGAGAGAGACCCGTGAGTGAGGTCAGCGTCGGCAGGCTCAGTCCATCATTGACGGATCCGGGCGGCTGTGGGCTCGTCGTGACCGCCGAGTCCTGCCAGCCTTTCCGGCACCTCGGATCAGCTTGACCGCCGGAGCTCCTTGTTTCTCCAACATAATGCAGACGGTCCATCGCTCGCCGATGCCGTCTCGCGACGGCGCAACGGCCGCAACCTTGTCGGCGGCGGGCAAGCACCCGGTGCAGGGCGCACGTACGAGACTTCTGTGGTGGGAGAGGATAGTTAGGGGTGGAGAGAACAAGGTTCCTTGTCCACCGCCGCCGGCCCACCTCGACCGAATCGGCGATTCTTGATTGTGGCAAGACCTTGGTGGCCCTGCATCGCAGAGCATTCCCCACCTTGCCCTGGCTCGATACCTAGCAACATACGGCACGGGGACCGCAACGAGCAATGGTGGCCACGGTCTCAAGGCCAATGAGGGTTCTTCTATGCTCTTGTGACCGTTTGGACGCACGATTGAGCTGGGGCCGTCGATGCCGTCCGTGCTGATTGTCGAGGCAGCGCCCGGGGATGGAGCGGAAGGTGGGGAAAGCCGAGTGAGTCGGCCATCTCGTTGCCCCTCGTCGTACTCGAGCTATCGCAGTGGGCAACCACGATATTAAGATTTGCACCTCGCGACCACGTCTTCGCCACCGGATCCCCTCCGCACCTACATACATACGCAGGTGCGCAGCGAGCGGTAGGAGTACGACTTCATGCCAGGTAAGCGAGCCGGGTGGAAGAGGGATGCATTGCCGCGTCCACGACGATGCGACATCGTCTCTACGGCAATGTCGTTGGGGGGGCCCCACATTTCGCGGCAGCGGTCGACGAAGAGCACGCACAACAGCACGGGGGTCTGCTGCGCCGCCGACCCGAAGGGGTGCACGCAGCGGCGACCGCCAAACGAGCACGTATCTGAAGCCGCGGAAGCCCAGGCCCGAGCCTCTCTCTCTCTCTCTCTCCCTCGCTCGAGCAACGCCCGACAAGCGAAGTCGATTTGGGCTCGGCGTAGAAACTTCCGAGCGGGCTGCGCAACTGCGATGCGGGCGATGAGGTGGGGGGTGAGGGCCGCGGTGATGGATGCCTACGTATGGCTGTATTCGATCTGTTGCACAGAGGCCGCGCACGAGGGCGCCGAATGGCCGCGAGAGGTGCGATGGCTGGCAACCGTGCCGACATCCTGTCACCCTTCCCCCACCACCATTGGACGCCCTCAGCTTCCACCGCGAAGAACGAACAGCCAGGCTACATACGGTTTGACGCCCCCGACTGGTTGTACGCCGTGCTCGACCAACGGTACGACGCTGCGACCTTGCGCCCCGACCGCTCGACGCCCGCAGATTGTCTGTCCTGGGCTTGTCCTCGAACAGCGGGCCCCTCTCCCCTGGGCCATTCATGACACGCCCGAGGCTCGGCCGCGTCTCGCTGCACGGGGACCGCCCCGAAGTCGACATGAACGGCAGGCGGGCGGCGTACTGCTGAACCGTCTGCACCGCGATACATCCGGGACCCGTCACACCGGGACGGCCACGTTGCCCCCGTCGCCTCTGAGCTCCCCACTGCCCTGCTCGTCTGGACTCCTCATCTCGCCCCCTTTGTCTGCACTTCGGCAGCTGCACTAGTCACTGTGCTGGGAACCGGACGACGGACGGCAATCTCATCGCGCATACTGCTGCCGTCCAACAGCTCCCGTGGCTGCTCCCACCATAACTCATCGATGCAGCTGGACAACGGGGCCTAGACGAGCGTGGGGGTCGAGGTCCTCGGGACAAGGCCTCCGATGGCTAGCGAGGGACTCGTTTTTGCGATATAAGAACGACCGCTCGAGTGTCAAAGATGGCCAGCAGCTCATCCTCTGATTCGCACACACCTAGCCCATCATGCTCTCCCTTGCCAAGCTCACCTCGCTCGTCGCGCTCGCGCTCGCCCTCTCGGCCTCCGAGGCTCAGGGCCAGATGGTCAAGCAGGTCGTGCCCGACGCCCAGGCCGCCAGCCCGCGCATCGCCCAGCCTGCCACCATCCTCCAGCCAAAGTGCGGCACCGACGCGTCGTCGAGCTGCGTCAGCCTCAACGGCGTCAAGGCCATCGTGTCGTTCGGCGACTCGTACACCGACTGCGGCAACCAGCGCGGCGGAACGTGCCCCAACCCCGTCCTGCCCAACGGCTCCACCGTGCCCCCCGCCACGGGCGCCACCGCCGACTACCAGTACGGCCGCCGCGCCTCCAACGGCCGCACCTGGGTCGAGGACCTGGCGCAGAACATCGGCGCGCAGCTGTACAACTTTGCCTCGAGCGGCGCCACCGTCGACCGCAACATTATCCCCGCCAGCCGCTTCGACAACGACATGGCCTCCGAGTACCAGAAGTTCCAGCAGGCCGCCATCAAAACCAACCCGCAGACGACCATGTGCACCTTCTTCTTTGGCATCAACGACCGTGGCAAGGCCGCTTCGCAGGATCTCCTCCCCAAGGCCGTCCAGAAGGAGCTGTCGTACGTCGACCAGCTCAAGGGCACCTGCTCGCAGTTTGTGAGTGTTGCAGCAGGCCGAGCCTCGCCGCGTCGCGCAGCCGTTGACAGACTCCCCTTCCCCTTGGCACCGCGATGCCCGCCCCGTCCTCCCCAACAGGTCTTCCTCGACATCCGAGGTGGCGTCTTCAGCACGGCGCTCCAGAGCGGCGTCGCCAACCTGGCCAAGCAGGGCGTCAAGGCCACCTACTTCACCTACCAGAGCCTGTTCAACGACTTTGTCACCAACGCCAGCAAGTACGGCTTCAAGAAGACCGACCCCTGCCTCGAGAACACGTCCGACGGCGCCCACTGGAAGCTCGTCTGCACGCCCGACGAGGCCACCAACTCGCTCTACTACATCGGCCGTGAGTTGCCAGCGCACCGTGTGGAAGAGAGGGAGGGGAGCGACGCGAAAGCGACGAAGCTGACCCGCCATGAGAGCCTCTCCCTTCTGTCCCCTTCGCGACACCCCGCAGATCACCCTACCGGCAAGGCACACGCCGACATGGCCGCCTTCCTCCAGTCGGCCCTCACGACGTGCTCGACGGGCAAGTGCGGCGCCTCGGCATGAAGCGCCGCGTAGTGCAGGCGCACAAGAGGCGTCGGAACGCACCCCAGTTCTGTGCGAACAGAAGCGGGACCTGACCCTCGAGGACGGCGCGTCTGTGTCGTTCGCCGGCCGCATACGGGCGAGGCGTACAAGGACCATCTGCTCCGCTCTTCTTACCCGTTCTGTTGCTCTGCTTTGCTGAACGCGGGCTTCTTGCCCTTTCCCTAACGTTACCAAGCCACGGCTGTGGTTGAAAGAAATGGTACTCATCTCAGAGCAGATCGCTGTGCAGACACCATAAAGAGAGCGTCCGAGAGGCCTTTTGTGGCAGCGTTGTAGGCATCTCGATTTGCTGGACAGAGGCTACAGGCTGCTGGCAGCCCGGCCGGACGAAAGGCCAGCGACACGGCCTCGAACACGACTGCAATGAGAACTGTCGTCAATTCGTGATCCGTGCAGAGCTGAACTCGTTAAGCGCAAGACAAAGGCATGAAACTGTGCTGAAAACCCAAGCGATCGTCCGTAGAGCTGGGCCGAGATGCGTGTGCCCGTGCCCACGTCAACGCTTCTTGTCGCTGCCGGGCGAAGCATCCCCGGAGATGACCTTGTCGTCGACGTGCTCGATCGAGGCCTCGTCCTCCATGGGCTTGTGGCGCGGCGTCTCGTGGGTATAGGCCGACTTTTCGAGGTCGTGGCCGTCCTGCTTGCCCGCGCCGGGCACCGTGGCCGGCGCAGCCTCAGCGAACTCGACTCCTCGATACTCCCAGCCAAAGGTGACGACGATGAGAAGGTAGGCGCAGACTGTGCCCATCAGGATCGCCGAGACCTTTGCGTAGGCGGGGATGAATTCCTCGACGGTGGGAGGGCTGTTGGGAGTCCAAATCGGGTTGCGCTCCTTGAGGTTGTCGCCGCCCGTGGCCTCAATCTGGCTCGAAGCGCTAGACGCCGCGTTGCCGAGCTGGTAGGCCAGACCGGCGTAGGTGGCGCGGAAAGCAGGAGGAGCAATCTCGCTGAGGTAGATCGGGATCACACCCCAGGCGCCCTGGACGCCGACCTGCATGAAGAAGCCACCAGCGGCCAAGCCGCTGAAGCTGTTGGGAAGGATCCAGGCAGGAATCATGACGCCGGTGAAGATGACGAACATGATGATCGTCAGGCGTCGACCCAGGTACTGCGAGATGTACCCTGCGATGAAACCGCCAGTGATGGCGCCGCAGTTGGCGATGATGGTTGCCTTGTTCGCCTGGTCGGCCGAGAGGAGCTTGGACGACTTGAGCATGACTGGAGTAAGGTCCTGGCTACCTGTAGTGGCGGATCGCGGGTCGCCCAGACACGGGAAAAGGATGCAGAGATGCTCGATGTCAGAAAAGTGAACCGAAGCGCCCTCTGGGAAGGGGGGGGGGGGGGGGGGGGGCGGAGAGGATCGCGTACCGTGTGACGAGAAGTTGAGCCGGTCATGAGGAGGATGCCGTAGATGCATCGCAGCCAGTGTGTCTTGAGCATCACCTTGAGCTCGCGGAGGAAGATGGTGGCCTTGCTCTCGCCGCTGTCGTCGCGCGCGTCTTTTTCGGCTTTTTGCTGGAGGAAGAGCTCGCTCTCGGGCAGAAGCATCCGGAAGGCAGCAGCAAGGGCCGAGAGACCGGCTCCGAGGAAGAAGAGGATACGCCAGTTGTGGCTCTCCTCGATCCAGGTAAGGTTGACCGAAGCAGCCAAGAGGTAGCCGACGGCGTACCCTTGCTGCAGGATGCCGGAGAAGAGGCCACGGGGCGCCGGCGGCATGTTCTCAAGAGCCTGGATGAGACAAGAGCCGATTGTCAGGGTGGAAGCTGCATCAGTACCAGCTCGTGATCTGACAGACCGCAATCGAGAGAAATTCCGGGACCCGCTCGAGGAGTTGAGTAGACGCGTCACAACTCACGGTGGCAGTGGCGCCTCCCCAAATCCCGCCCATGGCAATACCGAACAGCGATCGGACGGCAAGGAACTGGGAATAGGTCTGGACGAAACCTGAGCCGAGCGAGAGTGCTGCGATCAGGAGCAGGTTGATGACCTGAAAGTAAAGAATGGCAAGCGCCGAAGGGGGGCGAAGACGACGCGGCCGCCGCAGGGTCAGATTTCCGCCTTAGCGACAAAATCCCTGGACATTCTGAGATGCTCACGAGAGGGTACTTGCGTCCGTACCGATCCGAGACGACACTGAATGTCAGAGAAGGGTACCATTTGGAGGGAGGTGGTCAGCTGCCGTGTGCTCGCCATGCTTCCATGTGCACGATGCCGCCCCGTGGCTGCAGGTTCAGCCGCCGGGATCTGCCGCCCGCCGGACCTCCGCATCGGACATTTTTTGGCGCCCGTCTCCCGACGGCACGACACTTGGCTCGCACGACAGTCCCCGCCAGCACGCGCAATTCCACATGTCAGGGAGGATGCCGCATCCAGCGCGGCACACCCGTTCACCCCGGCCTGTGGGCCGCATGGGACCTCTTACTGCGCTTAAGCTCATCAACTCACCCGAAGATGGCCGCGCCGACCGAGCGGAACAGGAGCGTGAGAGTGATGGCCGTGGTGATGCTCTTGGTCGGCTTATCGAACTCCTTGGTGAGGGCCGAGACCGACAGCGAGACGCTGAAGAAGTCCCATGCGTCTGTCGTGACAGTCATCGGGATTGAGGGCGAACGTAAATGAGCTGCTGGCCGCCGAATGTAGCGCGCCGAGGGGCGTGGACCAAAGACTTACCCATCGTCCAAGCGAGCCATCCGCTGAAGAACATGGCCCACTGCATCGGAGTCAGCATGGCGCAGACTGCCGGTCGTAAGGACAGCAAGGGCGAGGAGACGACGGATCGGTCAGTGCAACGTCCCCCCTCAGCGGCGGGACAGCGCAAGGCATGCTCACGTTTGAAAGGGTTGAGAGGGGCGCCGGCCCGCATGATGACCCTCTCCTCCTTGGTCGGGAGCTTGAACAGCCCGTGTGTCGGGTCGTACATCGTGGCAATCGATCAGCTGGTGAAAGCAGCGACGGTTGTTGTCGGATGCGCCCTGGCGTCGGAAAGCAGGGCAGGGCTAGCTGCGGCTGCGGGTCCAGCGGTCGTCGCAGCCAAAGAGGCAGGGTCCGGTCGTGGATTGCTCGTGTCGAAGAGATCAAAGAGAAAACGAAAGGGCGAGGTGCAAGAAGAGCAAAGAGAAAAAGGCGAAATGATGGTGAGGTGTGCGGGGCAACGTGAGGAGCAAGAGTCGTAGGAAGCGAAGGTCTCTTTATACCGAGACGACGGACGGCCAGGCAGCAGAGAGTGCGCAGCACACACAGACTACGTACACCGGCCGTCTTGCCCTGCTTAGCCCAGGAGACGCGAGGCTGGCCTTGCCATGAAACGAGCTACGGTAGTGAGCGCCCACCTGAGTGCGCCTGGAAGCTCCCCTGAGCCCCACCCGGGATGCAAGGGCATGCTGCTTCTGCCCTGGGTGCGCTTGCGAGGCCGGAGACACCCGCTTGCACCTCCCTACGCCCGTCGACCTCGACGCCGGTCGTGGGCGAGGACAATTTGGTGGGGCACCCAAACTCTGGGGCTGCAATCAGCAGCAGAGCAGCAGCAGCAGCAGCGAGCACAGGGCCGGGCATTCGTTCTTACGTTGCTGCATGATGGGGGCCCGCAAATTGAGTCGTCGGGGCGCTGCGATTGGCCGAGGCGGCCGCGGTGGCGGATCAAGCCGCGCCGTCAGGCGGCCAAACGGCGCAGGCGCCATGCACGGCACTAGAGCGGCTTGATGCCGGCGGCGCGGCCGGCGGGCATTTGGCAAAACCGAGATTCCTCCGTCAAGGAGCCTCGTCCAGCTTGACCTCCTCTTGTTGGCGCTCGCCGTGCGCCTGGAGCCACAAGGCGCAAGGAGCGGGCGAAAGCGGTATGAAGAGGAGGTACAGCAGCAGTGGTCACACGACGGCATCCCTTTGAGCCCAAGCATCAGGGATGCAGGTGCCTGCGCTTTAACGGGGCGACCGGGCCTCCTCGAGAGAGCACAAAACGCATGTATGTACAGTACAAGCTGGGGCCCTCATCGCGAGATCGGCTGAGCCGATTGTGGTCAAAGCAGCGAAGGAGTCTCCTTCGCTTCGCCCGTCATCTGGGGGGCAACCAGAGGGAGGCGACGAAAGCCCCCCTCGGCTCTCTCTGACTCCAGTGCCTTTGCTTGCCAGCCGGACTTGCTCCATTCCAACGAGCGTCCAGATCTCGACGACGTTCCTCCCTTCATCTCTGCCTGGCTAAATACACACTACTGTGACTGGACGGTTCCTCTGGTCCAAGCACATCAGCCGCCTCTCGATACCAGACCGCGCCGGGATGATGCAGCTCACGAGAGGCTTGCCTCGAGGTAGGTAGCCCGGGTCTTCCGACGACAAGGGGAACAGGTAGGTTCAAAGAGCGAACCGGCGATACAGGGCGGAAAAGCCCCTAGGGCCGCGGGCCGTCTTTGCCTGCGGTAACCCCGCCCACGAGATGCCCACGAACCCAGCAGCTACTGTACGTAGGCGATGTCCGCTACCTTCGCTTCGAGGGAATCGCATGGCTCGGCTGTTGTGCATCGATTCCGCCACCAGCTCGAAGCATCCCCTCGGTCGGGCAGGCTGCACAGCGAGCGGCGGCAAAAGCAAGCAAGCAGGCAGCATGCGCACGTACATCAGCGCAGCAGCGCCTGTCCGCCGCGCTTTGCCCAGAGTCGCCGGTGACGAGGCGAATCATCGCGACGTGGTTGGTCCATCGCCTCTTGCAACGCCGTCTCCGTCGACCTGATTGGTCGAGGCAACGCTTTGACCGATCATTTGGGCTAGACATATGACCGGTATCAGGGCCACTTTGCGCCTCTCGTCATAACCTGGGTCGCTACGCGCAGAACGCTCGTCCGGGGCCCCTGCTCCGTGGCAGGAAACGGCGAAGTGTACGTACCCTTGCACGCCGACGTTTTCCGCCGCGGGCGCTCTTTTCCCCGTCGAGCATCACGGTACCTCACAAAGGTTCAGGCACCATCGCAGCGGAGGGAAAGCGGCGGCAGCAGCAGCAGCACGAGGTACGAGGTGCAGCTCAGCTGGCCACCCTTGCCTGCGGCTCGCTATTATGCCTGGCCACTGTAGCTCCGCGCCTTCCCGAGCGTTGCCACACGGGCCCGGCCACCGGTAGCTCAAGCAAGGTGGGGCATCTCGCTCGGTCCGAAGATGCCGCTCTCCCCACGGCAAGCCTGCTCGATCGAGACCAAATCACGTCCGCTGCGCAGCGGGTCTTTCCGCCGCGGCATCACCTCCCACCCCGGTTCTCGACGTGCACGGGAGCGACCGGGTACAGTAACGTGCCGCTCCGGAACTGTCCTCGTTTTGCCTCGCCCCGCAATCGGAAGAGAGAGCAGCTGTCGGCCTGGTCGTGGCCCGCCGCCAGCGGTAAGCGTGGACATTATGTGCGATTGTGGCAGCACCTCGTGCAGTGCCTGCCTAGCTACTGCGCCCGGCGCCGGCGAGCAGGACGGTCACGACCTCGATAAGACCGTGCACCGCGCACGAGGCAGCGTGGACAACAACACCCTGACAGATGTGCAGAACTTCAACTGCGTTCCGACGCCGGCCATCAGGGGAGCGTTGTACCTTTGAGCGTTGAGCCTTTGGGACTGTAGGCAGCTGATATGTCGGGCCCCCCTCAGCTACCCTCCCTCGCTCGCCTAAGCACCGTGATGGGCAAAAGATTTGAGCGCCTGGCCCAGCTCTCCCATGCCCTCGAGCTCCTGGTGCGTCAGCAGCTGCCCGAACTCGCCCTGCGTCGAGGTCGGCGCGTATGAAGACGGGCCAAAGACGCCGTGAGGGTTGGAGGGGTCGAGGTCGCCGTGCCCGGCCGAATAGCCAAAGAAGCTGTTGAGCTCCGAGGCGTCAGAGAGGCCGGCTGGGGTCGAAGTGCTTGCGAAGTCGTGGGGGTGGTATTGGTGATGGGCGGCGGCCGCTTGCCAAGCACTCGATGCCTCCGGCGCCTCGCGGTCGACGGCGGCCTGCGCTGCGCTGGCGCTGCTCCGCTCCGACGATGGCACTTGACCGATCCTCGCTCGGACGTTGCGGGCTTTGCTTGCTGCGCGCTGCTGGGCTTCGGCCTCGGCCTGGCGCAGCAGCATGCGCGTCTTGGGGATGCTCTGCACCGCTTTGGACTCCTGCAGCACCACATCAAAAGTGTCCTCGATTCCTTGGGTCGAGAGATACTCGCGATACTCCCAAAAGTCGATCTCCGAGACGCACGAGAGCATGTTGTTGACCGTCAAGATCGTCGCGCGGTAGATGGTTTCGGCGGTGATCCCTGCGGCCTCGAGCCGGTCGACGTGGAAGAGCTTCGGCAGCGGAATCATCTGAGAGTAGCTCGAGAACGCCATAGGAAAGAGTGTCCTTCGGGGGGACATCGAGAAGAGGTGCTGCCATTCGTGTATCAACCTGGCGACGCCCCGGGGGTGGTCGAACGGCTTCAGCTTCATGTCTGCGACGCACGGCAGCCGCGCAGTGGTGGCGTTCACTCACCCTGGGATGATGCCGCTGATCACCCGAGACAGCTCAATCTCGGCATCGCTGGATCGTCGATCGGAAGGGAGGTTCGATGACGGAGATCAGCAAAGGACGAACCGCCTTGCTCAGACCCGGCAAGCGCAGTCGGAACCTACAGCAGCACTGCAGCGGCCGGGTTGGCTCGCTTCTTCTTTCTCCTGGGCGTGCCGAGCGGCAGAAGCAAGCAAAGCAATCCATGTCGACGACCTATCAGAGTTGATCCCGGGTCCTGTTCAGCAGCCTCGACGGCCGGGGCGTGGGAGCGACGCTATCATACTCACAGGAACTCTCGTGCCAGCTGGAGGTCGGCGAGCTTCCACTCGTGCAGCGACTGCATGGCGATGTTCTGCTGCTGCGGATCCTTGATGGCCGCCATGTCGCTCATGTGGCGGTAGGCGGGCCAGTCAAACTCGACCGGCACCGCCTGGCGAGGAAGATCGGCGTATCTTCGACCCGGCTTTGGATCCTTTGAGCTGCCGAGCGGCACGAGGAGGAAGAGCACCAGCCAAAGGAGGCAGGGATGCGGTTTCATGGCGAGCGGACGCGGGGATGGTCGGCGACCTGTGAGTGGAGAGCTGACCGAGGTGGGACGAGTTCGTTCGACACGTTCTCTTTATGGGCTTGAACCTCGGCCTCTTGGCCTTGGCAAAGGAGAGAAAGAGCAGTCGCCAGCATCGACACCGAAGGATCATGTGATTGACGGGACCAAGGCTCAGCCCCGAACGCCACCAACAGCATTTTGCGAGTCACACACCCCTCGCCGGCGGTCATAGACCCCTTTTCATTGGACACATTCCGGTGCACCTTTGTTCCCTGCCACTTCGGGATAGGCCGGGCGGGGAGTGCGGATCTCATTCCGCTCGCCCCGAATGCATCGCCCCGTGCAACGGCATGCCTCGGTCGTGCGCCACAGCGTCCGGTTCACTACAGCATGTAGGATGGGCGGCCCAATAGCATCGCAGAACGCGGCGCGCTGGAGGGAACAGACCGAGTGCCTCGGGGCGCGGCAGGACAAGCCAAAAACTGCATGCCGTTGGAGTGCTGGACGTTACCTGGCAGCCCGCCCCGCGATCTTTGCAGCGAGGTCGCCCGCGAGACAACCATCGGCGGCCATCAAGAGGAGACGCTCGTCCAGTCCGCCTTATCATCCCTTGCACCCTTCGACGCCCTTGCTGCGCCATTACAGCGACCACCACTTATTCGATCTCATCGACGACGACAGCAGATTGCGATGAGGCCGTTCAAACACCTCAGCGCTGCCCTCATCGGCTTCGCTGTGGTTTTCTGCTGCTGCTGCCGAGGAAGCGGTGCGGCCGACGAGGAGCGCGTGGTTCTCGACGCCATCAGGCGGTACCTGCTCAGCGACGAAGAATATCCCGCCCACGCGATCACCGATCTTAGCGACGAAGCGGGGAGGGCCGGAGACGACATGGTGGCAGGCTGGAGAGCCCAAGAGGCTGCAATCCTCGCCCATTACGGCGACGCTCCCTTCGAGCAGCAGCTCACCGCAAGCCCGAGCAACAGGCTGGACGACACCGGAGCGGGCCAACTACCGGCCTTTGCGGGCATCGATCCAGCGTACAGCGACCAACAACCTCATCGCACCGCTGAGCCCTCTGAGCCTTTTCCGGTCGACCAGACTCTGCCTTACCGCCAACCCGACCCATCCAATGTCGAGCAATCTCATGACTATCCTTCTCCCAGCCCCGAGGATGGCGAGCACGACCAGCGTGGACTGCACGTCGGCGCGCTCGACGACGCCGCCGAGCGCGAGCGCCTTTTCGGGCATGCCTCGATCGGTGCCTACCAGTCAGCGCACAGCCTCTCGGTGCCCGGCCTGCATCGCGCCTGGTATGCCACCGAGGAGCAGCGGGATGTCTTCCTCGAAGCCTACAAGGCACGCCTTCGAGCGGACCTGGCCATGCAACCCGATCTGCTGCGATATGTCGACCAGATCGTGTTCGTCAAAGGCTACTGGGAGTCGAGCAGCATTACCGGCGTCACTGCCTCGCTCGGGCCCCTTTTCGACAAGGTGCGCAAGTCGCTCGCCTATGGCCAGGCTTCCATCTATGGCTCGCTCGACAAGAGGCTTGATCTGGGCGACTTTGCCTTCACAGCCGCCATCAGACGGGGCAAGCGCGATAGTATTCGGCTCATCGCGCCCGTCGTGGCCTTTGACAGCGCGTTCAAGGCTCGCGACATCGTCTCGAAGGACATCCTCACCCTGAACAGCGGTCACTGAGCCGCTCGTACTTGTTTCCCTCTCCCTCGCATCCCATCACCGTACGCTCGGCAAGTGCCGCGCAGCGCGAAGATGAAAGCGTGCCCCGTCCGCGATCTGTAGAAGACGTTGCCTGTCCTGCGCCGTATTTCGCTCTGTGATGTGACCAGGCTGACTGTGGGCTCTCTGTTTGGTCAGGCGATGCGCGAGACGGGCAAGCTTGCGCAGATATCCGCTGCCAGCCTCGAGACTCAAGATCGTGATGTCCTGCACCAGGACCTCCCCGACTGTCTAGAAGCCAGGGACAGCCTTGATCTGCACCTCTCCCTCAGGACTGACCAGGATGCAAACCTGCAGCAGGTTCTCAGGCTGTGTCAGCAATGGAGTAAAAAGGACCAGGTCCCCAGGACGGCCAACACCCATGCCTGCTTCCTCAAGCTCAAGGATGGTGCCATCAATGTGTCCATCCTGCCAGACATGTACTGCCCTGGTGTTCCTGTGAGCATTGCAAGAGCCTGACAAGATGGCAAGCTCATTGAAACACTCTCCCTGGTCCTGCTTGGGGTTCCAGCCAGTGAGGGCTCCAATCAGTGGTAAAGCCATCTATTGAAGCTGGCAAACAGAGAGGGAGAGGCAGAGCTGGACAAGGCTGGCTCTGCATGCAGATGGACAGGCTCAGCTCAGCATGGGTACCACATATTGCAAGCATGCACCTTTGATGTTGGCTGACTATGCCAGCTGTTGGACCAGGCACTGCCAACACTGTGGCACACATCCCAGGTCTGCCTGCATTGGTTGCAGCAGCACTTGTGGCGATGCCTCCACTTTGGTGTCTAGGAGTGGCAACACCACGCTGCCCCACCACCTCTTCCTGCTTGCTATGAGAGGCTGTGTTGGCAATCATGGTACAGGACCAGATGATCTCTTGGCCAGATGCTGTCAAGCCTTTGACAAAGGCCACAGCATGTGATCGCCTGATGATCTTTTGACCCTCAAGCCTGAGGGGACCGTCAACACATTCCATGCCAGCCTAGTCTTCAACAAGTGGGCAAAGGATGTCAAAGGGGCCGGCGACAGCCTTGATCTGCACATCTGCCTCAGAAGCGATCAGGATGCTAGCCTTCAGCAGTACTTTGATCTCAGACGGCAGTGGACAATAAAGGGCCGGCTACCCAGGAAGACAGGGACGTATGCCTGCTTCGTCCAGCTCATCGACCAGAACGTGCAGGTGCTGCTACTACCCAAAACATACTGTCCCGGGATGTCTGTGCCTCTGGCACAGGCACAAAGGGACGGTGACCTGCTGGTGACGCTCTCCCTGGTCCTGCTGGGGGTCCAGGCCAGGGAGAGCGTCAATGGGTGGTACGGATTCCTGCTGCACCTGGCCAGCAGGGAAGGAGGTCCAGAGCTGGCCCAGCACCAGGGCTGGCTCGACACATGGGTGGACCGGCTCGTCAAGGAGAAGGAGGTCATCGGAACGATGAAGTTTCCTGGTCGGCTGGCCGAAGTCAATCGCATGATCAGTCAAGCACTGTCTGGAGCCGGCACACCTTTGCGTGAGTCCATGTGCACTGGCTGATGTTTTAGCGTCAACGGCGCTGATGTTTTAGCGTCAACGGCACTGACACTTCACCTCCCTTCTCCTCCCTGCCTGCAGCCAATCCTCCTCCGACAATCGAGGGAGGAAACCCAGCTCGACTCCCCTGCTCGTGCGTAACGTACGGATGCGGGGGAAAGCTGGTGGACCCCTTCACCAAGAATCGCCACCTGGACGAGGACCACAACAACAGCTTTGCGGGCGAAAGATCCAACAAGCGCCGTGGCGAGGTTACCGAGGAGAACAAGAAGGACAACGACATGCAGTGCTTCTGTGCTAATTGCCAGGGTTCACTGGTATCCTTCAGCACATTCTACAGGCACGGAGCGCATCACTCACCCGACAAGCCGGCCCGCAAGCCGAAGCCTTCCGACAAGCCGTGCTGGTGCCGGACTTACAGGTGTAACGGCGCGGTCCAGCCCAAAAGCACACGCTATTACCACAGCAAGGCGGACAACCTTGGAGGACCCCCAGGCCAGTACGTCAAGGGCAAGGGTTGGACGCGCGAGCTGGACGACAAGCCGAAGCCCAAGCCGAAGCGTCGCAAACACGAGAGGGACTAGGCGACGAGTACTCCCAGAGTCCCACAATCATCCGGGCCTGTTCTGTATCAGTCCAGTCGAAATGATCGAGCTTGTTTGACTCCGTGTATTCACGATTGTATCGGTTCAACAGGCCCACTAGGATACGCGCTGACAGAGCGAGCTCGCCCTCAATGCCGCTTCATCTCCTCGCGCAGCTCCTCGCCTATTGCGATGTACTCTGGCAGCACCTCTGGGTTGGCCAGCGTTGCGAGGTTGATGGTCGAGAGTGGGGCACCGTTGATGACTGCGGGTGGCCGATGCGGACGAGGGGGATGGGTCAGTCTTCGGCCGACGTGTGACGAGCGTCTCTGCGCCTCTGCGACTATGCCCCGGTGCGCGGCACTCACGTTTCTTTACGGGCACCTCGATCCTCTTGCCGTTCAACGTCTTGGGGCAGCCCGTGACCTTGCGCACAAACTTGGGACAGTGCCTCGCGCTCCGCTTGGCGCGGATCAGGCCGACGAGCTGCTTAACGAGCTTGGCAAACTCGTCGGGCGAGGCGTCGGCGGGGCAGCCGGGCTGGAGGACGAGGAAGAGGACCACGACCTCGTCGTCGCCCTTGGCCGTCTTGAGCGCCACGACAAGCGAGTCGGCGATGCACGACGTCACGTCCTGCGATTCGGCCGCTTCCAGCAGCTCGTAGATCTCGCTCGAGCCAAAGCGGATGCCGCCTGCGGGGTTCAAGGGGGAAGGAGGCAGAGCAGGTCAGCAGGGCGGCGGCGGCGGCGGCGGCGGATACAGCAAGCCCCGGGGACACTCACCGGGGTTGAGGATGCCGTCCGACCGGCCGAGCATGACGAGGCCGCCGTGCTCCGAGAGCGAAACGAAATCGCCGTGGTACCACACGCCGGGGAACTGGGCGTAGTAGCTGTCAAAGTACTTGGACTCGGGCTGCTTCCAGAAGCCGAGCGGCTGCGCTGGGAAGGGCCGCTTGCAGACCAGGTCGCCCTCGCGCCCGACGGGCACCGGCTCGCCCGCGTCGTCAAACACGTCCATGTCGAGGCCGAGGTTGCGCGCCTGAATCTCGCCCGCCCGCACCGGGAGCGCCACGTTGTGGCCTGCAAACAGCGAGCACAGGTCGGTGCCGCCCGTCACGGAGCCGATGAGGATGTCTGCGCCGATCTTTTCCAGGATGAACGGGTAGAGCTCGGCGCGGAGGGGGGAGCCCGTCGAGAGGATCTGTGGGGGAGGATTGCCAGAGGAGCGCGGTCGTCAGTTGGCGGTGCCGGAGTCGGATGTGCTCGGCACCCTCCGCGTCTCGGCGGCTCACCTGTCGGACCTTGAGCTGGTGGTGCTCGCGGGGCACGTAACCGCTCTTCTCCAGCGCGCCCAGGTAGGCGGCCGAGGTGCCAAACGTGGTGACGCCGTGCTTTTCCGCCAGGTCCCACAGCACGCTGGCGGGCTTCAGGGGTGACCCGTCGTAGAGGACGATGGTGCAGCCCGAGACGAGCCCGGCGATCAGGAAATTCCACATCATCCAGCCGGTCGTCGTGTGCTGGAAAAAGACGTCGGTCTCGCGCAGGCCGCCGTGGATGAGGTGCTCCTTGGCGAGCTGGATGAGCATCCCGCCAGCGCGGTGGGTGATGGCCTTGGGCTTGCCCGTCGTGCCCGAGGAAAAGAGGATCCAGAGCGGGTGGTTGAAATCGAGCTGCTCAAACGCGATCGAGTCGTCGCCCTCGCCCTCGGCCAGGAAGGCGTCCCAGGTGGCCCAGCCCTCGGCGGCCTCGGGGAGCGCCGCGTCGGCAACGTACGGCACCACGATGACGCCCTCGAGGCGCTGCTCGTCCGGCGAGCGGCCCTCTTCGAGCCCCTCGACGACGGCGCGCAGCTTGGCGACGTGGTCGTGGACCTTGCCGTTGTAGCGCACGGCGTTGACGCTGAAAATGACCTTGGGCCGGACGGTGCGCAGCCGCTCGAGGACCCCCTCTGGCCCGAAGTCGGCGGCAGCGCTGGTCCACACGGCGCCAATGGAGCTAGCGGCGAGAAAGGCGACGAGGTTCTCGATGTTGTTGGCCGAGTACGAGGCGACGCAGTCATTGACCGCGACGCCGCGGGCCCGCAGCGCGCGGGCGGCGCGTGCGACGGCCGTGTTGAGCTGGGCGTAGGTGATGGAGCGCTCGTCGAGCTTGCCCGTGACCGTGTCGACCTCGGTCGACTGGACGACGGCGACGCGCTGCGAGTGGCGGAAGCGCAGCAGGTTCTCTGCAAAGTTGAGCCTGGCGCCGGGGAACCACTTTGGCGGAGGGTAGATGGGCGCATCGTCGTCGATGGCCCTGTCGGCGCGCTGCGAGGCGACGATGCCCGTGTGATCCCAGACGGCGCTCCAGAACTGGTCGAGGTGGTCGCAGCTCCATCGCCATAGTTGGTGGTAGTCTTGCAGGTCGAGGTTGTAGCGCTGGTTGACGACGGCGCGGAAGTCGTCCATCGAGTTGGACTCGCCGGCCGGCGGCGACCAGACGAGGGAGCCCTGCAGCTGCTGCGGTTGTGTCATGGCGCGGTCGGGTGGGAGGGTGAAGGGGTGAGCGAGGTGGTGGGGAGGACGAGAAGGCGGCTTCGGACGGCGAGCGCCGCCTTGCTTGTCTTTTCAGGGCGGGCCAGGGAGCCCAGCAGATCTTCTGACCACGCACCACCCGGCGGCGGGATCAAAGCAAGTCAAAGTCTTAGTCTCTGTGCTGGGGCAACGGCGGGTGCAGCGTACCTTTCCCCACACGGCCAACGGCGAGCAGAGGGGGCCACAGCAGCTAGTGTACGAGGCTGTAGCCGGTCGGCTGAAGCGGGGATCCCGGCAACTCGAGGGCCCGCACCCCGACGCCAAGCCGGGCAGGCCTGGCAGGCCTGTCGAGCGGGGTGGTGTTGGTCTCGAGCTGGCGTCGGCCGGATCCGAATCGTGCTCCCGGGCCCCCACGCCTTGGCTCGGCGAGATGCCGAAGCGAGAAGGAAGAAAACGTGGCTCGCCCGCTGGAATTTCCAGCCCGTTGCCGGCCTCTCCGTGCGTTCTCTTGTGGGCCAGCCGGCCTCCTCTTTCGAGTCAGGCAGGTCGACAGGAAGCCTTGCCTGGGCTGGCAGGCCACGCCAGGCAAGGCTAGGGCGCGGGCGTGCATGACGAGCTGTTGACTTTCTTCTCGCGGCTGCTTTCCGGACACCACCACCGCCGCCTCACCACCCTATACCGCCCCGCCACGCCCCGCCCCGCCACGCCATGTCGACCCAGGCCAAGGACACCGCGCCATCGCCGCTGCCCAAGGTGGCCAAGCAGCTCATCGTGTTCGACTTTGACTGGTGAGTGAGGCGCTCGCGCCAGCTACACAGCCTCGCCCGCTTTTGCGCTGACGGCGACCCTCGCTCTGTCCTCGACATCGTCCCCACGCCGCACGCTCCCAGGTCCCTCGCCGACCAGGACACGGATCGGTACGTGCACGAGGTCCTCTCGCCGCGGCTGCGCGCCAAGCTCAAGCAGCTCAAGTCGAGCGTCCAGTTCACCGACCTCTGCTCCCAGCTCCTCGTCGAGCTGCACGAGGTCGAGGGCAAGTCCAAGGACGATGTCCTCAACGCCCTCCGCATGCTCCCCATGCACCCGGGCATGATGCGCGGCGTCAAGGCCCTCAAGCAGAGCGCCAACGTCGACACCACCTTCTTCCTCCTGAGCAACTCGAACCAGGTCTACATCGACACGATCCTCGAGGTGAGCGCCGCAGTACGGTGGATGGCCTCCTTCGACGTGACTGCTGACGCTTTCCCGCTCCCCCGCCTCCGCCGCCGCACAGCACCATAACCTCCTTCCACCTGCGTTCGAGCTCTTCACCGAGATTGTCACCAACCCGGCCACGTGGTCGCCCAGCGGTTGCCTGCAGCTCTCCCGACGCATCCCCGCCTCGTCGCCCAACCAGCACGCCTGCTCCGTCGGCTGCTCGCCAAACATGTGCAAGGGCGACGAGCTCGAGGCCTTCCTGTCGCGCCACGGCGGCCGCCAGGCCTTCGACCGCATCATCTACGTCGGCGACGGCGGAAACGACTACTGCCCCGTCCTCCGCCTCGGCGCCAACGACCTCGCCCTCGTCCGACGCTACCGCGGCCTCGAGACCCGCATCGCCCGCGAGGGAAACGTCAAGGCGGGCATCCGATACTGGGCTGGCGCGTGGGAGGTCGAGGGCATCCTCGGCGAGCTCAGGGGAGAGCCTCGCCTGGCCTGATCTGAGAAACAGCAGGCCAGCGGTCGGTCGGCGGTCGGCCGGCGCTAGACTCCGCTCGCTAGACGGCGGTCACGACACAGAACATTGATAATAGAAGCGGCTCGGCATCATACCCACAGCTCGGACGGCATGCGGAAGAGGGCTTTCACGACGACGAGCGATTAACGGTACAGCGATGGCGGTGCAGTTCCCGGAACAGACAAAGCAATGGTCCCTGGCCGAAGCCCCTCATAGCAACAGAGAGGCGAAGCTGGCCGCCGCTGCCACCGTCGCCAGCAGCGCTGCCAGGCCGGCCGGTGCCGGCAGCGCGCCGTTGGCATCGCCCGTCGTCGCCGGATTCGACGGGATGGGCAGCGGCGTCGACTTGCTCGATATCGCCGGCACGCCCGAGATGCCGCTCTGCGCCGTCAGAAGCGGGCTGTATGTCGAGGGTCCCCCGGCCGAGGTCGGAGCGACGCCGATCGATGCCGTCGCGGAGGCGTTGACGAACGCGTACGTCGCCGAAGTGGCGACGGGCACGCTCACGAGCGAGTTGGGCAGCACCGACGCCACCGTCGTCGCGTGCTCGCGCAGGAAGGCGCTGACGCTCTCTTCGGGCTCGGGCGCAAAGATCGTCGCCGGATCCGTGGCGTCGGCAGGCTGGCGCAGCGGGTAGAGTCCAATCTTGGGCGGCTCCTTGCCGTTGAGACCGATGCTATAGACCGAGTAGACGGCTCGCAGGAACGGCGTGCCAAGCACCCAGTCGACGCCGTCGGTGCCCGGCTCGACGGCCGCAGGCCAGGCAAAGCACAGCTGCGGCTGGCTGCTCGCTGGCCCGATGATGTAGTCGTCCGGCAGCAGCGTGATGTTGCGGCCACCAAAGGAAAAGTGCATCCGATCGCGCGTGTCGCACGGCACCACGAAGCGACCCCCGCCGACGTGGCGGGCATTGGTGATGTGCCGGAAGATGGCCTCGACCCCGGCGGGCGGACCGACGATCGACGACGTGCCCGTGTCGAGCAGGGCCAAGGGGTCGGCGCCGACGGCGGGGAATGTCGGCTTCAGCTGCGCGCTCTGCCCTGCCGCGCCCGCATCCGTCAGGCGCAGAGTCCACGAGACGTAGGCTCCCAGCGCCTGCTCGTCGAAGTTGTAGCTGCTGCTGGCGGGCAGGGCCGTGTTGCCCGAGGGAAAGGGGACGACATCGTGCCACTCGATCTGAGCGCGGTCCGCGGGCTGCGGCAGCACCCTCGGGTCGACGGCGCCAAACGTGATGCGGCCGCCATCGCGGGCGAGCGAGATACCAAACAGCGGGTAGGACAGATCGCTGCCCTGCAGCAGCGAGAAGGCGAGTGGGCTGTCCTTGGCAGGACCGAGCTGGTCGTCAAAGGCGGCCAGGCTGCGCGCAATCACGCTGCCCCGCGGGAAGCCGAAGCCCATCACGCCCGATATGCCCTGCTCGGTGAGCGTGACATTGGTACGGTTGACCAGGGCAAAGAGCTGGTCGGTGACGCCGAGGTCGCTGATGGTGAAGTTTTCCGAGGCGATGAGGCCCGAGGCGGCGGTGCCGTCGTCGTAGGCGATGCGGAACGGCACCTGCCTCGATGCGCTCGCTGCCGCCTGCCTCTTGGCGTACGCGATGCGTCGACCGCCCGTGCCGTCATACAGCTGGCCGTCCTGGCCGCGAGACGATGACGACGACGAGCCACCGACGTCGCCACGGCTGCTCGATACGTTGACGCTTTGCCCTTCGACGAGGCTTAGATTGAGCGGACGGTAGGACAAGCTGCGGCCCTCGTCGAACTTGAGGACTTCGCCGCTGCGGCACTGCTGCGACTGGCAGCCCGCAGAGACGATCCAGAGGTCGCTGGATCCCGTATCGAGCTGAACAAAGACGCGCTGCGCCGGATTGGAAGACACGTTGAGCGGAAGGTTGTATGCACTGCCGATGAAGCCGAGCATCTGGAGCTTGTCGTGGGGATTGGACGATGAGTCTTGGGGACCCTGGACGGCCTGGCGGCGGCGCAGGTGGGCCAGTCGCTGCTGCTGCACCTGCGCATGATCGAAATGGTCCCCTCCGAGGTGGCCGTAGACGTCGGACGCTGGCGGCGGCGGCCTCAGCTCTGCCGATCGGAGGCTCTCTGCTGGGGCTTCGTGTGCGGGATCGAAGTAGGTCGGCGCGTGGTCCGGAGCTGCGGCTGCCAAGTTGGCCCAGCCGGCGACGACGACGCAGGCTGCGACCAGTACGATGCGCTGCGCCAGCATGGTCGCTTCGTGCCGCAGGGTGTAACTCTGTCACGGCCAGCCGGAGAGTCGTTGATCGAGCTCCTGCAAAATCGAGTCGGGTAGTCGCGAGCTGCGCTTCTCGTTATGGCGGTCAGCCTTTCTGCCGCGGCGCGGGACGTGGACAGCGTGCGCCGACGGGCAGAGTTGGCCTTTCGGGTCGGCGGAGGCGTTGGCGGTGGTAGTGGCGGTGGTGGCGATGATGGCAGAGCAGCGAGCGCATGGCGGTGGTGGGGCAGAGGCTGGGGGGTTGAGTTGCAGTCTGTAGCTCAGAGGAGTCGCTGGCGGAACGAGGCCGGCCAGCCAACCAGGCAGGCCAGGGTCCTCTGGTCGTCGGTTCTTTGGCCGCGATGAGCGCAACCTGCAGCGGGAAGCCGGCCACGGCCCTGCTTCTGCCTGGGTTTGCAGGCTTGTGGGCCTGGCCCTTTTCGCGCTCAATTTACGAGGCGGTTTCCATCGACCGACTTCTGGGCGCACCCTCGTCGGCCTCCGCCTCGGGGTCGTCATACTACCGCTCGTCGCGGCCTCACTCCGGTCGGGCCTTCCGGGCTTCAATCAAACGTCGGCCGGTTCGGTCGGGGTGCAGGGACGGGCGTTGCGCTCTTCGTCGTCGGATCTGCCGTGGGCTTGTCTCGGCGGCTTCCGCGAGAGACGGCATCAGGGGATGTCGCCGGCGACGCCGACGACGACGCCAAGCATGCTCGACAAGTCCCTCCCGCGCTGCCGATCGGGACGTCACCGACTCGCCTTCTATTTGCGAGCCATCAGCGCCAGCTCAACAACGTCGCGGCAATCCCGAAGATACGCCAGGATGGCACCACGGCGGACCACATGCGCCGCTTTGCCGAAACACCACCGCGGCGCGCTCTGCTTCTGCCTGGAGAGAGGTAGGTAAACACCGGAGGCGTGGAATGCGAGCTAAGTGTTACTCTCTCACGGCGATCAACCTGTAGGCCGCTGGGGCTCCACGCCTTCCTTTTACGGCCGCTCCCCATTTCTCGCCCTGCAACGGCCCCAGGCCCTACTGCGAGCCCCGACTGGCCAGGACATCCCGCGGCAAGGTCCATGCCGCTACTGCCAGATCTCGAGGCCCTAGCCAGGCATGACATCTCATCGAGCTCGTCTTTCGATGGTATCAGTACCTAGAGCGCGCCGTGCCTGGGCCTGCAATCGCAAAGTGCTTGGCACCGGCAACCAATAACGGTCTCGCGAGCCGGGCCTGTCCAGTGGCGGGCTCGAGCGTCTAAGGCGCCACTTTGATACGGTATGTCGCCGCGACCGCTGCGTCCGCCCGGCCCAGCCTGACCTGGCGAGGTCGAGCTCTCCTCTCTAGCGACAGACGGGCAAAGGAACGCCAACGAGGCACCGCCTGCCAAGCCTCTACCGTATCCGTGGCATTCGACCTTGGCCTCGTCTTCGCCATCCGCAGGTGCGAAAACTCTTTCGCTGCGGCCGTCCGGCTGACGGCAGAGAACCCCAGCTCAGCAGCTGCAGCAGCAGCGGCGGCGGCGGCAGCGGGGGTCCGCGCATCCTTTTGGCACCAACGCGCCCTTTTGTGCCACGCACCCGCCGGGGTTGCAAAAGCAGGCAGACAGGGCTCCCTCCCGTCGCTCGACCGTTGGTTTCCGACGTGCGCGCGCGCGGTATACGGCCCGACGCAACGGCGACGCTCCGCCGATGCGATGTCGATCCTCGGCGTCTCCGCTGCTCCTGCCTCGGCACCACGACCATTGACGCATTATTGGACTCGTCGTGGACCTCGGTCGATCATCGCCAGGCTCGAGCTTTGCTCCTCCTTCGTTCGCACCGGCCTCCCGATGCGAGATCTACTTCGTCGGGGCACGAAGCATAGGGCAACGTGCCCTGAAACAGAAGATCGATGACTGCCGCCACCTCACGAAGAGCAGGCCCCCTGGTCGATCTCACGAGGGACGTGAGAGCTCACGCCCTCTATCTATGTATCTGCTCGCCATTGTTCGGCAGGTCCAAGCATGACCGGCAGCTTCCTTTTACACTCTCCTCCGCACGCATCCCCGGCGCTTTTCCGCGCCATCGACACGGACGCGAGCCACCACGAACAGGGCCGTTGAATGGGCTACAGCAGGTCGACCATGAGCACACATGGGGGGCGTACAAAGAGGGGCCGTGGCGAGCGGCCACCTAGCCTGCACCTCAGCCTCGAGGAGGTGTGCCGCCGATCGAGCTGCGATGCGACCTTCTTTCTTCTTCAAAGAGGCAGACGTGTCTGGGCCGCGGAACAGCGCTCGCTGCTCGCTGCTCGCCGCTCTGTGAGCTGCCAGGGCGGTCCCTGGGCTCGCAGGGCGGCGGCCGCCTTGCTTGCTCCCGCGACCCTGACAGACCAGAGCACTGTCCGCCTGCTGGCTTCAGCCGCAGTGCCTTCAGCTACACATGTGTACGGATGGAAGGTGTGGACGGGCCCTGTCATCAAGTGTCGAGAGGGGGCTGGTTCGCTGCCTGAACGATGGCACATTTCAGCAGCAGCGGCGGTCCTGGACCTGCAGCAACATCCGATGCTGAGGCGGCCCACCGACATGCTGGACGAGAGTGCGACACTACCCCTCTCTCGCTCACTTCTCCTTTGAACGCACCGGCACCGTACTGTACCTACCTTTCACCGCTCAGCCGGTGGCCAGGGAGCAGGCAGTTCGTGCCATCGGCTACGGATCACCCTAGGTCGCAGCGCGGCCCTAGTCGGTCCCCCCCTCTCCCTAGCGTCATTTCCATCTGTCGGCTTGACTTCGGCAGCGCACCGTCGCGCAGCCCGACGATCGACGGCGTCCGACACGAACGTCGACGTCGAGCCATCATCGCGGATGCCTGCCCATCCGACGAGTGAGCTTTGCCACACATCTCGGCGGCTACGCTGGACTTCGGTGTACGCCTGACAAGCGCCGTGCAGGTGGCTTCGCGAAGACAAGCTGGCCCGCTGGCCCCGGCGCGCGGCTCGTACACTACGTACAGTACCGTGAGTGCGTAGCGGGGCGGCCAGGTACGGCCTGGCTAGAGCCATGTCGCGGGCTCATCGATCGGCTCGGCCTGCTCGACTTTTCACCGCGGCCAGAAAGACGGGCTAGTCGTCGCGGTCTAGGTACCGCTCTTCGCCGTCGGTGCGCTTGCGACCCGCGGCAAAGCCGCCAAGCAAGCTGGCCTAGAACAGTCGACGGTCGACGGTCGTCCCATGTCGCAGCAGGGTACGGTGTTTCCGTCTTGACTTTGCCTTTCTGTCAGAGCCCTCCAAGCGAGAGCCATCGCTGTGGACACATCCATACACCACCTAGTGGCCTCGCTCGTCGTCGAGATGCTCGCCGTACGGTATCGAAGAGATGGCGTGCTGCCACCGCCGGCAGAAGGGGAGGATCCGGTCTGCCCTGGCCTGGCCCGCAGCATCTCCTTGGCCTCGAGAGCGTCGGGCCAGGCCAGCCAGCTCCTCTGCCCGCCAAGAAGGCTTGAGCCAGCCCCTGCCGATGCGACGCTGAAACTTCCTGCTCGCCCTCTTTTTGGCGGCCCTGTTCTGAACGAGCCAACTGGCCTGCCAAGCCGTACGCACGCGTGCGAAGCCAACCTGGCTTTTACTCGTTTATTCCGCACAACGGGGATCGTGATGCGCGGCCTTGAATTTGCTATTGAGGATTTGTATTCGACGCGTGCGGTCGGGGAAGGAAATCGTTTCGGCAAGCCACGCACCCTGCCTGCCTGCTGGCCTCGCACGCACGCAGGCAGGAGCACGCAGCTAGGCCTGCCTGGCCGTCTGCCTGCCGGCCTGTTGTTTCGAAAGCACCAGCAGGCAGGCAGGCAGGCTGTGAGAAGCAAAGGCACGACCAAGGCAGGGCCCTGGCCGCGGTTTGGCTCCTGCGGCCCCCTCGCCTGCCTGCCTGCCTGCCTGCCTGCCTGCCTGCGCCTCACCCCCCTCTCCTGGCCTGCTGCCTCTCTGGCCAACCCTCTTTCTCAGCGGAGCGCACGAGGCCAAGCCAACCGGAACCTCGACCTCATTCTCAGCCTGGCTTGGGCAGCAGCGCGGAACAACAGCAGCAGCAGCACCACCAGCAGCCGCAGCGACCCGACAAAGACTTGGCTCCTCCCCTCACCCCCGCCTTCCAACCACCATCCCTCCCTCGACACCGCCCTTGATCGGACGACGACAACAACAACGACGACGACGACGACGACGACACGCCGCCGCCGACCCTGTCGACGACTCCGCCCTCCGGACCGACCCGCCCGAATTTTGAACGGATCGCATCAGCTATTTCGGCCCTACGGACAGGATCTTTGCCCACGCCCGCCCCGCCCCGCACCTTGACAGCCTTGCCGCAAGAGCAAAGGGCTCCTTCGACTCGGAGACTGGAGACGCTCTTCGCCGGCATCCTGGCCTCATCAGCTCGATCACCGCGCTTCTCCCACCTTTTTGCTGCTGCTCACTGCAGACATCATCAGAGTCGGCCTTCTTCCAATCGCCCGGAAGCTCCCCAAGCAGCGGCCCCGGCAGCTTCCGCTTCTCGCTCGGCACCGACGAACCACGACCTCGGCTGAACCGTCGAACTGCTGCCTCCTCGGCGACTTTGACTGCTTCATCTGCCTGCGACTTGGCTAGGCCCTTTGTCGGCCGCGCAGACCCGGTCACGGCAACAGCGACGGCTACGCCCCGAGCCGTGCGGAGGACGCCACGCGCTTCGTCATCGAGCCCTTTGTGCTGCGACCGAGGTCTTGTCTGCGGCAGCGCATCGCGAAGTTGAGGCAAGGCTTGGCTCTGCTGGCAGTCCTTCCGAAGGTGAGTGTCGGCTTTCCAGAAGACGCGACGGTGCGCTCTCGATACCTCCCGATGTACAGGTCTCGATCAGGAAGAGGGACAGACGTTGGGGGAGGAGGGCTGGTCACTCGATCCCGGCAGGGCGAGGTTTGTAGGCGAAGCAGGCGGACACGCTCGACTCAGCTGGCAGGAGGATGATGGTTGCTTCTCCGAAAGAGAGGCAGCGAGCAATGGGGATGGACGAGTTGCAGGCTGCAGGGCCCGTTGCGGCCAAGGTTGCGCCTTTGAGGCCGAGGGCAGGAGACGCCGAGCCGCGCCAGCCTGAGTTGCCTCCGAATGATGCGACGTCGTCGCCGCTCCTCGACGCCTCGCCAACTGCCTCTCTGTCGTGACGTTGCGGCGCCCCACTTTGATCTAAAAGCCTGACCGCTGATCCCGACCCACCTGCTGCTCTCTTTCTGCCCCTTTGCGCCCTCGTCGCCTTTCCGCTGACTTTCCGTCTTCAACCACCATCACCATCACCATCACCACCTCCGCCCTACCCTTCATCACCGCTGCCACCACCACTTCGCGCTCGCGCTCGCTGCACTGCTCCGATGCTCTTGTGGCGTCACGATGGCTCGCCCTCCGTCACAATCGCTCCCACCATCTCCCGAACCCGCGGCTGCGACCGACTGGACACCCCATCGACCCCCACCGCCGACCCATGCGAATCCGCCCCTTGCTGCTCTCCAACGTCGGGCAACGACCAACAGCTCTGTTGAGGCGACTCGTCACCGGAGCTGTCCAGGACCAAGGCGTGCCGACTCCCTGACGGGGACGACGTTTCAGGTCGGCCAGATCATCCCGCGTCCACCGCCGCCTCTACCACATCGCCTCACCGCACCGCCTTTCTCTGTCAGGATGGACGGCGGAGGACTACAGCTGCTTCCTTCGGCTGGACCGTCCCCGCCATTCGTCGCGGGCCCTAGGAGGGCTATCAGCTCGGCTTCGACGTATGCTAGGCCGCGCCCAGGGCCAAGGCCTCCGCGCCCATTTCACTGCGGCGGCCCCGGCGTTCGGTCCTCTGCAGCGACAACCTCCTTATCGCACCTTCCCAGCGGACCAACGGCCGGGGGACTCAGCTTCCAGGACTTCGATCTCGGCACGTTTCTCGGCACACATCTTTCCGATCTCAACGGCGGATCAGCACCGTCGGTGGGCGGCGGCTTCGACGATGGCAGTTTTGGCTCGTCGTTCGGCGGCGGGTCCTCGAGTCCGGCAGGGTCGAGAAACGGCGGGGGCGGTGCGAATGGCGGATCCGGCGGGGCCCCTGGCGGGAATGGCTTCAACGGCGGAGGCGCAGGCGGCAGCGGCAGCGGCGGTAGCGGGGGCGACGGCCAGGATGCGGACAGGGCCAAGAAGGTGAATCCGCTGGTCGACCTGATGGAGAGCGAGTCGGCTTACGTCTCGGAGCTGAGCAAGATCATCAAGACGGTGGCGGCCGCCTGGAGCAGAGCCAACTTCCCGCCGCCGGAGCTCGATGCCATGTTCCGGTGCACCGAGGCCATCTACCGGGTCAATCGGTCGTTCCTCAAGGCGCTCAAGGAGATCGGTCCCAACCCGTCTTCGCCCAAGGCGCTCGGCGACCTGCTGATGCGCTGGATCGACGACCTCGAGGCGCCCTACACCCGGTTCTGCGAAAGCTACCTCGCCGACTTTGACTCGTGGCCCAAGGTGCAGAGCAACCCGAGGCTGGCCGAGCTGCTCGGCGAGATTTCGGGCGCCACCAAGGCCGACGGCACACCGGTGGTGTTCTCGGACCGGAGGCGCGACCCGAACGAGCCCTGGACGCTCGACATGCTGTTTGCGCTGCCCCACATCCGGCTCAAGTACTACAAGAAGCTCTACTCGCGCTTGCTGAAGAGCACGCAGCCGGGCCGCAGCGACCACAAGCTGCTGGTGGGCGCCAACGCCAAGCTCGACGACCTGCTCGACAAGTCAAAGCGGCGCCTGGCCATGTCTGTGCTCGACGAGGCCGGCGGCGGCCGCGGCAGCCTCGATGGATCCCTCTCGGAGAGCAACACCACCGCCGAGACCTCGCCCCGTGGCAGAGGCTCTTCGGCCACTTCGGCGTCTGAGGGCAACGGTCCGCTTTCGCCCTCGCACAAGCCCTTCGCGTTCGCATCGAAAGGCCTGAGTCCCGCCGGCAGCCCCAGCAGTGGGGCCCTTCGCCACGTCGGTGACACCGGTCCGCCGACGCCGCTCGCCGCCGAACGGCGCCTCGAGGGTGGCTCGACGTCCGCATCGCCGAGCCGCCCGGACTTCTCGCGGCACAACAGCTCTGAGGCGGCGAGCTCGGTCGACGCAGTGACGTCGCAGGTGCGCAGCATGGCCGGTCCATCGAAGACGGACTCGATGTCGCAGCCCATCGAGGCCCTCGAGGGCCGCCTCGACACGAGCCGCACCCTCGACATCTTCACCATGAAGCCCAAAAAGTGCCAGCTGCAGATGCGGCCGCCAAACCTGCCGTTTGAGCGGTCGCTCCGCAAATCGGCCGACGTCGTCATCCACCTGACGCCGTCGAGTGGTGGCGGCGAGATCGCCATCCGCCGCGCCCACATCTTCCTGCTCACCGACCTCTTCCTCGTCTGCGAGAGGATGACGCCGAGCGAGCGCGCCGAGCGGTCCTCGGGGCCCGGGCCCAGCCCAGACATGTGGCTTCTCTATCCTCCGTTGGCCGGCAAGCACCTCCGCGTGGCCGACTTGGGCGGTCAGGGCAACGTGCTGGCCATCACCATCCTCAAAAAGGAGCGCCTGATTGTCTCGACCGAGTCTCGCGAGGCCAAGGAAGACTGGATTTCTCACCTCGAAGAGTGTCAGAGGTTCGCCGGGAGCAGTAAGTTGTCGCCCGCTCGCCCAGTCGCTGGGAAGCAGGGAAACCTGGTCGGCTGGTGCGCGATTTTTGCGGACGGTTTCTGACGCTTGCGCTACTCCTTGTCCCGCCTGGTGCCTGTGCCTGTACCGATTCCTCTTGTTTCCGTCCGGTTTCCGTCCGCCGCTGACAGTGGGGCTCAAGGTCAAGACCAGCAGCAGCCTTGCTCCGATCGCAAACGGAGCCACCGGTAGCGCCCTGCCCAGCCCTGCGCTCTCACCCTCGATCTCGGTCACGCCTTCGACGCAAGAGGGTCCCACCAACGGGCAGCCTCCGCCGCCCAACATCAACGTGCCCGCCTCGCCCCACTCTCCCGTCGCATCCGGCCTCGGGCGGCACACTTCGTTCAACTCGGTGGCGTCGTTCCCCAAGGAAGCTCCCAGCGGCTCGCCCGACCTCCGCATCCCTCCGCTCAACAGTCCGGGCTCGTACGGCTCGCCTCGTTCGCCCTCGCCTTCGCAGTTTGCCGGCCCCTCCCCTTCCTACTCGGCATTTGGAGCGAGGCCGTCGGGACCCCTACCCGGGGGCTCTGCGATCCGCCCAGCTGGCCTCATGTCCCCCACGCCGACGCTATCGCCAGACAACAGTCCCAACTTTGGACCCACGAGGCTGGGCCAGGGCCCCAACGGACCGGTCGGACCCGGCGGCTACCCCAGCATGGGTCGTCCGCCGATGATGGCCAACGCACCCAACGGCATGGCAGGGCCGCCGCCGCCGCGACCCCCTTACGGACCGGGACCACCGCCGCAGCACGCCAACGGCACCAGCCCTCGCGGCGGTCCAAGCCCGACCCCCGGAGGTCGAGCAGGGATGCCCAACGGCTCCATGATGCGCCCGCCGCCGCCACCCCCTCCGCCTGCGGATGGCAAGGGTTGGAGTCCATCCCCCGGGCTGGGGGCTCCCCCCGGTCACTCGCGCGAGCCGCTGCGTCGACCCTCGGCGCCCAACCTGCGCGACGCCAGCCGCGCATCGTCATCCAACGGGCACTCGGACGATGGCGCCGAGCATTCGCGGTCGTTTGGACGCTCGCGGTCGGTGTCGAGCTTCGGATCGTCTTCGGCGCCAAGGCTGCCGTCCGAGATGATGAAGACCGGCATGCCGACGCCCAATGGGGGCGAGGACCCGTCGCCGCCATCGAGCCCGACGCGCAAGAACCGCGGGCCGACGCGTAGCACGGTCTCGGCGCAGATGCGGTGCAAGATCTACCTCAAGCAAAGCCATGCCCAGTGGAAGTCGCTCGGCAACGCCCGGCTCAAGCTCTACCACATCCTGCCCGACGACTACAAGCAGCTGGTGGTCGAAAACGATCGCAAGACGCTCATCTCGACGATTGTGCTCTCGGACGGCGTCGAGCGCGTGGGCAAGGTGGGCGTCGCCGTCGAGCTCTCGGACCAGGGCAACCGCACGGGGATCGTCTACATGCTCCAGATGCGGAGCGAGGAGTCGGCCGGAGGCCTGTTTGGGCAGCTGCTCGAGGGCAGCGACCGCACGGCGCTGCAGACGCAGATGCGCTGATGCCACCAGCGCCCTTGTCCCGGTTCCGGTCCCGGTCCACCCTCTCTTGCCTCGCCACCCTTGTCCATATGCGCCCTCGCCCCTGCCGTCACGTCGACCGTCACCCTGGATCTAGTCGCCTTTGTCGTTCCCACCTCGTCGCTCCCTGCTCCGGCCTCGTCCCCTCCTCTCCTTCCTCTCTCTTCCACTGTCGCTCCCTGGTTCCCGTCCTCGCTCCTTGCAACGGCAGCCACCCACCGGGCTTCCCGACCCCCCACTCCCTCTCCCTGTATCTCTGGTCAATCGGGTCACCCCATTTCGCGCGCTGCCGTCGTCGTCGTCGATGTCGCCGCCACCAACGTACGCTCCATGTTTACACGGGCCATCCCGCCGCTAGACCTTTCCTTTGTCCTCGTCGTCATCCGCAAACCACACTCGCACAGCCAGGACGTTCATGTCGCCAGGACGTGGATGGGCATCGCTGCTCGATTGCCGCGACGCACTCTGGGCCGCTGCTGCTGCTGCTGCTGCTGCTGCTGCTGCTGCTGCGTGCCGGCTACTGCGGCGTCCGGATCTCCTCTGACGCGCCTTGGGGCGCATCCTCCATCTCCTCGTCGCCATCCTCGACGGCTCTTGCCGCGTCCGCCGTGCCGTCGCCTTGCTCATCCTGGTCGTCGGACTCCGACTCGTCCTGGTCACCTGCGTGGTCTGCCTTGGCCGGGGAAGCGGATGCCCTCGCCTCGGCAGCGAGGGCCGCCGCGCTCTGCCTGGCCGTCCTCTTGACCGGGCTTTTGTCCCTGCGCGGTTCGTCTGCCGCATCGCTGGCCGCGGCGGCCTTTGATGCCGCCGATTTCGACTTGGCCTTGACCTTTTTGGCGGGCCGTTGCACGGGAGCGGGTGCGTCTGCCATGGCCTCGTCTCCCGCACCGTCGTCGCCCTCGTCGTCGTCGTCTCGTGCCTTGCCGCGACCACCGCTGCCACTGCCACCACGGCCGCCGCCGCCGCCGCCGTCGTCGTCGGAGCCGTCCTCGTTGAGCGTCCCTGCGAGAATGGCCGCCTCCATGTCGGCGATCTGCGTCATCTTTGCCTCTCGCTCTGCCAGCGCGGCTGAAAGGGTAAGAGGCGTCGGGACCGCCTCTGTGCGAAAGAAGGACCGGCCAAGGCAGAAGGGACAAGAGGTGCGAGATGGGTCAGCCGGCGTGTCGTGGGACTTGGCCTCTGCAGAGGAGCAGCAGTGTGCGCACCTTTGAGAAAGTCGAGGTAGTCGTTTTGCTGCACCGCTTTTGCTGCACAGGGGAAAGGATCAGGACAGCAGGGGGCATGGCCGACAAGGTGAGTGGAAATGGACGGACGACGAGGACTCGCGCCTCGCCGCTGTGGGTGGGCCCCCGTGCTGTACGTACACATGTCCTTGTAGCTGACGACCTTTCTCTTGTCGAGACGGGCGTTGGTGTAGGCCTCGTCGACGAACTTCTTGACAAAGAGCTCTGTGGCGGCCGAAATGAGAAAGGTGGCCTCGCGCGAGCAGATGTCGACGTCGCGGTCGGCCTTGATGATGCGCTGTACGCGGGCCGTGGGCAGGGTCGACGTGCCGCGCTGGCGCTTGGTGCCGCTGGATCCGGGCTTGGAGGCGGAGGCTGCCTTTTTCTTCTTCTTTGGCTGCTCGGCCTCGCCATGCTGCTGCTGCTGCTCGTCTGGGGCTGTTGCGACGACATCGGTGTCGTTGTTGTGGCCATTCGCGTCCGAGAGTGTGTCTTGCGGAGTTGCCGAGCTTCTTTGCCGTTCTTGCGACATGGTGAGCGAGTTGGTGTGTGGCGAGGTGGGAGCAGGGGCCGGGTGATGGTCGAGGGTAGGACGACAGGTCGGCCAGTCTCCGGACTGTTGGTCAACCAGACTGCGCCTTGGCCAGCGGCCCCGGCCGCGCTCGTCTACGCGACACGCGCCTGAAGCCGAGCCTGGCCTGCCAGCGAGCCTGAAGGCGCATGCTCTTTTTCGCTTCCGCCCCGGAAAGGCCGGCCAGGCCAGGCCAGACAGGGCAGGGCCAACAGCACACCAGGCAGGCAGGCGCCTCCTCCACTTGGACGCTCTGGGTGTGACTTTGGAAGAGCAAGGCAAGGTGCAGGCTTGACCCGCCCCACTTGCCGACGCCACGGGCTCAGCTTTTGTTAGCTTGCCCCTCGACCACGACGCCACCCGCATTCCGCGACCTAGCGCTCGATCCGCCATGGCCGACCACGACGACCTCGATCCGGCCGCTCAGTCGTCCCGGTACCGTCCCATCAAGGTACGCCCCGCGAAATTCCTGATTGCTCGACTAGACGGCCTCGACCGCGCCTGCTGATATCCGCCTCCCTGCCGCTCCCCGCTCCCCGCCACCACAGAGGCTCGAGGAGAGCGTCGTCAACCGAATCGCTGCCGGAGAGGTGAGCATGCCATTCTTTGTGGTGGTTGCAATGGACCAGGCGGCCTCAGACTGACCCTGAACACCTTGACCCGCGCAGATCATCCACCGTCCCGCCAACGCCCTCAAGGAGCTCATTGAAAACAGCCTCGATGCCGGCGCAACCATGATCAAGATCACCCTCAAAGACGGCGGCGTAAAGCTGCTCCAGATACAGGACAACGGCTCCGGCATCAGGGTAGGTCCAGCCCCGCCGCCCTCCGCACTCGCACATTGTTGGTCAGTCGGTCCCGCGCTCAGCTGACGCGCCCGCTTGCCCTCACCGTACCCGCCCTCAATCCACACAGCACACCGACCTGCCGCTCCTCTGCGAGCGATTTGCCACGTCCAAGCTCCGCGACTTTTCCGACCTCTCCAAGATGACGACTTTTGGCTTTCGCGGCGAGGCCCTCGCCAGCATCAGCTACGTCAGCGCATCGATGAGCGTCGTCAGCAAGACAAAGGACCAGGATTGCGCCTACAAGTGGGTCGCGTTGCAGCATAGGCAGCTCCATATTGCCCTCGCCGCCAGCTAACCTCGCTCCCCCCTCGTCGTCTGCCGCTCCGTCACCAACGCCCTGCAGAGCCTACTACTCGTCGGGCGCATTGGCCCCGCCCAAGCCGGGCCAGTCGTCTGCGCCGCGCCAGTGCGCCGGCACCGACGGTACCCTCATCTCGGCCGAGGACCTCTTCTTCAACGTGCCGCAGCGCAGGCGCGCGCTCAAGAGCGGCGCGGACGAGTACAACCGAGCGCTTGATGTCGCCGCCAAGTACGCCGTGCACTACGGCGGCCGCGGGATCGGGTTCTCGTGCCGCAAGGCTGGATCCAACGTGACCGACCTCAACACGCCCGCCTCGGCCACCAACACGACGCTCGACGCCATCCGTATGCTCCACGGTAACGCGGTGGCCCGCGAACTGATCGAGCTCAAGCCGATGGAGGACGAGAGGTACGCCTTTCGCTGCCAGGGCTGGATCAGCGGAGCCAACTGGAGCAGCAAGCGCTCGACCATGCTTTGCTTCATCAACAGTGAGTACGGTTGGCCGTGGCAGACCCCGGATGTGCACGGCGCTGCGGGAAGAGCTCGGCAGCGTTGACACCGTTGGGCGACGTCGTACCCTCGTCTCCATTGCCTGCTGCATAGATCGACTGGTCGACTGCCCGCTCCTCAAACGCTCCCTCGAGGCACTCTACGCGACGCTGTTGCCAAAAGGTGGTCACCCGTGGATCTACATCTCGCTCGACATCCGACCGGAGAACGTCGATGTCAACGTCCACCCGACCAAAAAGGAGGTGCACTTTCTCGACGAGGAGGAGATTGTCGAGGCCATCTGCGTCCACGCTCAGACCTGCCTCGCGGGTGCCAACGCGAGCCGGACGTTCCAGTTCAGCCAGGCGCTTTTGCCCGGTGCGCCTGACCCATCGCGTCCGATCAAGAGCCGAGACCGCGACCGCGACGAGGCTGGCAACCGCGCACCGGATGGTCAGGAGACGCCGTATGACGATCAAGAGCGTCGCGATGCCCTCGACGACGCCGTCTCCGCTTCCACCACGACGCCCGTCGGCGCCAAGCGGGCAGTGGCGTTCGCCGACAAGAGCCTGCCGCCGTCGCTCCAGAAGGGCTATCCGCAGCACATGGTCCGCGTCGATGCGCGGTCGCGCACGCTCGACTCGATGTTTGGCTCCTCCTCGTCTTTGCAGCAGCAGCCTCCCTCGCTCAGGAACAGCAAGCGGCAGGTGGACGCGGCCATGTCGACCGATGCACCGACCGTCGATGGGGAAAAAGATCAGCCTTCCTCGCACCTCGACGACAGCAGCGCCATCGAGGACGGAGCGGGTGTGCGGCCGTCGGGGCGCAAGAAGCGACGCACGACGCGGATCCCGGAGTCGGACATTGCCCTCACCTCTGTGCGCGAGCTGCGCGCCGAGATCCAGAAGCGCAGGCACGGCGGCCTCGCCGACATTGTGCACAACCACAGCTTTGTCGGCGTCGCCGACCTCGACCGCTCCCTCAGCCTGCTGCAGCACGAGACGCGGCTCTACCTCGTCGGGCATGCCGCTTTCATGTGGGTCTCCTCTCTCTCTGCGTCGACCGTTTGCGTGCGTGCTCCACGGATCTGGGAGCGACGAGTCTGACGAGCCGTGACCGTGCGTTGCGTCCCTGTCCTCTATTGGTCCGCTTGGCAACAGCGAGGAGTTTGCGTACCAGCTCGTCATCCGCCAGTTTGGCAGTCTCAAGCGCATCAAACTCGACCCGCCACCTTCGATCGAGGAGCTCATCCGGATAGGCCTCGATTGCGAGCCGGACGTCCCGGTCAAAGGCCCAGACCGCGAGCAGATGGTCAAGGTGCGTTACGTGGTCTCCCTTGTTCGTCGCCTCGTACTCTGTCTCGTCCACGTCTTAACCTCCCTCTCCCTCTCGCCCTGTCGCACACACACAACACCCCTCCGACAACAAACGCAACGGCAGAAGATCGCAAGCACCCTCATCGAGCACGCCGAGATGCTCGACGAGTACTTCTCGCTCGGCATCGACGCCGAGGCCGGAACGCTGCTCAGCATCCCGACGCTGCTGCCTCCCACGCACACGACCACGGCGTCCAGGGGCGACGCCGACGAACCCGGCAACGACGCTGGCAGCGAAGCAACAATGGCGGGTACGATTTCGCTCGAGCGCCTGCCGGCCTTTTTGGCGCGGCTGGGCCCCATGGTCGACTGGGAGGACGAGAAGGCGTGCTTCGAGACTTTTGCGAGGGAGCTCGCCTTTGCCTGCCTCCCCGACACGCCGCTGCCACTCGCACCCGACAACCAGGGCGGAGGCGAGCGCAACGAAGACGATGGCGACGAAGCGGCGGCGGCGGCGGCGCGGGCAGAGCATCGCCGGCTGAGGGAGAAGACCAAGTGGGAGGTCCAGCACCGGTGGTTCGCCAGCATGGTGGCCAGCGTCGGCCGCTTTGCGCCGCCCAAGTCGCTCCTCGACAGGGATGTTGTGCAGGTCGCCAACTTGCCGGATCTGTACCGCGTCTTTGAGCGGTGCTAGAGGAGAGGGGAGACGGGGTCGGGACCAGCTGCGTCGATGGTCACCCGCTACATCATACCCGGTACCACTGATCGAACTCGGTGACGCCTCCCAGCCTGAGGAAGCCCGGTACGGGCGACGTGGCGGGCATCAGCTTGCGCAGTGGGCTGTCAGAGGGCCCGAGGGGCGGACGAAGCTAGTGTCAATACCGAGACGCCCTTCAAGTCTACGACGCCGGCACGGCGATGGCGGCAAAGGGGGCGTGCGACGGCTACTCACTGCCCCGGCGAGAAGCGCTTGGGCACGTTCTTGATCCTGCGCAGCAGCTGCGTCAGCGTCTCGGTGCTCGACACTTCGCAGATGTCGATGTCGTTGAGCTTCCTGCTCTTCTTGACCCTTTTGCCGCCGTGGCGCGAGAGGTGGACGTTGCTCGTGTAGACAAAGCACGCCGGCTCCTCCCACCACTTGGCGTGGGCCTTGGAGTCGGCCTCGTCGCCCCAAGCGGCGTAGGCCATCTGCTGGCGGGTGAGGGGCGGCAGGCCGTTGCGGACGCGGCACCAGTTGGCCACGAGCTCGAGCGCCGTGTCGTCGACAAAGTTGGACGACGGGAAAAACAGCCGCATCCGGTTCGGGTTCTCGAGCGCGTACTCGGACTCATAGCACGAGACGTGCCACTTGCGCCTCTCGCCCGTCGGCGGTCCCCGCGTCTTCTGCTCGTTGGCTCCGTGCGTGATCTGGATCCGGTAGGTGCACGGCGGGATCTGTTGGTTGCACTTCTGCGAGTATCGACGAGGTCGGCAGCGGCGATGAGGAGGGTTGGGTCAGCGCGTCTGCTGCACGCACGAAGCAGGCTAATCGGGAGCGGCGCAAAGGGGGCTCCAGGCGAAGAGGACGACGCACCTTGCAGAGCGTTGCCCTGGCGTACGGCGTCAGCTCGAGCAGGACCAAATTGACTGCCGGCAGGGAAGCGGTGGCGAGAGCGTCAATCTCGTCCGAGCCCATACGTCCTCGGTCGCCTCATCTCGCACAGCAACTCACGGTTCGGCGAGACGGTCCAGACCCTGCCGTCTTCGGTCCTTGCGCACTTTCGCTTGTTGACGACAAACGCTCCGTCGTCGTCTTCGTCTTCCTCGATCTCCTCGTCCGTGTCCTCTGCTTCCTCTCCTGCTCGCTGATCCTCGTCACGACGCGCCCTCCGTTCGTTGTCGTCGTCGCCGGACTGGCTCCTTGCTTTGCCCTTGCTGGAGCTCGTCTCCCTGCCGTCGCCGTCCTCCGAGGACGGCCTAGGATCAGACCTGCGCATGGCGACGCGGCCCCGCTCGTTGATGCTACGCTTCCGCTGAGCGGCGCGCAGGAGCGAGGATGGCGGTGCCGGTGGCGTTTCGCTGCGGTGGAAGCGGCTAGGAGGTCGCAGAGGGAGACGGATCGGGGCGAACTTCGATGGCAGCTTGACCTTGGAGCCTGCGGGTGTCGCCGTGGCGGTCGTGGGGGCTGCCTTGGACGTCGGAGGCGGGATCAAGGGCTCAGCGATCGCGACGCCACGGGAGGCCAGGGTGGCCGACCGAGTTCTCGTCCTGCTCGAGCCATCCGGCGCTGCGCTCTGGCTCTGTTGTGCGTTTGCAGTGACCGAGGACGAAGCCCTGGCCGCCGAGACCGAAGCAGACCTGGATCTTGTTGCGATGGCCTGCACTTTGGTCGACGGCGTGGTTCCTACCCGTGCGTGTTCGCGGCTGACGCTGCTTCGCCGCACCCACTCCCATCCATTCGTCCTCTCCCTAGTCTTTCGAGCCGACGAAGGCACTTCGAGGTACTCGTCGTCGAAGAGGTCCTCGTCGTCGTCGTCGTCGTCCTCACTCAGACTCGTCGTCGTCTCCTCCTCCCCAAGCTCCTCTTCGTCGGCGAGGGAGGATGCCTCGCGATCGGACCCGGACAAGGGGCAGGAAGCAGAGGAAGAAGAAGAGGAACACGAAGAGGTCGCGGCAGCCGTCGTAGACGTCGAGCAGCCGCCGGCGGATGCCTGGGTGGTAGTCGCGGTGGTAGTGGGTGTATCGTCGGTAGCGCTGGTGGTGGTGCTGTTGTTGGTGGTGAGTACGATGGTGGTGGTGGTGGGGCATGAAGGAGGCGGATGCGGAGCTGAACGAATAGGGTGGCGTTGTGTGGCGAGAGAGGCGCGGGCTGGGATGAGCAGCGGACGCGGTGGGAGCTCCAGAGGCGGTGTCGATGGCGACGAGGAAGGGCCGGCGAACGAGGGTCGAGAGGCCTGCTGGCCCGGCTGCGGCGGAAAAGCCGTCATCGGGCCAGGCCGAGCGTCTGGCCGCTGCTGCGCTCCTTCCCCAGGCCGAGGGACGGAGGCCAGGAAGGCTAGGGCTGGGGCTCGGGCTGGGGCTGGGGCTTGGGCTGGGGCTGGGGTCTGGGCGGGGACGCGGCGCGGGTGGCCCGCCGACTGGCCAGCGCGCGGTGGTTCGTGCGCCGCTCTGACTGATGGCTGGTTGCTGCTGTGGCTCGACATCGGCATGGGCCATGAGGCTGCTGATGCTGGCCAGCCCGCTGTAGCGTGGCGAGGTCTGCTCTGCGCGCTGCTATCCGCGACAGGTGCCTCGACGGCCAGCGCCGCGGCTTCGAAGGCGGCTACGAGCAAGTGATGCGCTCTCTCGTCTGCCTCATTTGCTCCTTCTCGTCGCCCCACCACCGCCTGCATCATGTCTTTGTTCGCCTCCTTTTCCCGCGCCCCGCCCTTGGCTCTGTTGGCAGCTCCCCTAGTCGCTGTAAGTGCCGTATCGATCGTGTGGCGGCGATCCGTCCTTGCCTCTTCCTCTGCTGCGTTCAAGAACGAATCCGACAAGATCGCCCGAGCATCGCCGTCTTGCGCTCGACTGGACAAATAGACGTCTCCGACCTCGTCGAACCGCTTGCACGACCTGGCAGAGGCCGAGTAGAAGGCCAACGAGGGCGACAGCGGAGGCGAAGGGGACACGCTCGGCCAGCCCGCCCGGAAGCTCGAACTTTGCGATGGCGAAGTCATCCCTCGTCGTCGTCGCCGTCTTCGGCGTCGCCAGAGCTTGCACCGGTTGCCGGCCTGGCCTGTCTGCTCGCTTTCTGTGGCCAAAAATCTTGTCGCGGCGCTTGGCCGAGCTATGTACGTATGCGCGTGTGGCGGCGATGGTGGTGGGAGTGAAGAGGAGAGTACGCTTAGCGGCTCGAGACGACGGATGAACAGACCAGCAGGGCGGATCGATTGTCAAAGGTCGAGCGCAGACGCGGGGCGTAGATGCTGGCACCCCACCTGCCTAGGCCTCCCTGCGGTGCACTGTGGTCGACTGGACAGCCACGGCTTCATCTGTTCTTCTCTGGCTCTATCTGCGCCTCATTGCCCCCTCTTCTGTACGCCCCGTCCCCTTCTTTAGCTCCGGCCAAACCTACAGGCAGGCTACATAGTTTGCAGACCCACACACGTACAGACGCCCGCGCACTTCCGGTCAAAAGGACAGAGGAGGGACCAAGCGCAAGATTTGCGGATGCAGGGCGCCCGCACGGCCTTGGCCCGCCTTGGTTGCCTGGCGTTCTGCGCCCCGCGCCAACTCGGGCCGAGCCGCGCCGAGCCGTGCCGCTTCGGGACGGGCCGTCTCCGATTCATAACGGAGGCCGATTGGGCTGGCTACTGGTCCTTGCCCGCCTTGCCTTTGTCGCGACCGTCGCGCAGCCGCTCCAGCAGCGGATGCCACAGCAAGTCCCTCCAGCTCCGGCAAAAGCCCTCGGCGCCAAACGTCGACACGGCGCGACATCTGGCACGTCTGCGGATCGACAGCGCTTCCGAGGATGGCAGGTCGTAGATGTCCGACAGCGCAGATGCGAAGGATTCGATCGACGTCGCATGATAGCCTGGTCAAAAGGTCAAGGCGAGATGGATCGGGGGAGGCGTAGGCATGCGTCAGCGGACGCCGGCCTTGCGAGCGAGGCCGAGGCAAAGGCCTTGGCACATTCGAGGTCAAGAGAACCGACGCTGGTGCTCACCTGTCCTCTCACTATCGACGGGGACGGCGATGTCCATCAGAGGGCCTGCCGAGGCGTGAGAGAGGGTGATCAATCCCGCCGCCTGAGACGCGCGCGTCGTCGTCAGAAACGACAGCGGCATGCAGGGGTCAGCCGACGCGCCTTTTCGCCGCCAAACGAGGGGCATCACGCCACGCAGCACGATCCGACACTCACCATGAACTCGACGACGTTGATGCCAAAGTGCTCGTCGACCATCGTACTCAGCCCGACGCTGGCACGCTCGAGGTTCTGCAGCACCGTCGGCCAGGGTGCATTGACGACCAGCTCGACGTGGTCGTCGATCTCGAGCTGCTTGGCCAGCTTGCGGAGCGCATCGATCCGCTTCTCGTCCTCGACATTGCGCGACGAGCCCATCATCACCAGCCGGACCGGGTCCGGGCCCTTGAACAAGTCCGGTCGGGCGTCGACCAGGGCGCGCAGGATGCGGAGCTGCTGTGGATGCTCCTTCTCCGGACTGCAGTGACCAGGACCGACGGTGGCTCGCAAGTCAGCTTGCTTTGGCCAAGAGCACTTCGCTGGACGATCCATCCCCAGCCTCGAACTCACCGAAACTGCGCCAGGCTGACGATCCAGGGCTTTCTGCCTTCGAGCGAGAACAAGTTCATGCTCCTCGTGTCGCAGGGCGGGTAGACGATCTCGGCCCGCTTTGCCGCCTTCGCCTTCGACGAGCCGATCAACGTGTTGACGTGGTTCAGCGTCCATGTGCCGTTGGCCACCAGCCGGTCCGCCCGGCAGAGCGCCCAAGAGTAGAGCCAGGCGAAAACGCGGTAGTAGCTGCCGGCCGCCAGGGCGAAACGTGGCGAGTCGAGCGTCAGCACTTCGAGCCCCTCGGTGGCGCGACCTTCGAAACGGCACCCGGACTCACTAGAGCTTGGCTTTACTGCGGGTGAGGCTCTGTGCCGTCCTGGCATCGTTCGTATGGCTGGCCTGGCGCTTCTCGACCCGGCGCAGCATATCGGTGCTGCCAGAAAGGGTCGTCCAGAAAGGCAAGGGACATCAACGACGGACATTCCTTCGACCGAGGGAAAGCCTCGCTGGCCTGCTCACCTGATGGTTGGATAGTGGACGTAGGCCCCGATGGCCGCCTTCTTGGTAAACACCCTGACGACGGGGTAAGCGAAGGCGTATCCCATCGTGTCTATCGCCGAGAGCCGATGGCAGAGCGCATTCAGCAGCGGGCGTCAGCGGCTTCGAGAGGGACGCCACGTCAAAGCTTCCGATGCCAACTCACCGACAAAGACATCGGGAATCAGCGAGCCCATCGCCTCGAAGGCCATCACGACGCTCCCGTAGCTCTGGCCGAGCAGCGTGAGGCGCCGCCAGTAGCCGTCCTCGACGAGGTGGCGGTTGCGAAGCGGCACCATGACGACGTTGCGCTCGCCCACGTCGATGCCGAACCGCTGCTTGGCCTTGCTCAGGATCTCGGCCTTGGAAGCCGTGGGAAAGTCGCCGGTGTAGACCGCCATCACCAGGTCCGGATCCTCGCGTTGGTGGTACGCCATGGCTTCAAAGAGGACCCGCTCGCCACCGCCTCCAGCATTGCTAATTCCTCGGCAGGCGGTCAAAGTGGGAACGAAGGGGAGACGCACGGTGCGGGTCAGCACAGAAGCTCATGCATTGCTTGGAAGGCGTGGCAGGCTACACTGAATGACGCGGATAAGCGTGGCTCCGACAACACGGCAGAAGCCCAAGTCGATGCGGACATGGCGACGAGCAAGCACGACTTAGAGTGCCGAGGGGCCACAACTACGCACGGACAGCCGGGATGCGATCCTGTGCCGTCCTTGCGGCCCGACACCAGCACCTCCGAGGCTCACCAGTAAGGGTGGAAGAGGCCGAGGATGGTGCGTCGGGGCCTTCCCTCGGCCATCTCCTTCTTCTCATCGATGCCGAGTTCGGCGAGGAGCTTCCGCCGCCTGCTCGGGTTGATCCTCTTGACCTCACGAATCGACGACTCGGCAACCTGGACCGCGCCGACCGCCAGCGAGATGGCCAGTAGGGCCAGGGGGAGCCCGATCGGGACCAGGACGCGCCAGAAGGATGTCGAGGTGTGGTCCGCCGTTGCGGCCGAGGCGGAGCCAGCAGACGAGGCTGCGGCATCGACGGCGGTCTCGGCGGCCTTGGTCGACGGAATGACCGAGAAGAAGAGTACGGTGAAGGCGACCAGGTAGGCGCTGAAGCCGAGCACCCTCGAGGGGCGGGCAGCGAGCGTCGGCTGGCTTGGCTGCTTCTTGTTGCCCTCGGCGATAGGCCGCTTCCCGGCAGCCCTCAGCGTGCTGGCGACGACGAGGTAGCTGTCGTAGAGGAGCCAGAGGGGCACAAAGACCCAGACGAGGTTCATAAAGGCGAGGTAGACCCAGGTGTAGAGCCAGTTGGACGTGTCGAGGGCGGTTGAGCCGGTGAGCCACTCGGGCGCAAAGGTCATGAAACCGCCGTAGATTTCTGCGGTGCTGAGGACGACGATCCAGTAGTGGTAGCTGGGGTCGTCGACGACCATCTGGTAGCAGATGTAGGCGGCCATTGGTCCTGCGCCGAGGACGGTGAGCCACTCGATGGCGACGACGTTGGCGTCCGGGATGCCCCAGCGTGCGTCTGCCTTTGCGTACTCCTGCCAGGTGAGGGCGAAGAAGCCCTGGGCGGTGTTGACGCTGCGGCCCTGGAGGGAGAGGTAGAGGAAGGAGCCCTCGAGAGTGAGGTGGCAGATGGCGTCAAAGGCGAGCCAGACGAAGATGAAGCGCGTCTTGGCCGACGACGAGGCGGGCAGGTAGCGCTGGGCGACGACGGTGGCCGCCGTGGCCATGGCGGCGACGTAGCCGAGCGACGTGAGCGACTGTGCCGTCAGCAGCTGGTCCATGGTGGCGACGAGGCGGTTGCGGTAGGGGTCCGACACGGGCTGGGTCAAAGAGCCATGCGCTGGGAAGAAGAAGGTGGCGGCCAAGGGTAACAGCAGGCGGGTCAGGCCCACGCCAGGCCCAGCCAGCCAGCCAGCCACCAGCCAGCCAGCCACCAGCCGGCCAGCCGCCGAGAAGGCCCATGCGGCCCCTCGTCTGCATTTCGGATCCGTCGGCCGCTGTTCCGGCCCACGCCTGCAGGCCTGGCCAGGCCTGGCCAGACCAACACCTTTGGCTGCCCGCGTCGCGTAGAGGCCAGCAGGAAAGCCAGAGGCCTGGCAGGCCAGGCAGGGTGTGGAGGTGGGCAGGCAGGCCAACAAACAGGAAGCGGCAGGCGGGGCTGAGTCGGGGCAGTCTTGCCGGTACCCCAGCTGTCGCCTTGCTTGCAATCAGCAGCTCTCGTCGGCTCCCTGCCCCTCCCTGTCCACACCATCTCATCACCGGGTCCGCCCGCTCAACGCCACACAGGACGATGCCGCCCAAAGCAAAGTTCGTCAACAAGCGCGAGGCCGAGCGCGACGACAGCGAGGATGAGCTCGAGGAGCTCGACCTCAACGCCACCTATCAAAAGGACATGGTCCTCTTCTGCATCGACGCCGGCCCCTCGATGCACCAGATCAACCCCAGCTCCGGCACCTCAAACCTCTACGTCGCACTCCGGGCCGCAGCGAGCCTCATGGAAAAGAAGCTCATCAGCTCCCCCCACGACCATGTCGGCGTCATGGTCTTCAACACCAGCGACACCGTCTTCAAGTCGGCCCAGCCCGGAGAATACTACCGCGGCAGCCACGAGCTCCTCACTGTGCGCCAGGTCAACGTGCCGGACACGTTCAACATCAAGAGCCTCCTCAAGCAGGCCGAGGCCGATCCCGACCACCTGCGCAACGCCTTCCCGCCCGCAGAAAAGCAGATGCGCATCGACTGGGCCCTCGCCAACGCCGGCGTCGGCATCGTCGCCGCCGCAAACGCCGGCAGCAAGCGCGTCTTCTACATCACCGACAACGACGACCCGCACCCCTTCGCCACCGACCCCAAGTCGACCCGCGCCCGCAAGTCGTCACTCGAAAAGATGGCCGAGTTCCGCAAGCTCGGCATCCGGATCGAGACCTTCTTCATCGGCACCGAGGAAAGCCCCTTCCAGGTCAACAAGTTCTACGCCGACATCTTCGAGCAGTACGACGACGACGACGACGACGACGCCGAGGGCGGCCTCCAGGCGCCTAAAGTGCCCAAGGGCTTCCACGCCTCGACCGAAGACCTCAAGGGCCAGGAGGTGCGACGCCACCTGTGGGACTCGGCCATCCGCTTCAACGAGCTCGAGAGCGACGTCAGCACCCGCGAGACGCCCAAGCGCGTCGTCTTCAGCATCCGCTTCGAGCTCGGCACCATCGGCTCGGGTATCACCACCGAAAACGGCATCATGCGCAGCAACGTCTGGCAGATCGGAATCAAGGGGTGAGTCGAAGCACGGCGGCCCATGGCGGGCGCAGCGAGTTCTCCGGCCCGCTGACCATCTTCCTTCTTCTTCTTCTTCCCCTCCTCCTCCCGCCTGTTACAGGTACTCGCTCATCTCCAAGACGACCAAGGGCAATCCGGTCAAGGTGCTGGTGGACGAGGAGTGCGGAGAGCTGAAGGAGGTGGTGACGCACCAGCACTACATCGACCCGGTACGCTGCGGATGGGCCGCTGCCTGCGTTGACCGGAAAGGGTGGGCCGCAAGCTGACCTTGCACCCTCCTTTCCGCGCCTGCAGACGACGGAAAAGACGTTGACCAAGGAGCAGATCGTGCCCGCCTTCCAGTTTGGCAAGACCGCGAGCCTGCGGGGCCAGGTGAGGTTCCAGGGAGACGAGCTAAAGAGGATCAAGTCGCTAGGCATGCTGCCAAGTGAGTTGCGCTCGTCAGCGGCGATTGCGCCTGCACCTGATCCGCTCACCCTGCTCTCCGTCTGTTCCCGCTCGTTGCGTGGCCGACGCAGGTCTCAAGCTGCTCGGCTTCAAGGATCGCTCCGAGCTCAAGTTCCAGGACAATGTCAAGCACGCCTACTTTATCTACCCGTCCGACATTGTGAGCGAGTGCTGCCTAGCGCTGGACGCTGCTGTCGCCGTTCGGTGGCTGACCATCCCTGCGCTGCTGGGACGCTCCCATCGCTGCCGCTCCCTCTCTTTCCCGATCCGCATGCCAGGAGTATCGCGGAAGCAAAAAGGTCTTTGCCGGTCTCCTCGACTCGATGGTGCGCAAGGACAAGATCGGTCTCGGCCTCTTCATGCCCAGGCAGAATGTCACGCCGGTCTTTGTCGCCATCCTGCCCCAGGCCGAGGAGGTGGTCAAGGGGCAGCAGGTCGCCGCGCCCGGCATGCACCTCATCACGCTGCCGTTCGCCGACGACGTGCGCGAGGTGCCCGACGCCGTCTTCAACAATCCGCCGGCAGAGGCAGAGCTCCACCAGGTTGATGCGGCCAAGGCGGTGATTGAGCGCTTCCACAAGAGCAAGCCGTTCAACCCAGACCACTATCCCAACCCCGCGCTTAACCACCACTACGCCGTGCTCAAGGCGACGGCGTTCCAGGAGCCGCTGCCGGAGACCATGGACGATCACACGCTGCCCCAGTACGACATGATCAGAAAGGTGCGCTGGAGCTATCCTCTTTGCACGATGGCGGTGTCGAGCGCTTCGAGAGAAGACAGGACCCTCGTGCTGAACCATCCTCGCTTTCCCTCCTCTTTGCGCAACGCGACTGCAGCGGACGGCGCACCTGATCAGCGCGTTCCACGACGAGATCGACAAGGATGACCGCGTTCGTCATGCGTCGGACACGGCCACGGCGACTAGCTCCGGCACTCGCGAAAGGACGTTCGAGAACGACAAGGAGATCCTCAAGATGTACAAGGCCGGCAAGCTGAGCTCGGTGAGTACGAGTCTGTCTCGAGCTGGCCCGAACGTCCAGACGGTCCATTGTGCTGAACCATCGCCCATTCTGCTGTCGTGCGTCTCTGCAACGATGGACGTCGCAGTACACCGTGGTGGACCTCAAGGGCGTCTGCGACTTCTACCGCCTCGACAAGAAGGGCAAGAAGGCCGACCTGGTCGACAGGATCTCTGCACACATCGAAAAGATGCGCAAGTAGGCCGCGGGTGCCGGCGACCTTGCACCCTCGGCGCCCTCGCGCTCCCAGATACCCGCGCCACTTTGTGCCGCCTGCGTGTGGCGGCTACGAAGCACCCTGCCGTTGCATCGACGAGGCCTGCTCAACGGTAGGCGTCATATCGGCCTGTACTTGTAGCATCCATCTCGAGCTCACCATTCCGGCTCGGCCCAGCACGTCCTTCCGGGTGCATCGAAAGGCGGCTTCGAGCCACTTCTGCGGCCGTCTAGGGGACGGGGAGGCTCTTGGCTGCCGGGTGAGCCTGCGCGGAGGAGAGGCGGGGAGTAGGAGAGGGGGGAGCGGGAGAGTGGATTCGACGTCGGAGCCGCTCCACGTCTCTCGCCTCGCCAGCCGTCTCGCCTACGCCGGGTCAGGTCGCCTCTATCTGCTTGCCGCGTGCGTCTGGCTTTGGCTGGGCCAGGCGCCAGGCGAGGCGGGATGCATCGAGCGAGCGAGGTTGCCGCGTGAAATCTCGCTCGAGCTCGGCGCCCCCGCGCCTGCCCCGCATCGTCGATTTGGTCGATCTTGCTTCTTCTCGTTCTCGTCAGCTGAGAAGCCGCAGCCTCGGATGCTGGGGAGAGGGGGAACGCCTGGACACCTCGAACGGTCACAGCGTCTCTGCGCCCGTGCAAGGCGTGGCCAGGCCAGGCCCCCCTGCCTGCTTCTGGCGTCGCGAATGGAGGCCCAAACGCCAGCTAGCAGGCCTGCCTAGGGGGGGTTGTAGGCGGGCCGTGGGCTGAAAATTAGCAGCGATGGGGCGGCGCTGCTCGTCACGACGCTCTAGGCTGACCCCACCATCCTCGAGCCTCTACTACTCTCGGTTGCAACAGGGCTACTCGGGCGAGGGCGAGGACGGCACGGCCAGCGTACCGTCAGTGGACCCAGCAGCGCCATCGTGGCGGGCCGGGTTGAGCAGCGGCTTGGATCTGAGGCAGGCCGGCCAGGCAGGCAGGCTCGGCGGCTGCAGCGTGTAGCGGGGCTGCAGGGTGAAGCGGGGCTGCAGGCAGGCAGTCTGCCGTCGCCTTGGCCTCGCCAGGTGCCTTGCCTTTTGTCGAGAGAAGGTCGGACGCGGTCAGACCAGCTTGGGGGGCTGCAGCCGCCGCTGCCGCAACCGGTTCGTGGGGCGGGCGGGCGCTGCTCTGGGGCGTGGTTGGCCTGCTCAGCTGCTGGCCTCTGCCACCTTCGCTCTCCGATCCGCGGTTGAGGGCATGCACGTCCAAGCCCTAAGCTCCTCTCCTCCCTCACAGCCTCGCCTCGTCACCCTTCCTGGCCCCACACTACTCTCCTTCCGTCGCTGCCCATCCCATCTGCCTGCCGCCGCCCTCCCCGCACAACCTCAACGGCGCCCATCATTCTTCTCATCCATCACCAGCCACCACCACTCTCACCGTCGCCACCGGCACACTGCACTCCTTCTGTCGAGGTTGAATCGACATCCCCTCGTTTTCTGCCAATACCCTCGCAGTCGTCCTCTCGGCTGCTTCAACACCTTGCACCCCTACCCCTGACAAGGTCAAGCTCGAAGGCTCTCGCTCGCTCCTTGGGCTTCCTTCGGCATCTCTCAACCGCCTAGCCTCCATCGTCTCCGTGCCTCACGCCGCATCCATACCCTCTTGACGGCTCCAGCTCCGGGCTCGAAGCCTCCGCCGATGCTCGAAATGTGCCTGCCAAAGTCCAACCACAAGAAGCTCATTGAAGAGTGCTATCCGGTCCCAAAGGCGCTCGCCACCTCCGGACCAGAGTACCGTCCCAACTCCAACGAGCTTAGCCGCCTCGCTTACTATGCCACCAACAAGCCTGCGAAGCTCGCAAAGGTCGGCGCCGTCCTCGAGGCTCGCGCGGCGACCGATGCCCGCGCCGCAAAGGGCAGCGGAGCCGCTGCTGACAAGGGAAAGGCGTGAGTACCCACCGAGAGCGGCTTTGAGCCATCCGCATCGCAAAGCACTGCTCTGACGCTCGCATCCCGCACTGCTCCCCTCCCGCCGGACCGCACAGTGGTCTGATGATCACGCTGTCCATCACGCAGAACCTCTTGACCGAGTGCAAAGCCCACCTCAACTACTTTATCCGTCCGGCCCAGGCCATCATCGCCTCGGGCCTTGACGCCGCCGGCCCCAACCCGCACAGGCCGCGGGATCTTGAGATCAGCGCAAGGTCCGCCAGCGCCTTCTACGCCCTCGCATCCTACATCGACCCGGCCACCACGAACGTTGACGGCGGCTTCAAGGATCTGCTCAAGGGCTTCGCGGGCCTCGCCGTCGAGCGCCCGCGCGCTGCCGGAGGAGTCGACCAGGCCGGCGCAGAGGACGTCGAGCAGCGGAACCGCACACGCCTCATCGGCCTCAGCGCTCTCGCGGGCGCTGTTGGCTCCGACATCCTCTATACGTCCGTCTTTGCGAGCCACTCGTCGCTGATCGTGCCGGCGCTGCTCGAAAACATGAAGGACAACCGCGTCACCCTCGACTGGCTCACCAGCGAGTCGAAGAAGGTCGCCGACGGCCGCACCACGTTTTCTGAGCTCAGCATCAAGAAGCGGCCGCTCGCCTCCCGCCGTGCGCCTTCGCTCTCGGGCCACATTGATGGCGAAAAAGGGCCCAATTACGAGGAGGTCGTCACGCGGGCAATCGCCATCATGCAGGGTCTGCTGCGCCACGGCGACGCGGGCCACGTCCAGTCGGTGGTCGCCCACGCCACCTCTTGGCTCGACGGGCAGTCCTCGCTGACGATCCCGCCGCCTACGGATGGCCGACAGGCCAAGTCGCACTGGGAGAACGTCGACTGGTGCCGATGGCTGGCCCAGTCGCTCTGCAGCTGGACCGCGCTGCAGTACCGCTTCGTCGTGCTGACCACTCTGGTCGAGCACCTGGTCGACGTCTGCGAGGGACAGGCCACCACCAAGCACCTCTCGCTCATCGAGATGGCCAAGGGCATCCTCACTGGTCCGCTCAGCCTCATTGGCCTCAGCACGTCGGACACGCTCAGCAACCTGGCGGCACTGGCGGTGCGGCGTGTGTACAAGGACACGCGCGACAGCCTCCTGCCTCCGCTAGTCGACTGCATCAGCGGGCTCGGCACCCACGTCTACTACGCCGACCAGATCAACGACATCGCCGACGAGATTGCCGCCCGAATCGCCGCTCTGCAGATGCCAGCGGCCGGTGCTGAAGCGGCTGGCGCTGGCGCCGGTGCCGGTGCTGGCGGCTCGCTCAAGGGCGGGAACCTCACTGATCACCTTCAGCGCCAGAGGCTCGCCAATGCTGGTCCCGAGCAGCGCGACGAGAGCATCCGAGTCCTGCTCTTCTGCCTCATGGGCGTGCTGCGCACCGCGCACCGCTCCAGCGGCGAGGTGCAGAAGGGTGTCGACGACAGAATCTCTGAGGACGCCAAGGGCAAGACGGCTGCGGCAGGCAACCAGACGCAGATCGGACTCGCCCGCGCCGGCACGCGCAACCGCGTCTCGCTGTCGGTGATGGTGCGGACTGCGTCGCTGCTGACCTCGTCGAACCACGGTGTCCGTCTCGCCTATATCCAGACGCTCGTCACCCTCTTCCGCGACGAGATCGACCGCGAGCGCGGCACAGGCGGAGCGGCCAGCTTCGACGTGGGGCTGTCGGTCGAGAGGATCGAGGATGCCATTGGCTTCATCCACGCCCTCGCCGCTTCGACCCACGTCATGGGCCTCAGCAAGTCGCTTTCGGTGGGCCAGGCGGTCACCGGCAACCTACGAGAGTCGCCGCTGGAGATCCTGCCACAGCTTGAGCGCATCAACCTCGACCCCGGCAGGCCCGGCTCCCTGATGAGCGGGACCGCCTCGTCGGGACAGGGCACCGCTTCCGAGGCCACCGCCGCGCTTCCCGTCGACTATACGGCGATTGCGCTGGCGCTCGAGGAGCTGATCTCGGCGGCCCCCAGCGCCGCCGCCTTGGGCCTGACCCCGATGCTATTGGCCCTCGACAAGGATGCTGGCAGCCGTCTGGTGGTCGACGGCCTCTCGAACGGGTCCAACACGGGCCTCGAGAACCAGAGGCGTATCGCCGCCCGACTCGTCTCGGCCCGCGCTCTGGCGAAGCTCGGCGAGGCGCTCGAAGTCGCCTCCATCAGCTCGTCGGCCCAGGCGGTGATCTCGCAGATTCCGTCCTTTGGCGTCGAGCTCGGTCCCACGCCTCCCGAAGGCCTCACGCTGCCTCCCGAGATTGTGCCCTTCTCGGTCGTCCCGGGCATCAACGGTGCTGGCGAGTCGAGCAGCACCGGTTCGCCCTCTGTCAACCGCAGCGGCGTCATCGATGGATTGGCCTCGAGCGCAAAGCTGCAGTCGACGAGCCACCTCGATACCGCCACGATCCGACGCTGGCTCGAGCGCGACTGGAGCGTCGGCATGGCCGTCGACGAGGCCTTTGCCGGTTCCAGCCCATGTGGCGCGTGGAGCGCCGGCGGTAGCAGCGCCAACCCGACCGCTCTCACCTCGAGGCGGCCGTCGTACGCCCCTTCGTCATCGGCGGCTGCGGCCCCGGGGGCGGCCAACGGAGCCAACGTCAACGGCACCGGCGAGGGGCTGGCACCGAACGGCTCCGGGTTCCGCCCCAACGGCAGCGTCGTCTCGCTGTCGACGGACACGGCCGAGTCGCGCAGCGCGGGCATCGACGACTTCCGGGAGGCGCTGGGAGCGTCTGCGACGTCGCAGCCGTCGAGCCGGTTGCTTGGCGTCAATGGCAACGGCACCGGAGCCAACGACCTGGCGGACCGGCGGGCTTCGCGGAGGGAGTCGCGCAAGATCAGCGTCGTCGGCCCGGGCGCGGTAGGCTCGGGCGCAGCCGGCCTCAACGCGACGGGCGCCGTCGGCCTGCTCGACTCGCTCAAGGTTGGCGTCGATGAGCAGGCCGAGAACGACGCCACCAGCGGTGCGCTCGACGCTGCGGCGGGGACGGCCACGGTCCCCAACAGGCCCATCGCACCGCCATACGCGGCCTGAGCATGTCTCTACCGCCCTGCCGCCGATGCCCGCTCAGCTCTGTCTTTCCAAGGATACCCTCTCGGCCGCTCTTCTTTCTCTCCTCCCTCCCTCTCTCACCCTTCTACCCGGTCCGTCCCTGAGTCGGACGGTCCCTATCCATTCTTTTCTTCGGTCTCTGCCTGTGCTCGTCGACGCCGACGAGCCTTCCGACGGTCGCTACAGGGCCCATGACGTCGGCGCTGCGGCGCTTTCCGACGCACCCACCCACCCCTCCTACGCTCGCTATCTTTCCTGTCCTTTGCCCCTGCCTCCCGTGCGCGCTTTTCAAGTCAAGGTGTTCCTTCTGCCAGTCGACGGTCGTCCCGTTTCACCGCGGCTACTGTGGTTTGTCTGAGAGGAGCTTCGCGAGGTGATTGGCCGTCGAGCTGCTGCGTGCTTGCGCGTTCAGATTGTATGCGGCAGGGAGAGGTCAGGCTCGTCGATGCGCGATCGCGACGGAGAGCAGACGCGCGCGAGAGTTGTCGAGCTTGGCCGGGCCGCTTCCGGCTGGCTGGAGGGTGAAAGAGGCCAGGCCAGGCTGGGGAGCGAGCTCGCGCTTTTTACGTCGGCACGCCCGCTTGCGTCATTCGGAGGCCCCCTTTCCCCAGGGCCCCCTGATCAACGTGCGTGCGTGCGCGCTGCTTTGGCTCGTGAATTCCCCCCAGCAGCAGGTGCGGACAGCCGGCTGGGATTTTCGTGATTTTCGATCTGGTTGCCGGACCCGGGGCGCAGCAGACGGATGAAGCGGTGCTGGCGGTCGGGGCGTGCCCGCCCCTGTCCCGCTTATCGCTGGCAGCGCCTGGGCATTGGGCAGGCAGGCCAGCGCAGGCAAGCGCAGGCAGGCAGGTGCAGACGGCGCTCCCCGGTCCGCGCTGGGCGGCCGATCCAGCCTCTCTGTCTGGGCCTGACCAAGCCGGCAGGCGGGCGAGCGAGCAAGGCATGGCCAAAAAAAACAGCCGGGCCTGCCATCGTTGCTGCGTTAGCGCGGGCAGCAACCGCACCGCCTGCCGGCCCCCGACGAGACGGATGGCTGCCGACCCACCGGCCCCCACCTTGCTGGCTTTGCCCGCTATCAAACAATCACCACGTCTTCCCCTGTTCACCAACTCTCTCACCACCGCCTCACTCTTTGCTCACCACCATGATCGCGTTGTTGCACTTGTTGTAGCAGCATCTCACCACAATCGCGCCAATCCAGCAGCAGCAGCCACCTCAAATACGCTAGGCCCACCATCTCGACACAACCTTGCCCCCCTGCTCCGCCTTTCAACTCAGCATCTGCAGATACCCTACTCGGCCCTATCGCCCCGCCATCCACTCCACGCCACCCGTCGCATCGTCCATAGAAAGCGTCTCGCCTTGACCTCATCTCGTCTCTCGCGTCCTTCAATCTCTCTCTCTCTCGCAGCATCTCTGTCCGCTTTCCTTCTGGCTCCGTCTTTCACCCATCTCGCCACCATGTCCTACAACTCCTCCGACGACGAGCGGGCTCCTATCGCCGGACCATCCCGACCGCGCTTCACCGGCTGGCTTACTATGGCCCCCGACGTCGATGCCGTCGCTGCACCTCCGCCAGTTGCCGCACATGCAGCCGCAGCTCCCGCAAAGGCTGCGTCCGGCCCAGTCTCACCCTCGCGACACGCGCCATCTACCCACGGCTTCGCCATGGTGCCCCAGGCGATGCCCGCATCCAAGAAGCAGAGGCGCATCGCATCTTTCCAGATCGGCACGCCCGACGACTCACTGGCGTCTTCGCCCACCGGCAGCATCGACAGCCAGAAGAGTGACCGCTCCGGCCAATCCGACGACTCCGACGACCCCCTCTTCGACGTGCGCGCATCCTTTGCACCCATGCCCGCCTACGGCAAGGCCAAGTCCGGCCCGCCCAAGCTCAACGGCGGCGGCGGCATCACTTACGGTGGGCTCGAGTGGAAGGGCAAGACGGTCCACGCCGTCGAGCAGGAGATGGAGCAGCTCGGCGATCAGGCCTTGTTGAGCCACGCCCCCGATGCCACCTACCTCGCGTCACGCCTCGAGGGGCTCAAGCGCAACCTCGAGATCGAGGCTTTCCAACCGCGCTGGATCGGCGACGACGACGCGTACTCGCGCTCGATCGAGGCCGATGCCGCTTCACCCAGCCGATCCTCTGGCTTGTTGCCGGGCGGGCTCGCGCGGCCCATTGCCATCTCGAGCCTGTCTGACCGCCTCGAGCGGGATTCAGCTGCCCTCCGGTGCGACGACCAAGACATGGCGAACGCGCTCGAAGGCATGCCGCCGCTCTCGCACAACCCCTCGGCGCCCGTGTCCAACGCGTCCTCGGTCAGCTTGGTCGACGAGCCGGAGATCGACGACCTCCCCATGGACTACGGCTTCGAATACGACGCCGCGCCGGAACGCGATCCGGCGGCACCGCTGCCCGTCGAGATCGTCTCTCCAGAGGTTCCGCAGCTGCCGACGCTCAGCGCGCCTCTCAGCTCCGCCGCCAAAGCGGCCGCCCTGGACGCTCGCATCGAGATCCGAGCACTACGACGGACCGACCTGGAGCAAGTACGGGAGTTGCACGTCTTCCACGGCGATGCAGACCGGGTAAGTATCTGTTCAGCGGCGTACGGCCATCCCGATCCGGTCGTGGCCGAGCACCACGCAGCGTCCAGCCTGGCCTCGCGCAGGCTGTCGGCATTCGACGAGGAGGCAAGGGCTGCCCCGCTCTTTGGCAGGCTAGCAACACGCAGCCAGTCCCGCTCGCCCACCGAGACCGAGAGGCTCTGCGCCACGCCCATTACGGTTGGCCGGTCTCGTTGAGTGGTGGGGCCGACCTCCGCAGGCACACCCTTTGCGCGAGCTGCCAGACCCACCCTCGGACGGACCGCGCATCCGTGTAGGCTGCTGTGCGTCCCACGCACCGCTCTTGCTCGAGCTCCTCTCTCTCTCTCGCTCGCTCGCTCGCCCACACACGCACACGCACGCACGCACGCACGCACGATGGAACGACGGGGCGCATGGAGGGGATCAATGCAGGGTTCCGGAGATACGCCGCTGGCTGCGGCATTGTTGATGACGATAATCGGATCAGATGAAAGCCGGGCCACCTGGGTCCCGCCAACACCACCGCATCCAACGACGCTGCCGAGGGACGGCCACGCGAGCCCGAAAGAGGCGCCAGCCTGGAACCCCTAACCCAGAGCGGAAGAGCCCAACGGGGAACTGGGATCCAGGAGCCCGGCCCGTGCTGTGCGTACTCGCTCGGTCCGGCGACGTATCGCTGGCACGGACGAGTGGCGCCGGGGTGCCTCGAGCAGGAGGGGAGCAATAAGCATGGCGGAGGTGCCTCCGTTTAGGGGTCCACCTCCGTCTAAAACTTTTTTGCGCCCCCCCTGCTTGGCACGGCCACGAGCTAAAAAGAGGGGCCCTCGCGGCCAATCTCTGATCTGGCTCTTTCGACGTGCTCCGGTCGACTCGCTTGGCCCGCTTGCTGGCATGCTGGCCGGCGACGTTCCGGCGGCGCCGCGGCGGCGTGGCATCCACCCAGATCGATAAGGCGGCCGACGTGGGCGCAGCAAGAGAGCGGACCAGGACCGAGGGACGGTCGACTCTGGCTCGGATTGGCAGGCACCGGTCCGAGGGATCTCCGGTTTCGGCAGTCGAGTTGCGTTGCGTGCTGCGTTGCGTTGTTGCGCTGCGTGGGTTGGGCAGGGCACGAGCAGGGCAGAGCAAAGCCCGGCGCACGTCGTTCGGGCCGCTGGCCAGCCAAGCAAAGTGGGGCGGCGCGGGCTCTTGCTGGCCACGTTTCCTCGCCTCGCTCGAGTCTCGCCGCGCGTCGGAGAAATTTCGCTCAAGCAATTTCGCCGAGGGGCGCGCGCCGTCCTCCGGGTCTTCGGTCCTGTCACCGCAGGCGAGCCTGCCACCTCGTCCTGCCTCTTGTCGCGCACCTTCTTGGCACCGCTCTCTTGCTCGGCCCTGATCCGCGAAGAGGAGGGGGGCCGAGGCTACCGACGCTATCGAGGGCGCCGGTTGCTGAGCTATGGACCCCACTTATCGGTGGCTGCTGGCGGCCTCCCCCTCGGAGCTCGGCGATCTGGCACGTCGAGATTTCCGCACGGGATTCTCTTTCATGCCCCTGGCCTGGTCGCTCCCTTTTTTTTTTTAGCGCTTGCTCGGTGCGGGGCCCCGTAGTGGTTGACATCGGCCTTGTTTGGGCTGCCTCGGCAATCTTGCTGACGATCCCTCGACCCTTCTTCTCCTCTTTGCCCTTTCGTCCCTCTTCGCCGTCCTTTGCAGAGTCCGGACCAGGGGGAAAATTACACGACGACGGCGTCGTTCTTGCTGCGGCTTCTCGTCGACGACCGGCACGTCTGCCTCGTCGCCGTGGCCAAGCCTATCCCAGAGCCCGCCGACCCGCTACCCAGCGCATCGGCGCTCAACCTGGCGCGCCAGTCCAACGCACCCTACAGCTCGAGCCCCTCGTCGCACCTCGGCGCTTCAGCAGCCGCTGGAGGATCTGGGATCGCCTCGGCGGCGTTGGCGCCTCGCTCTCTGTCCTCGGGCGCGTCGTCGTCGCTGCTCGACAGCGGTGCAGGCACGCCCGTCGACAGCCTCTTCTCTGCAGCCATGCACCGCCGTGGAGGCGCACCCACCGACGTTACCGGTGCCACCTCGGTCACCGGCGACCACCTGGCAGAGGCACAGGACAAGGCTGACGGAGCGTCCCACGACCTTCCCGGTCCCACCGAGTCGCTCGCCCCGCCCAGCGTGGTGCGCGTCATGGCCGCCCCGCCGCCCAAGGGATCCACGGCCCACCTGCAGACGGATACGATTGTCGGCGTCGTCTCGGCCCAGATCGCCACGGTCCAGGCGCCCGTCGAGGAGACGCTGTGGTCGCACGACGAAAAGATGCAGCAGGCGCTCGGAGCTCGCTCTGACGGTGCCACCGCCGTTCCGAAGCGAGCGGCGGTCGAGGCGCACCTCCTCACCCTCGCCGTAAACCCCTCGGAGCGCTCGCAGGGCATCGGCGCAAAGATGCTCGACTGCCTCGTCGCAGAGTGCCACTACCGCGCCACAACCCTCGTCGCCAAGCACAGGCACAAGCACACCTCGCCCACCCTCAACCCGTCGACGGCCGCGACGCTCAGGACCTACCTCGAAGTCCACCCGAGCAACCACCACGCCCTCGACCTCTACCGGTCCAAGGGCTTCACCCGCGCCCCCGGCGAGCGCGGCACCCGCAGGAACTTTTACCGCGGCGACACCAGGATCCCGCTCTCGGAACGCGTAAAGAGCGGCGGCACCGACGCCTGGGTCCTCGAGCGCTTCGTCGATTGAGACGCGGTGCCCCCGTTGCCATGCTTGCCACGTTTCCCCTCCCGCTCACCCCTTTGCCCTGCTTCTTTGTTCACGTAGCGATACCTTTGTCCGCCCCTCTTTCTCCCTTGTCATGGTCACGTAGCAGATTCGCTAATCGAATGCGCCATTTCAGCAACGAGCAGTGTATGAGGCTGTGGCATCGCGGTCTTCCCCACGCAACTTCCACGGCTCATCACGAGACAATAGCAATCATATATTGTATATTTGACACTCCTAACATCAAGCGATCGCTTAGCTCAGCGGTAGAGCGGCAGACTTCGATCTTCGAAGGACTTCAGCGAGCGCTGTTGGCATTCTGCAGGCCGCGGGTTCGAGCCCCGTAGTGATCTATCTTTTTGTTTTGTCCCACACGAGTCGGCTGTCGGGGTCGGAGCCGGCCTATCGGGCAGCTCCGTCAATCGAATGATTTTAGGCTGGGCCTGAAGGGGCTTGCGAGAAGAAAGGGCGAGCGCGAAATGGGCCCATGCACAAGCCTGCCCGCCCGAGGGCCCTGTTCCTACCCAGGCAAGGCAAGCTCTGCTTGGGCTCCTTCTCGACCTCTTCCTCTGCACCCAAGATATTCCCTCTGCAAACCCATCGCCGGCCCGATACCATGTCTTCGTCATCCAGCCCGACAATCTACCAGGCGACGTGCTCTGCGCCGGTCAACATTGCGGTGATCAAGTACTGGGGGAAACGGGATACGTCGCTCATCCTGCCGACCAACGACAGCCTTTCCGTCACGCTGGACCAGGATCACCTGCGCTCCGTCACGACGGCGCGCGCCGACGCCTCGTTCCCCGCCGGCAAGGACCGCCTGTGGCTCAACGGCGAGGAGGAGACGATCCAGGATGGCGGCCGACTGCGGAGGTGCTTTGACGAGATGAAGAAGCTGAGGAAGGCCAAGGAGGACAAGGATGCCAGCCTGCCCAAGGTGAGTGTGGGGCCGAGGGCGTATAGCCAGGGGACGGCGTGGGAGAGGGACAAACGGAGACTGATGCGCTGCGCCTCGCAACTCTATCGCTCGCTCGCTCGTCCTGGCTCGCCAGCTCTCTGAGTGGTCGGTCCACGTCTGCTCCGAGAACAACTTCCCCACGGCCGCCGGTCTGGCGTCGTCGGCGTCGGGTTTCGCCGCACTGATTGCCTCGCTTGCCGCGCTGTACGAGCTGCAGCCCGAGGTGTCGAGCTCGGAGCTGTCGCGCATCGCCCGGCAGGGCAGCGGCTCGGCGTGCCGCTCCCTGTTTGGGGGCTACGTGGCGTGGCAGGGCGGCAGCGAGGCGTCGGGATCCGACAGCCTCGCCGTCGAGGTGGCGCCGCAGTCGCACTGGCCCGACCTCCAGGCCCTCATCTGCGTCGTGAGCGACGCCAAAAAGGGCACGCCCTCGACGGCGGGCATGCAGCGCACCGTCGCCACCTCGCCGCTGCTCCAGCACCGCATCCAGCACGTCGTGCCCGGCAGGATGAAGGCCATCTCGGACGCCATCCGCCAGCGCGACTTTGACGCCTTTGCCGAAATCACAATGGCCGACAGCAACAACTTCCACGCCTGCTGCCTCGACACGGCGCCGCCCATCTTCTACATGAACGACGTCAGCCGCGCCATTGTCCAGCTCGTCGAAGAGCTCAACCGCGCCAGCGAGGCCGAGGGCAAGGGCAAGATGGCCGCCTACACCTACGACGCCGGCTCCAACGCCGTCCTCTACGCGCCCAAGGCCAACGTCGCCCAGATCCTCGCCGTCGTCCGCCACTACTTCCCCAACGCCGACTTTGACGACACCGTGAGTCTCTCCTGGCCTTCGGCGCCTTCTCCAGCCCCGCGCGATGCTGACGCTTCGTCTACATCCTCATCCATTCCTCCCCCCCTCCCCCGGCCCCCGCGCCACACGCAGTTCGACCTGCTCGGCAAGGGCGCCAACGCCTCGCACCGCGGCGCCCAGGAGGCCCTCGGGCTGCCGGCATCGCTGCCCAGCGGCTTCAACGCCAACGTCATCCCCGTCCAGGAGCCCGGTGCGGTCCGACGCCTCATCCACACCCAGGTCGGCGACGGCCCGCGCGTCCTCGGGCGCGGGCTGGGCAAGGAGAGCCTGCTCAAGGAGGACGGAGAGCCGCTGCGCCTCCAGCGCGCCAAGCGCGCGTAGCCGCCGAACTGGCCGCCCGCTCGCTTCCACACTCGTTCGACAATGTCGTCCACCGTGGTCAACAACGCCCCGCTGCTTAGAGGTCCCACCCAGGCCGAATGTGAATGGATTTCGCGTCTTTGCTCTCGTCATGCCGTCGCCGATGGTGGGGCCGAGAGCTTGTTCTGTGCCAAGACTGGTCCGATCGATGACAGCGGCCAACGTGTGTGGGTTCTGGACGTCAGCGGAGGGCTTGTCACCGTCAGGCGGTCGGCCGCTGCGTGCTCACCTCGTTCGATGCCGTCCCGGAATGCATCGCTGTCCACGCCCTCGCTGCGATCGAGCTTGCCGTCCTTGAGCACGCGGAGCCTGGCGACAAAGGCGTCCGGATCGGCGTCCCCGACGTCATCGTCTTCGGCTTCATCACCGTCGATGGCTTCGACCTCTCTCGCCTCGCGCTCCAGCCCGGTCAGGAGCGGGTTCCTGGCGACGTGCTCGACCCAGGGACCCCTGTAGATCTGCATCAGGACGCCCTTCAGGCTCATGCCCCCGGTGCCCGGGATGCCACCGCCCGTGCCGAAGCCGGACCTGCCGGTGGCAGTGGGGGTGCCGATCGAGTAGCCGTCGCTGGAGCGCGAGGGGATCGACGAAGGTGGCGGGACTGGGTCGCTGAGGATGACAAACGTGTACATGGTCGGCGTGTGCAGGTGGGCGAGGGTATATGTCGAGGTCGTGTACGAGTTGAACGACTCCGAGCTGCAGGAAAGGTTGGAGACGATGTGGTTGGAACGTCAGCGGCGTGGTTCCGAGGCCAAAGGGACCCGCATTCACCGACTCGACTCACTTTCCACCCAGCTTGCGGACCATGTTGCGTAGGGAGAATACGACGCCGTAGACAAGCTTGGCCTCCTCGTCGAACGGCAGTGCGTCCGAGGCGCTGGCGACCTGTGCCTGGGAGGCTGCGATCTGGGATCCGGTGCTGCTTCGCTGGTCCTGTACCGGGGCGGGCTTGACAATGGCCCGGGTGACGCCGGGCAGCGAGGACTCGACGGACCTTGACGGTGCGCCTTTCGCCGCTGCATTGCCAGACGCGCTGGCAGCCGCCGCCGTCGAGGAGCCGGTGACGGCGCCGCTGGCTCTCTGAAGGGTCGCGCCGATCGAGGCGAGGCCACCGGAAGATGAAGAAGCGGTCGTCGGGCTCCCTGGCCCGCCCGCTGATGTAGATGCCGAGATGGAAGCAGACGAGGAGGGCGCATAGAGGTGCGACCAGTCCTGGTGGTAGATTGGGTTGCAGTGGCGGTCAAAGATCCAGAATGAGTAGACCTGAGGGAAGGGGTTGATCACGGGATGGGAGAGCGAGGTCAAGGTCATGGCGACTGGAGCTGCCGGGGTTGCAGCTGATCTGCACTCACCCTGGCCATTTTGACGGCGTGCAGATATGGCCCTCTGTATCGGAGGCGAAGATGAGAGGAAGGTGTTGCGTGGCGTTTGCAGAGGTGGCGGCGGGCTGGGTGTGCTGAGAAGAAGGGGGCAGGCAGAGCTTGGAGGTGGTGGATGGCCCAGGCGTCGGCGCAGCGCTGTCGGTTCCGCGGGCTGCCAACGAGGGCTGGCCTGCCTTGGGTCGAGGCCTGACCTGGGCTGGGCTGGCGCGCTTCCGACTGCCGAGCGGAAACGGGCTCGCCGCCATCCAGCTGGTCCGTGCTTGAGGGGCATGCCCAGGCAAAGCAACGAAACGGGCTCGCTGGACCCTGAACAGACCGCGGGCCAGGGCCAGGGCCAGCTGGCTTGCCTGCCTGCTGCCCCTTTCAGCATGGCCCAGCCGGCCAGGCCAGGCCGAGGCGAGGCGAGGCGAGGCCCTGCCCGTCGGGTGGGGGCAGGTCATCGAGCAGCCTGCAGCGCAGCAGCAGCGGCGCCGGCGGCGGTCAACCTCAAAGGTGGAGCAGAGCAACACGCAACCAGCGCCCAGGCAAGCGCTCAAAATAGCGGGGGGCCTCACCTCGTCTGAGCCGGCGCTCTCTGCCCCGCCTTTGCCCCTGGACCTCCCATTCAACGCCCTCGGCCAGCCCAGCCTGCTGCCTCTGACCCATCACCACCAATTCAGGTCCACCATCTCGATCCATCGCCTTTCCCCGTCATCCTAGCATCTCCCGTGCCATCCACCCTTGCCTCCAACACCATCATGTGTGAGTAAGCGGCGATGCAAGGGGGAACGACGAGGGTATCACCCTTTGAAGCCCTGGCTCACCAACATCGCTCCTCGTCTCATCGACTAGCCGGCGACGCACCCCTCTCGCCCACCGCCTCCGAGGCCAAGGAGCTCCTCGAGCAGCGACTCGCCCACCGCCCCGCCGCCGCGGAGCTGGAACAGCAGAACATCCTGCGCAACCACGGCCTCGCCCCCTCGCTCCAGGCCGCCCGCGACGAGCTGGCAAAGCACCAGCTCGAGGGCAAGGTGGAAAACTTTCTCGAAAAGCGCCCCGAGCGCGACGAGCTCCTCAAAAAGGGCATCCTCAAAAACGACGGCGACGGCAAAATCGCACCCGCCCTCCAGGCAAAGAGGGAAGAGCTCGAGAGGAGCAGGCTCGGCGTGAGTGGTCCCCTCGCTAAAGGCTGGCTCGTAGGGCATCGGCCCTGCATCCCGGACCGGACGACGACGTCATCGGCCAGCATTGACAGCCTGCCCTTTCCCTCCAATCCCTCGCATCGACACGCAGGACAAGCTCGAGAAGGATATCGCTGCCAGGCCCGATGCCGACAAGCTGCGCGCTCAGGGCATCCTCGTCGACGAGTCGTCCTAGCTTCGCTTCTCTTTGCGCTCATTTCGACGTCCTGCCAGAACATTGATCTCGTCAGTCCCCTTCTTCTGAACTTTCAGATCCGTCTCGTCGTTTGTGGCAATCGAACTCCGGCCTCCGTAGCGGCGCTCAAGGCAGTTTGTGTCGATGGGTATTGCCTGCGGAGCTATGCTGTTGGAGATATGACCAGATAAGGCGGCCCTCGACAGTGGCGATCATCGCGCCTCGATACCTTCTTCTTTGTCGCTCTGCAGCCTCCGTCGACTCGCACTGTCGCCGGAGTCGTCGCCGAGCTGCGTGAGCGACGAGGACGACCTCGGCTCTCCTGGTCCGTCTAAAGATGCAGCGGCCGCATCTGCGTCCGACTGTGGCGCCGGAGCAGCTTCGGTAGCATCGAGGTCCGCCGGAGCTGCTGGTGGAGGCGTGGGCTTCTTGTTACGCCGTTGCCGATCCCGCATGGCCGTCTCGCGCGCCTGTGCAATCAGATCGTTGTACTGCGCCTTGTTGTCGGCCTATTTCAACACAGAGGGAAGACGGCGAAGACGGGACATTAGCACGCCGCGACCCATGACTGCCGGGCCTCGACACGCCGTCACAGCGACTCACCAGCCAGCTCGAGCTCTTCTTGTCCGTGATGGCGCTGCCCTTTGCATCCCGCGCCCGCTCCCACTCGAGCAGCTCCCTCCTCAGCTTGCCCTCGCTTCGGCGGTTGGCGGGCGCCGCGTCGAGGTTGGCGTTGTACAGATTGACGTATTGCCGATGCCGCTCCGCCAGCTTCTCCTTGTCCCCCGTGGTGGGCAGCCCTAGCGACTCGAGCAGCTTGCGCAGGTCCCGCTCCGACTTGAGCTGGTACTGTGGCCGATGGAGGCGCTTGGCCGTGGCCGCAGGGCCAGAGGCATCGCTGTTGGAGTTGCCCGCGCTGGCCTTTGAGAACCATGCGGCAGAGTTCGGTGTGCCCTGCGCCTTGGGCTTGGGTGCCATTCCGCGCTCCTGTATCGGCGGTGGCGGGCATCCTGGGTAGCACTTGTTCTTGTCGAGGTGGGCGTTGAGCGCAGCGACGGTGAAGTGGTGCTCACAGATGGGGCAGGCAACCTGGTCGTCGCTCTTGAGGTCGTGGATGTCCTTGTCTGGTGCGGCGCTGCTCTCTTCCTGGTAGGACGCATCGCCTGCCTCGTCATCGTCGTCGGAGAGGATGTAGGCGCTGTCTGCCGAGGCGCCCACGTTTGACGCCGAGGGTGGATGGCGGAGCGTGCGCGCCCGTGTCGATCTTCTCGGCGGTTGGTCGGCGCCGTGGTCTGCTCCATCGGCGATGGCAGCATCTTCGAGGTCGTCCTCCGCCTTCCTCTTGCCGTTGGGCTCAGACGGTCTCCGGCTCAGGCTTCCGCTCGCCATCTGGTTCTGATGCGATCGCAGCCTCTCTGCTTCCCTGGTCGCGTCCTGTGCCTTTGTCCAGAGCTGCATGACAAACGGCCGCATCTTGCGCCAGCTCTCGGCGGTCGTCTCGAGGGCAGTGACGGGGAAGAGCTCCGAGTCGTAGGCCTTGTTCTGGCGGCACTTTGGGCAAAAGGCGCCCGCGCTGCCGGGCTGGTTGATATGTGTGCGTATGCACGTCGAGCAGAAGGTGTGCGAGCAGGTCTTGAAGCTGACGGGAGCCGTGTAGATGTCCTGAAACGGGGCGCGGGTATGGCGGAAGCGGGGAAAGCGAGGTCAGTCAGTCGGGGGATTGGGGCACGGCATCGTGGGGTCGTGCGTGCCCGTGGTGGCGACTCACAAAGCAAAGGTCGCATCGGAGGCTGCTGTCTAGGGCCTTGACGACCTCGCAGCCCGCCGGCCAGTCGGAAGGGTCGCCCACGTCGTCCATCGAGGGCATCGGGGCGCGTATGACCATCGTTGGCAGCGAGAGAGCGGGCTGTCTGTGCTCAGTCTGGCGGAAGTCTGATGCTCTTGAGGCGATTGAGAAATGCACGAAGGCAGCAGAGCGATCGGCCTTGCGCTGAAGCGACGGGAACAGGTAGGGAGGGTGGTGGATGAGAGTGGCGAGAGGCTTGCGGCAGGGACGAGGCGCGACACGGAAATTCTGAGCTTCCCACACTGGAGGCCTGCTCAGCCAGCCTGCTCAGCCAGCCTGGCCAGGCAGCCTGGGCGTGGCTGGTCCGTCTGCCGAGGGGCGAGGGCCTCCATGCATGGCCGGCTTGTGGAGGGTGGCTGGGCTTTCCAGTTTGAGTTTACGCGACAGGCAGGCAGGCCGGGTCGTCTGAACAGGGTCCAGCCTGCTCGATGACAGCTTGCTGAGAAGCTGAGGATGCTGGCCACCAAGCCTAGGCCGGCCAGGCCACAATCGCCACCTGGCTTCTCTTTTGCCGTCCTACGACCACCGCATGCTGCCACGCCACACCACCACCATCACCACCGCCACCACCACCACCACGATCACCGTCAACAACACTTCCACAAACCATGTCGCCGGTCCCCACATCGACGGATATCGACCCGGCCTACGATCCAATGCGGCCTCCGCAGGGCGTTCCCTCGGGTGGCGGTCAGGCTCCGAGGTCCGTCAGCGAGCTGCCCAATGCTGCCATTGACCTGGCAAATCGGGTGAGTACCATGGCGTGGCAGTAGCAGCCAAGCCCGCCCACCCGTCGCCAACGAACTCACACAAATATCCCTCCGTCGCACATGCAGATGTTCGACCTGGCACGTCAGGGCAACCTCGACCTGATCCAGTACCTCGAAGCAGGCCTCCCCGCCAACCTCACCAACAATCGCGGCGATACCCTGCTCATGCTCGCGTCCTACCACGGCCACGCAGAACTCGTGCGGCGCATGCTCGAGGTCGGCTCCGACGATCAACCCCCTGCTCCAGCTCCGAACAACGCGACGGCCGCGCAGCTGCCGAGGCGGCGACGAGCCAAGCCCGACCCCAACCAGCTCAACGGCCGCGGCCAGAGCATCGTGGCGGGCGCCGTGTTCAAGGGGTACGACGAAGTGGTCAGGATACTCGTACAGCACGGCGCAGACCCGGCGGCTGGCCAGCCGTCGGCCGAGGAGACGGCAAAGATGTTTGGAAGGTGGGACGGCGAGGGCGGGCACAAGCAGCTGTTTGAGGACGCTCCGGGCAGGGGAGCTGGCGCAAGGGAGGCGAGCGAGGCCGTCGAGGACAGGGAAGAGGCGCGGAGAGTACCGGGCGTCGGGCTGCAGACCTCAGCGGGTTCCGGGCCGTAGGCGGACGCCGTCGTCGCTGCCGCTCGGCCTTGTGCGGGTTGAAAAGAATCCAGACCTTTTGCCGCTCAAGGCTCCGGCGACGACTCGATGACGATGGCGTCCTCGCGGCTGTGCTTGATTGGCGGACCAGATTGCGTCGCTGTACCGCTTGCGCCTGGCTTCTCGTCCTCGCTGTCGCTCAGAACAATTGTCTCGACCATGTCCCTGCCGCCCTGCTCGCGCTTCGGCGCTACGCTGGTGGAACCGCGACTGGCCGACTCGGGGCGCCTCGGAGGCGCGGTCGAGGCGGGGGCCACGAGATCGGTTTCCATCTCGGCCGCAGCCAGCAGGAACGACTCGTCCTCGTCGTCATCAAAGTGGAAGTCGTCCAGGGCCTCGGGCTTGCTCGTCGTGCGGCCGTTGGTGTGTGACGCGGAAGGTAAGGGACGGCGAGCGGCCTTCGTTGTTGTGCTGGAAGCTGTCGATGCACGAGCTTGCGCCGTTGGGCCGGTGCGTTCCGCCGCAGCATCACCAGTCGATGTCGGCTCGAGCGGGGCTTTCCTGCAGCCAAGCAGCGGCGGATGAGGGCAGGATCATGTTTGAGCTGATTTGAGGCCGATTGGTCGCGCGCGACGAAACATCAAGACAGCGACCGACTCACCCCAGCTTCTGCCTCAGCTTGTTGATGAGGCGGCTCTCGGCTTCGGCTTCCCACTCTTCGACCTCACCGCCTTCGATCGTGACGCATCTCGGCGCCAGCAGTATCTGTCAGGTCGGCGGCGTAAGCGGTGACGGCGGGAGTCGGTCAATCGTTACGGGGCGAGCGCCTGTCCGAAGGTGGAACGGGCTGGCACGAGCGCTCACATGTCCTCGCCTTACTCTTGCCCCTTTCAAGAGGATCTGAAGACCGCATCAGAAGTGATGCATGGGGAAAGGCTGGTCGATCAGAGGATGCTCCAGCGCGTCTGCTGAGCACGGCCGTCTTACCTTGCACCCGAGCCGGGTCTGGTTCATATCGAGCCCCGCGACCCGCTCGAGCTCAAACGCAGTGACGGGCGGTCCATGGCCGTCGCTGAGCTCGAGCTGCAGCATCTTGCGCGGGAACACGGTGGCCTGTATCCCCGCCTTTTCCTCCTTGGCGTTGAAGTCGGCCATGTGCGCCGCGTCCTCGTCGATCGCCACTCGCCCCTCGTCGAGGTCCCGGGCCGAGGCCGTGGCGTTCAGCGTCGAGGTGGCGGGGTTGAGCAGCGCAGCGCCTCCCAGCGTCGAGCGAGCGGCCTTGCGGGCCTCTGCCACTTCGAGCTGCGTCGCCGCCGAGATGCCGATGTCTGTGCGCAGGGCAGGTCCGGGGCAGGGACGAATCGTCCAGGCACCGCTGTCAGCGATCTGCGAGCGCAGCCGCAATGAGGAGCGACGTGCTTCCAGGCGAAGCTCACCCACGATCGATACGACCTGGACCATGACGGCCTTCTTGGGTCCCGCTCCTACCGCACCGTCCTTGACGTTGCGCATGTCGCCCGCGAGGGCCCCTCTCCTGGCTGCGGTGGCCAGGTCAGCCGCGAGGAGCTGCTGGCGCACCTGCTTGGCCAGCTGGTCGTCGGTCGTCGGACGGCTCGGTCCGGGAAGAGAGCGCAGGTAGGCAACGCACTGGGAGCTGTAGGACCACACCGTGTGTGCGGTTCGACATGGGCGGGGACAATCAAGTGAGCCCGGCAGTCGAGGTCCGGCGCAGGCATCGTCGGCACGACTCACAGCCAGGCAGGGTTGAGCTCCAGCGTAGGGTAGCGGGCCGAGAGGAGCCGCGTAACGGCTATCGGTACAGCCTCGGTCGCCATCGCAACGTGTTCGCTCCGTGCTGGAGGGACGGTGCCGATGTACTGGCTGCTGGGTGGCTGACGAGGGCTGAGCTGGTGGTGATGTCGCAAAAGAAGATCCGCTCCCAGCCACCCTCAACCCTCAGCAGAAACCAACAACCCCACCCCCCGCCTCCACTTGTGCCCGGCCAAAAAGCTGCCAACAAACGTCCGGCAAAAGGCTCAACCCGCTGTGCCCGGCGAGAAAAAATGATCTCTCCCAGGCTCGAACTGAGGACCTCCTCCGATTAACCAGGCGTGCAACTCAAGGCTACACAGCTTGTTAAGGAGACGCGCTGACCAACTGAGCCAAGAAACCCTGGATGACGAGTTGCCGAAATATTAAATATACTCATAAATATTTTCTCTCCATGACGTTGCGTACCACAGCGCGGCGCGGCTGGGAAGGGGAGCGGCGGCGACGAACCCTGCATGCAGGCACCAAGAGACCCGCCCGACGACCGCGCGGGCGGACGGGCGGGCGGCGTGCCATCCTTGGGCTGGGCTGGCATGGGGGCGCTGCTGCTGGCCGCCGGGAAGATCCCGAAGGAAAGAAAGAGGCAGGCAGAGCGGCACGTAAGCAGGCTTGCCGACTGGCCGGCACGCCCGGCTGGATGTTGACGATCCCCGGCACCGTCTGGCCATCGGACCCTGGCCCGCGCAACTCGCAGCGGCGATTGCCCTCCCGCACCTACCTCCCTCCCTCACTCATCTCACCTTAAGCTTGACCTTTCCCTCTCTGGTCCTGGCACACGCACCACTTAGACACGCAGGTGTGCGCTCCTCTCCCCCTCGTCCTCCATCTACCCACCGCCACCGCCACCGCCAACACCTCACCCTTCGTGTCTGCTCGGCGTGTCCGACGACATGGCCTGCATCCGAGACACCACGTCCTCTCAGTGAGGCAAGCCATCCTACCTGCCCTCTTTCTCCCCTACGCCGCCGCTTCGTCTCTTTCGCCCCCTCTCTTCCCGTCCGGGCTCGGTGCGGATCATATACCAGGCGATTTGAGGGACTGCAACAGGCAGGCGTCTCCACCGACCTCGGCCATCTGGCGGCTGACTTGACCCTCCTGCGCCGCATACCGACATGCCCTCTTCGTTCCGGGCCGACGTCGGCATCGCCGACATGGCGTCCAGCTTGGCCAGCGCCGCCACGCCGCTCACCGTCTCGTCGTCGTCGAGCTGGCCCACCTGCACGCTCAGCTACCGCGTCTTCCACCTCCAGTGGACGCTGCCGCTCTGCCTGCTCCTCTACCTCGTCAGCCGCCCGCTGCTGACCCGCCTCGACCGCGCCAAGCTCATCCTCCTTCCCGCTATCGCCTTTGTCTGGACGACGCCCTGGGACAACCTGATCGTCAAGAACCAGGCCTGGTTCTACCGCCGCCACTGCATCTGGTTCACCGTCGGCTACGTGCCCATCGAGGAGTACTTTTTCTTCGTCATCCAGAGCATCATGACGACGTTGTGGTGCAGCCTCGTGACGAGGTGGTTCCTGCCCAACCTGTACACCGGTACCTCCAGCGCCGCCCGCCGCAGCACCCCGTACAGGCTCTCCGCCGCGGTCGTGCCCGCCGCAGCCCTGCTGGTCGCCGGCGGGGTCTGGATGTCCCGACCCTTCACCGGCAGCTACTACATGGCCATGATTGTGTGGTGGGCAGCCATCCCCCTCGGGCTTCTGATGTGGGGCACCATCGACTTTGTGGTCCGCATGGGGCTCCGGCGTGGCGTGCTTCCCTTCCTGCTCAGCGTCGCCGCCCCCTCGGTCTACCTCTGGGCCTCGGACATCTACGCCCTGCGGCGCGGCACCTGGCACATCAACGAGCACACCTCCCTCAACATCTTCCCGATCCGCGACCTGCCCATCGAGGAGATGACGTTCTTCGTCGCAACAAACACGATCCTCGTGACGGCGTGCTACGCCTTTGACCGGTGCGTCGCCATCTGCTGGCAGGAGGCGTCAAAGGGCGAGCACGTCGAGACGCCGCTGTCGCCCAGCCACCTGCCGCTCTGCCGCGCGTCGACGTATGTCGCACTGTGGCGCGCTTTCATCCGTTCGGACGACTCGCAGCAGGCACCCGACAGTGCAGCCGGTGCCGACGGCCCCGCGCCGAGGGATTCGGCCACCTCGGACCTCTCGGCCTCGCTCGCTATCCTCACCAAGGCGTCAAAGTCCTTTAGCGCGGCCAGCTTGCTCCTGCCGTGGGACCTGCGCACGGACCTCAGCAGCCTCTACGCATTCTGCCGCGTCGCAGACGACCTCGTCGACGACGCCGGGCTCGATGTCGACGCCAAGGAGGAACGGCTGCGCGTGTTGGGCAAGGTGCTCGACGTCATCTATCCTCAGGCCGCCTCGACATCGACAGCGGTGGGACCACACGCCGACGTCTCCGCTGAGGGGAGGAGGAGAGGAGTACGCGAGGTCGTCGAGCAGTCTGCCTCCCAAATACCGCAAGGCAGGCGGGAAGAGATCCGGGCGGCCGCCTGTTCGGTGATCCCGCTTACGTCGATCGTCCCGCGCCGGCTGTGGGACGAGATGGTGCAGGGCTACCTGACCGACCTCGACTTTGAGCGCGCCGACGAGCGGGCGTGCGGATTCGACAAGATGGACCAGCTGGTGGCTTACGCGCAGTGCGTGGCCGGCTGCGTTGGCGAGATGTGCACGCGGGTCATTATGGCACGCTGCGGTCAGCCGGTCCCCCTGGACCTGGAGGTCGAGCGAGCCATCAGCCTGGATGACGAAGGCGGCGGTCGCAGTGGCGCGGATGCCAAGCCCACGATGAAAACGGCCGACGGGCCGGGCTCGGGTCTGCACTCGCTCCTCTACGAAGCGCGCCGCATGGGCGTGAGCCTGCAGCTGGTCAATATTGCGCGCGATCTGGTGGCGGATGCGGTGGAGCTGAAGCGCTGCTACCTTCCGCTCTCGATGCTCGACAAGGGCGACAAGCACTTTCAGCAAGCCATGCTAGCCGGCCGCGTCGCCAGGCCGACGGAGGCGGGGACAGCCGGCGAGGCATCGGAACGACCCAAGAGCGGCGAGTGGATCGAGGCGCGGCAGCTGCGCAAGTATGCGCTCCGCCTGCTCGATCTGTCTGAGGGGCTCTATGCTGCGTCCTACCCGGCACTGGCGAGGCTGCCGAACCCATCGGCCCGAGCCGGGCTGCGCGCCGCCTGTGCCGTCTACGCGGCCATCGGCGACAAGATCCGCAGCCAGAGCGCAGCGGCGGTCGACCGAGGCGAGAGGGCGCGGATGTCGACGTCAGACCGGCTGCGCAAGGCGCTGATGGCCATCTACCTCGACTAGGCGGCTGACGGGTCGCCCAATGACGACGGCTCGACAAGGGATACACGCGTGTTGCTGCCATGTACAATCATACACCGACTGCCCTCATACCACATCGCTTCTTCTCCTTGCCACCCGCTCTCGGGTACAGCCGTGCTGGCTCCCAGGCCCCCGCACGTCGCTGCCTCTGGAGGATCGAGTCAGGGCTCGCTTCCGACGCTCCGCCGAGTAGTCTGAGGTCGTCCTGTTTTGGTGGCGGAGCGGCCGGGTCGAGCCGATGCTGTCTGCAGCGCCGAGGCTTGGCCCCAAAGCTGAGTCGTCCAGATGGGCCACGGCGAGGAAGGACAAGCAAAGGCTCCATATCCTCCCCGCTACGGACACTAACACTGCCGCCTGCTGCCGTGATCTCGACGGGGACCCTGGGCTGAATGAATCTCGGCCCAGACGCGGCTACGACTGAGGTCTGACGCGCTTTCCGAGACACCGGATTGATGCCAAGCACATCGGTAGGCGTGGCAGTCTACGAGCGGCGGCGGCGGCGGTATCAAAGAGAGGTAGGTGGTATGGGCGGCACACGGACGGAGGTCGACGCCGAAACCTGATTTGCCTGCCTACAGCGTAAAGTTTCGTTGGAGGAGGCAGCAGCCAGCGCTCAGTTCCGGGATAGGTTGACCACTGACCTTGGCGACGGTGGTCAAAGATGAATCAGAGCAAGCCTCTCTTCCAACCATGCTGGCCAGCCCTGCCTCGCCGACGAGGCATGGCTCGGAGCACGCTGGACCTTGTTTGCCGCGGCCCGACCATCACCCTCCAGCTCGGATCATCCTTCGAGGGATGGCGTACGACGCCCGATCTCTGCTCCACCGATGCCCATGGCAGGCCCTACCCCGATTAACCTGCTTTCTTGGCTCGAGCGCAACACAGCATGATATGGTGCGACGTAACACAAGCAGCCGCGGGCAGGAAGGCCAGTGGCAGGGCCGCCATGAATGGTGTCCACGAGGAAGGTGGGCAATCTCGCCCTCGCCAGCGCGTCTTCTCTGGGAGCTCGGCTTGGGAAAGCGACGCTGGGCCACCTTGTGGTTCCAAAGAGCGGTACGCACGGGCTGACCGAGCGAGCTTCTAGAACAGCAAACAACAGGCAGCTGTATGATGAGAGGTAGGGTCGGACGGTAGCAGCATCATATCAACCAGCAGGCTGGCTAGGCAGGGTCGTTGGGTGGGTGGGGGAAACAGGCGAGCGAGCGGGTATCAAGCAAGCAGGCAGGCAGGCAGGAGGGTTGTCTGGGTCCCGAGCAGGCTAGCGGTTGTGCCGCAACGCCCCATCCTAGCCTCTCTAGCTCTCCTTTAGGCGGGTGCGTGCGTACGTGCGTGCGTGCGTGCGTACGTGCTGCCGCTGCTGTTGATCTCGCCACCGCTGCAGTGGGACTCGAGGTCGAGCAGAGCAAAGCAGAGCAGACGAAGAGCGTGTCCGTCTGCCTGCTAAGGCTGAGAGCGAGCGGCCGCCTTTTCGGTGTCTGTGCATCCTGCTGAAGAGAGAGAGAGAGAGAAGCCGGGAGCTGGACCGCTCGCCGCCGTTCGAGGGCCGGTGGCAGGCTGAGCCAGGCCAGGCAGGCATGCCTCTCTTCTGGCGCCCAGCACAAGCAGCAGAGCAGCGCAGCCCAGCCAGCTTCAATCGGGCCTCGCCTCGCCCTGGCCCTTGCCCTGCCTGCCTTAGCTTGCTTGGGCGCCAGACGCTGCTGCTTGCCCTGCCTGACCTCGCCCCGCCTCTCGCCTCGCCTCTCGCCTCGCCTCGAGTTGGCTCGTCTGCTGTGCAGCCCGCACAAGCCGCCTGCTCGCCCCCCCCCCCCGCCTGGCTGCTGGTCCGACTTTTGCTGCTTGCTGCTCGCCGTCGTTCCCGACCTTGATTCCCTCTGCGTGTCGTTGCTCGTCTGGCCATCTCCCCGGCCCCCCCACCTGTCGCACTTGCATCGTCATCAACCCCCGTCTCCGCCAAACTCTCACCCCACCTCCATCACCACCGCCACCACCACCACCACCACGGCCGCCGTTGCCACCGCCATCGCCATCGTCCGCGGTCCCCGTCCGCCCTCGTCGCGCTTAGCACCTCATCGGAATCGGCGGGAAGCGCTCTCTGGCTCGGACATCCGTATCGGCCCCTGTCGTACTCTGTCGCATTGCTTCAAGTGCTGGACCCTCGCGCTCCGTGCTCCTTGTCCAGCCAGGAGGCGTCCCGCATCCGCAGGACGACTACCTCTGGACCGCCGGCTTGGTCCTCTCGCTGCACCTCTCGGACGCAGATTCGACCGGGACACTCTGTCGCATCTTCAAACCGCACCGGACCGCGGCTTGACAGCGACCAACGGCACCCATCCCTAGGTGGTCGCTACAGAACCAGCAAACCGAGCCCCTCCGCCAACCCTCCGCTCCATCTGCCCGACCGTTCCCCGACAAGCGGTTGTCTTCGACCCTAGACAGCGCGTCGACCGCCCTCGACCGCTCGCATCCGCACAACTTCGCCCTCAGTCTTCGCCAACAGCCCTTTCCCTTGCTGTGGGACTTTGCGCGTGTAATTTGCTGTCGTCGGACCGCAGCCAGAGCCTACCAGCCGCAGCGTGAGATCCTCGCATCGGCAGCAGCCAGGACCTAGCGATAGCCCGCTCACTGCGGCTGTCCAATGAGGGTCACGTCACCGGCACATCACCAGGGGCCATCCTGCGCTCTTTGACTTGCCGGCGCGCCTCGTCAAGCTCTGTGCGGTCCGGCGGTGCACTCATCACCAACACTTGCTCATCTGAACCACCACCAACACCACCACCACTACTCACAGTACAGGGCGTCGGCTGGCAGACTGGCTTCCCTCTTTGCCAGAGCCAGACCCCGGGGACCGCGTGCTCAGGGCCGGCAAAATGGACTACCGTTCGGCATCGGCTTCGTCCTCGCGGAGCGGGAACCGGTACTTTGACACGTATGGGTCCATCGCTCGGGACGATGAGCGACCGGGCATCGTGAAGCCATCCTTTGCTTCGTCCTCCGGCTCGCACCTGCCTGCGTCCCTCGGTCTAGGTTCCGGCCCTACCGCCGCATCCCCCCGAAACGGCCTGGGCACGCGGCCGGGAGCACTGCATGCTGAGCGCCGCGTCCTGAGCGATGGCAAGCTGGTAGCGCACGTCACGCCAAACCAAGGGCCCGCGTACTTTGGCAGCGGCAACCTCGCCAGCTCGACGTATGGCATGGCTCCCGGCGGCCTTGGGTCGGGTGACTGGCACGAAAGCCCTCGGGTGGTGCGGCGGACGCCCATCCCAGGTTTGCCGCCTGGGGCTCAGTTGTTGGAGTCGGCCGCTCCACCCTCAGCGGCGAGAAACTTCCTCGTCCCGATTGGTTCGACCGGAGCGCGGCAGAAACTGTCGATCGCGAACGCGTCGCAACGGAGGAAGCTGGCCACATCGGACGAGGTCAGATGGCCAACACAGCTGCCGGGAGATCCGCCTCCGACAGGGGTTTCGACCGGCAGCAGCAGCAGCGGCGCTGGCGGAATCGCCCCGCCACCACACTTTGCCACGATCCCACGATCGCGGTCGGAAGGGCTCTTCAAGGTGTCGGGTCCTGACGGAGCCCGACCGTCCGAGATCGCGGACTCCCAGTCAGCGTCCCAGACGTCGAATGGCTTCTCGGAGAGCATGCATCGGCGTCTCGCCTCGTCCCAGTCGTCGAGCTCATTGGCTTCGACGTCGACCGGGCTCAGCAACGGCGCAGCGACGCGCACTCACGGCGGCCGTTCAGAGTACCGGCGGCCGGGCTCCGCTGCCTCCACCTACACGTTTGGGACTTCAGATGGCCCGGCATCGGCCGCAGCTTCGCCACGCGACCCTTCCACACGACCACCAATAATGGCCAGGGGAAACAGTCTTCCGCCAGAAGGTACTGCGAAGCCAGTGGCGCGCGACCTGCCGGAGCGATCCCTCACATCGACCGAGATCGTCCAGGCGGCGCGGGCGAGAGCCTCTGGATTGCGGACCGACAGCCCGATGGGAATGTCTGCGTCGACCGCCAGACGAGGCGTGGCATCGCCGCCAGCCGGCGCGTCGTCACAAGACCCGCAGACGCCTCCGCCACCACCGGACAAGCCTTGGCGGACTCGAGACGCGCATGGGACCGCAAACGGCGATGAAGCGCGGGACGCAGGCGCTGCGCATCAGTCAGACGCTTCATTGCCGACGACTGGGGGTCCGCGTACGCCGGGCGGCTCGCGCTTGGGCCTCAAGGGCATGTTCATGAAGAAGGAACCGTCGCTGGAGGACTTGTCCGGCCAACGGGGTGGTCCAACGGACAGCGAGGGCCGCGGCGGCGAGGTTCTCTCCTCGGCGGAGCTGTACAAGCGGAGCATGCTCGAGAGGGACCTCCAGCGGCACTCGCCAGCGGCAGAGGTCGTGGAGCTGGCAATCTCAGAGGACACGCCGACAGAAAGGGCGGCCCAGCTCAACGGGTCGGCCGATACCGAGCCGCGGCCGTTCTCGACGCTCTCTGCACGGCCGGTGTCGCAGCGCGCCCCCACGATCGACTTCGACATCCCCGAATCGAGCTTCTTCGATTTGACCGATGAGGCGTCCGACGGGTCGCCCGTCGCATCGAGCCGGAATGGACGACTTTCCTCTGGCGACAGTCGGCGCGACTACAGCACTGAGGACTCCGACCGCTCGACAGGCTCGTTCGAGGGGGCCTACATTCACCCGGCCCTCGCTTCGGCAGACTCGCCCTCGCAGCGGCCTGCTGGCCTGCCATCCGATCGAGAGGTACCACTGGCAGGCTACAAGGACAGCCGAGGCGGCTCTGCGAGGGATCCCGTGCCGCGGGCCGCGCCTACTGCGACACCGGACGGCCGGGCCAACTCTGCGCTCCGCTCGGCCGCAGAGACCAGGCCCGACGTTGCTTCCGAATCCGCCGAAAACACGCCGAGACTTGCTGCGGCCGAGACCTTCGAATCCGGCACGGGGACAACGCCGCACCCGGTCGTCTCTGACCTGAAGCTTGGCCAGACGCGACCTCTGGATAGCAGCGCATCAGCCGGGCTCGACGATCCGCTTGCAACGCCCAAGCGATCCCGATCGACAGACATCGGAGCTGGGATGAACGCGGCGCCGGCGGTACCGGCGACGTCCAAGCACCGGGCAACGGCATCAAACTCCTCGTCGCCTCGTACACACCCGGCAGCGCTGGGTGGACTGAGCGGTGTCGACGTCGGTCCAGTGCCTTCGACATCGTCACCGCGTGGTGCGCAGCCGCGAGCCGCTTCGAGTCATGAACTGCCGACTGCCATCGGCCGAGGCCAGGCTGTCGCGGGAGGCACGCCCATGCGCGATCTGGCCAAGGTCTCCTTCGAGGATGGCGACATGATCCCGGCAAGCGCGCCTTCCGCTGCACCATGGCAGAGGCCGATGGAGCCCTCGAGGGCCCTGTCGCCCGAGATTAGGCAGAGTCGTTTCTCGGAGGCGAGCACGGATGCCTCGGACTCGCGGACGCCAACGCGCAACGAGAACCGTCTCTCGGCTTTGGAGTCGTCCGACGTCGCCGACGAGAGCGAAGATGCCGAGGACGAGTCGTCGATGGACGGGCAGATGCTGCCGAGCAGCGCATGGACTGAGGTGGAAAACGCTCTGCGAAAGTTCCGGGATCGCAATCCGGCGGCCGCGGCGGATCGCGGCAACCTGCTCCGGACGGTGTTGCTGCCCTTCCTCGCCCTCGAGGCCGAGACGGCCTCTGTTGAGGTCGTGGGCTCCGGCATCTATGTCCAGGGCAAGGCGCGGCGCGCTCTCTTCTTCGAGTGGATCCGCTACCTCCTGCTCGAGCTTCAGCACGTGCAGACCTCGGCCGATCGCGGCGCCATCCTCGAGAGCATCGCCTGCATCATCGAGAGCCGCAACTTTTCGACCGGAGTGCTGGGACAGGACGACGGCGACGAGGCGCGCTTCTCATCCGTCTTTGGCCACATCCTATCGTACGCCATCGGCGAGCTCAACAAGAAGGGCGTCTACCAGAACACGCTCATCTTTTCGGGCCGGCTGCTGGCCGTCGCATTCTTCCGCGTCGACGGCGTGGCGACCAAGCTGCTGCGGGCGCTCCCGGTCAACCGCTTTGCCCTCGAGCGCGTGGCCAAAGAGGCGGGTTGGCAGCAGAGCCGGCCGACGGACTTTGAAAAGTTCCGTGCCAAGTTCCCGGCATCGCTGCGGCAGCTCTGCTTCAAGGATGCGCGCTCGTACCTCAAGATGCTCGACAACGAGTCTGTCTCGGCAGGCTCCGAGGTGGGTGCCGAGGACGACCGCTTCCTCGTCCGCCAGCCCGAGGTTGAGGTTGAGATGACGGGCAACTGGCTGCGCCGGTGGCAGTCGGACGACTCGGAGCTCTTCTTCAGCTTCTGCCGCAGCTACCACCGCCAGCTCGCCTGCCTCTTTGCCAGCTCCAAGCAGCTCGAGAGCGTCAACCAGCACTTCTTCGGCGGACCCGGTTACGCCCACCTGGCCACCTGTGTGCACCAAAAGTGCCTCGCCCTCGTCCACCGCGTCATCCTCTCGGTGACGACCCTGTCATCGCAGAAAAACTTCAACCCCGCCGGCGAGACGGCCAACGTCCTGCTCGGGAGCACCGCCGGCAAGCCCCGCGTCCTCGAGGCCGCCAACCGCCGCTGCACCGCCATTGTCGTCGACATCGTCCGTGCCCCCTCTGGTGGCAACATGATATTCGCGCCGATGCTCGGGCTGCATATCAAATGCCTCGTCAAGCGGACCTCGCTCTACGATGTGCAGGGCGTCTTTTGCCTTCTCGACTGGCTCGACGGCGTCCTAGGCCACATCGACCAGGCGGAGCTGATCGGCGAGGGCCTCATCGATGTCTCGTTCGTCATCACCACGATCGGACTGCTGCTCGAGGAGGCGGACCATGCGCTCGCCTTGATGCGGACAATCGCTGTGAGTTTGGCCTGTTCCTCGCTCGCCTTTCAATTTCTCTCGTCCGAGTCTCGCCGGCTGACCTCTTTGCCACCTCGCTTCTGCGTCCGACGGCCTTGCAGTTCTGCTATGCCAACTTTGGCGTCTTGACGGCGACCAAGGACAACCGAACGCGGTTCTGCGAAGAGATCCTGCTCAAGCCCAAGGTGTTCAACAAGCTCTTCCTGTCGTGGTCGTTCACGATCCGCGCCTACTTTCTCCACCTACTCGTCTTCCGCCTGGCCCGGATCAACGACTTTCCGCACCCGCACGATGATCCGCAGGGCAAGACCGCGGTCAGCATCGCCCGCCTCTTCAACCAGCGCCTGGAGGCAATCCGCAAGAGGCACGACCAGCTGTCGCCGCTGACCGACTCGAGCTCGGACGGGGACAAGTCGGAGACTGAAGAGAAGATGAAGCGGAGGACAGCCAGCTCCTTTGTTAGTACCATCAAAAAGACGCCCTCGATCACCGGTGTCGAGGCAGGCGGCGCGGTCAAGCCGAAAGCGGAACGCCTGCTCGGCTCGGGCGCGGGCGGCAGCGAGGCGTCCCGAAGGAGCGAGGAGAAGCCGCAGTCCAAGGCCAAAAACTGGCTGCGCGCGCTACGCGGCGCCAAGGGCAGCAAGGGCTCCGCCTCGAGCAATGGAGCAGACGGCGGACGCAACAAGGCGGGTTCCATCGACGAGGACGGCGACGAGGATGCGCATGTTCCTCTCTCGCCGGCGTCACTTCCCAGCAGTCCGCCGCTCCGCGACAGCGACTCTCTGTCCGATGCCTCGACGCTCGATGGCAGCGTCGGTCTCCTCGGCCTTGGGCCGGTCAAGCTGGCGCCATTCGAGTTTGAGATCTCGAGCAAGGAGGAAAAGGAGAGCAACGGCCTGGCCAACCATATCGCCTCGATGCCCGTCGGCCACGATGCGGGGATCGCGAGCGATGCGACCTTTGACCTGCAGAATGCGACGCCGCAGCCGCCCACACCGGGCGCTCGCTCGTCGATGCACTCGCCGCGGGTGTCGAAGGCGTTTTCGAGACGCAGCTCGATGCTTCCTGGCCCGGCGTCGGAGCTGGCCGGCCTCAACGACTTTGAGATGCCGCCGCTGCCCGAGTTTCCCGCGCACCTGTCGCAGGCCTACGAGGAGACGCTGCACGTCTACGCCGTCCAGAGCCTTCGCGAGTACGAGCAGACGGTCCAGGTGAGTTGTTGCGGGCCAACGTCCGAGCGCCAGGCGGTCCGAGCTTGCAAGCAATGCTGACCGTCGAACGCTTTCATCCTTGTTTTGATCCTGATCACGACCGTTTGCAACCCATGTACAGGAGCACGACGAGTTCTTTGCCTCGTTGCCCAAGGACCAGGGCGTTCAGGTGCCGAGGCTTCCCGTCAACTGGCCGGCGATGTGGTCTTCGACCGGCGAATGATATCCGCCAGCCCTGCGTAGGGCTGTGCCGCCCCTCTTTTTCCCCTCGATGCCCTCTAATTCGAACACGATGTTCTGTCACTCGTTTCCACCCCCTTGCTCTACTACCCTCCTGCCGCCCGGTCAATTCCCGTCATTTTGAGGCTTTGTCCGCACCCTGCCCGAGGTTGCTTGTTGCTCCTCGACCATCGTCGCGCCGTTAAAGACGTGCTCGAGATGTAACTGCCTGATGCTGCTGCTGGGTCGCTGCTGGAGCGAGACGTGGGCCGCGTGGCTCGTGCAGGCGGGGCGGCGGCGGCTTCCTCCACATGGGGGGGCTCAGCCGGAAAGTCGAGCGACGCGCAACCGCCGGTGGCCTCTCCACCGGTCTCCTTCTCGCCACCAACCCCCATTCCTACCTGAGCCTGCCTTCTCTGGGCGCTCTCACCATCATTGCTCGCTCAAACTCGCACGCACGTACTCACATACGCCCTCGAACTCACCCGCATCGCCCGTCATGTCGTGCTTGCCCTACATATCCCTGCAGCCCAACTACCCGGACGTCTTCGGCGACATTGCCTCGTCGACCGTCTCGACGGAAAAGGTGTGGCTATCGGCCTACAGCGCAAACGCTCCCAGCGGAAGCATCCATGCCAAGCTCGATCTGCACGCCACTCCTGTCTCGGACGCAGCGGAAGAGGACGCAGAGACCCAGGGCGGCGTCCGGATCGACAGCGTAACGGGCGGAGAGCGCGACGACCTGCGCGTCCAGCGTGTCAAGGGATCGCAGCTCGATCTACTCGTCTCCTCTGGCACGGCGGGGCAGCAGCATCCCGACAGGCACGACCACCAACGATCGGCGAGGGTGTTGCAGCCCGCCATCGCTCTCCCACCCACCCACCTTCGCCTGCCGAAGCGCTCCATCGGAAAGGTGCTCCCGGCCTCCAGGACGGGCCAGATCAACCAGAACTTCACCGCCTACCCCAACATCGAGGCGTTTGACGTCTCTGCGACGCAGAATGGCCTCTTTGTCGCTGGAGGAGAGGAGGGCGCGCTGGTCGTAGGCAATCTCATCGACAGCTCCGAGATGCTCTCCGTCATGGACTCGCTCGAGGACGAAGACAAGGAGGCGCTCCAGGGCAGGCACGGCGAGGAGAAGCGCATCGAGGCGCTCGCCAGCCTGAAGATCAAGGAGAGGGAGGAGAGGAGCAGGAGGGAAAAGAAGGTCTACCTCAAGGGCCACGTCGGCGATGTCAGGAGCGCCCGCTTCTTCCCGAGCGGCGAAGGTGCGTCACTGTTGCGTCTGACACCGTCGAGGCGGCGTCCCATCGATACTGACGCAGTGCTCCCCTTGGCTCGATCCCGCTCTTCTCACTTGCAGTCGTTCTCACGACCTCGTCGGATCTTTCCACTCGCATCTTTTCGGCGCTCGACGGCTCCAACCCACGCACCCTCACGGGCCACAAGCGTGCCGTGCTCTGCAGCGGCATCCTCGGCCGGGGCCGCGAGATCCTCACGGGTGGCGGCGACGGTACGGTGCGCCTCTATGACGTCGGAGAGGGTAAGCAGAAGACCATGTTTGGCGTCGAGCGCTTCTCGTCGGTCAACGCCATGGTCGTGCCCCTCCTCGACGCCCCCAGCGCTGGCGGTCAGGTCGAAGCCGGTGAAGCGGCGGCGGCGGCAGTGCCCAACGAGTTTGCCGTTGGTCTGAGTTCTGGGCATGCCGAGGTCATGGACATCCGCGCCAAGAAGCGGGCGGGCATCGTGGGCGGGTACGCCTTCCCGCCCGGCCCTCCGCCCAAGGCATCGGACAGCTGGACGCAGGAGGCATCGACGGGCCAGGTCCTCGCCATCGACTGGTACCGCGCCGGGGGCCGCAACCTGATCGCCACGGGCACCGTCAAGGGCTACGTGAGCATCTACGACGCGAGGATGCTCGGCAGCTCGGCCGAGACTCCGGCCCGCGTACCGCCAAAGGCGCTGCTGGCGAGCTGGAAGAGGAACGGATCGGCCGTCAATTCGATCAAGATCGTCGAGGCCGGCAGCGCAGGTGGCGGCAGCGTCGATGTGCTCGTCGCTACCGCCGATGGTCTACCCTATCGCGCCCGGGTCCACTTGGGTGCGGACCGGCCCACTGCATCGACCGAAGATCCGCCGGAGATGGAGATCGATGCCGACCCCCTCCAGCAGCAGCAGCAGCAGGAAGAGGACAAGACGCCGATGTGGTACGGCCACCGCGCCACCGTCGTCGAGGAGTTCTGCGGGTGGGACTGCGACCCGACCGGCGTCATCACCCTCGACCACAAGGGCCGCGTCGTCATTGCCGGCTCGGACGCCAGGATCAAGAGGTACTGAGTCGGCGTCTTCGCTGCCGGATCCTCTTCCGCGTCAGCGCCGACATGGCAGCCGGGCGGAAGAAGGCCAAAGGAGCTGGATCAGGTCTCGTGCAGATGCTGGTCTCTCGGATGACAGTGGGCGGACGCGCGATTGGGCTAGTAGGTTACAGAAGCGATGACGGGGCTGCGGGCTGGGACGTTGGGTGACGGACGGAAAGGAGAGTGACGAGGTCGGTAAGGGAATGCGGGACGGTAGGAGCCGATATCAAGGAAGGTGAGGAGAGCCATGCCGGCCCACAGACGAGGGAAAAGGGAGGGATGCACGAGCGAGGACGACGTAGGCGGGTCGGCTCCCCCCTTGCGCTCCTCGCCCGTCCGCCAAAACGACGGAATGACAGTCGAGGCTTCTTGCCGCTCGGCTCTAAACCGCGCGTCCTCGCTGGCAAGAAGCTGTCGAAACGCCACAACAAACGAGGGTGGGATGTATGGCCGACGACCAAGGCCTAGAGGGCGATGCCAAAGTGCTGCGCGTCCTCTACGCTCTGGCGCGGAAAGAAGGACATGATGGGCCGCGCATCGCCCGCGTGCTCGTCGATGGAGCTACCAGACTCGCATGTCGAGAGCGACGACGGCGCCGAATCGAGGTTCATGTATTCGTCGGCGGCATCCTCGCCGTCGCCATCGCCGTCGCCGCCGTGGTGGGCAAAGCTGCCGCCGCGGCTACCGGGCGGCGTGAAGCCGCTCCACTTGAGCGGGCTCATGGCGTCGAGCTGCGGCAGCGTCAGGCGGTCGAGGAACACCGTGTCGGTGTCCGTCGCCTTTGTCGTCGTCGTCGTCGTCGTCGGTGACGGCGCGGCCACGCGGATGCCCGCATCCTGCCTCGGTCGCGGGGGTACCGAGATCGGCGGAGGCGGAGGAGCCAGCGGGAACCTGAAGGCGTCCCAGCGCTGCGGAGGAGGCGGCGTTCGGAACCGCTCCGGCTCGTTTCCTCCTGCTGCATCCGCCGCCTTGGTCAGTGGATGCGCCTTGGGCGAGGGAAGGGCGAGGGTCGAAGGCCCGGACTGGTCCCACGGGTCGTCGACGGGGTACAGCCTCGCCGTCAAGTCCGTGTCGATCTTGTAGCTCGCAGTATGGGCGTGCGCACTGGCAGCAGCCGCAGTGGCAGCCAAAGAAGCGGTGGTCTGCTGCCAGTTGGTCGGGAGGGATGGCATGGGTGGCGGCGGCGACCTGTTGCCCGGTCGCTGAGCGAGGTCCGCGTTGCTGCGGCGGCGAAGCATGCCCTTGAACGACACGGCGCGTTTGCGCGCGCCCTTCTTGTCGTCGACATCCCGCTCCTGCTGTGGCTCCTGAGGGAAGCTGAATGCTCCCTTTGAGCGGCAGTCGATGTCGCCGCCGCCGCCACCGATGGGGCTGCTTTGTCGCACGGAGGTCTCGGCGCTGTCGGTGCAGCCGGCGATGAACGCGGCTGCGGCCGTCGAGGCGGCGGCGGCCCTCTCAGTCTCCCTCTTACCGCTGCTCCTCCGCCCCCGGCGGGAAGAGAGGTCCTGCACCGACTCGGCCTTACGCAGCGTCGAAGGACGCTCCGCCATTGTCGATGTCTTGGCGGGTCCCGTCGAGGAAGAAGGTGACGCCAAACGTCCGTCATCGCTGCGCTGCTTTGACGGTCGCCGTCCGCGACCTTCGTCGCCGAGGTGGGCAAAGGACTTGTGCTTCTTCAGCTTCTTGTTCTTTGTCACTTTCGCGTCCTCGCCGAGCGGTTTCTCGCCGGCTGGTGGAGACGGCTGGGAGGACAACGACGCCGCGGTGTCGACTGTCTGCGCGCTGCTCTCGGTCGACGAAGAGCCGGATCGCGAAAAAGAGGCGCGCCACGCCGGAAACGAGAAGGCGTGGAACAGCTTGTTGCCCCGGTTGGCCTTGCCGGATGCCGGCGAGGTCGTCGGCGAGCTGAGCGGCATCTTCTCGTCGTCGATGGACGTGTCTGCACTGATGCCCCGGACGAGGGGCGATCCGGCGCTAACGGTGCTGCCGTTCGAACCGTCGCGGCGGTTGATGCCGGAATGCTCGGCAGATGCCGTCGCCTTTCCGGCGGTGATGCGCGCCGATGCCATGCTGGGCACGTCTGGGATCGACGTCGTCACCCTGTGCGACGCTCGAAACGGTCCTCCGACCGACTGAGCCCTGCTTCGCCTCGTCAAGGAAGCCGTCGTCTTGGTCCGCTCCAACTCGATCGAGAATACGCCAAAGTCGATGCCTGTCTCGGACTGCCCAACGGGGAAGAGCTTCGGATTGCCGACGTACGATGCCATCTTGTGTGTGTTTCGCCGGAAGGATGGCTTGAGGCGATTTCGGAGCTCGTGTAGAGCTGTTCGCAGGAGAGGGTATGGCAACAGGGAAGGGGTAGCGGACACGAGAGGCCTGATGGCCACGGCAGGGGCAGTTGTAGTGATATGCGTGAGGGCCCGGCCTTGATGTGGACGGCCCGTGTACTCTCAAGTACGCAGGGCGGGCTTGCAGATCCGTCGGACAGCGTCAGTCGACCAAGCAGAGCAACGTCCTTCCAGTTCTCCCGGCAGACGAGGGTCGAGGAAGGTGGGCTTGGAGGCCTGTGGGGCCTAAGGCCTATTGTGGAGCCAAGTCTCCGGAGGGGACCGTGGTGATGCGCTTTAGCACTCCCCTGAATGGGACGCGGTCGCGCCAGTGGGCGTGATTTTGCGGTGTCGCCGCCTAGGTTCCCCCGGTGTGTCGGGCGTCCGGGTCGCTGGGGATCGTGGAGGCCTTGCTGGCTGCTGTGCGGATCGCCCAGAGTGCCGCAGACCCCTGAATCTGTCGAGTGAGGAACGGAAAAGCAAGCGGTGGGACGAGGAGCAGTCGGTCGATCAATGATCGGCAAGCGTGTCGCGGCATTCTAGAGAAGAGGCTGGGTTCGGAGACCGGGGCAAAACACGTACCGCGTGTGGCAGGAGGCCGATCGAGGCCTGTCGTTTAACCTAGGGGCGATCTCGATGGTCGCTTCCGGTGTTGTCACGGGTCGGGGTGGCACAAAGAGGGTTCCTGGAGGAAACGTAAGAGATGCTGCAGAAGAGGGGGGAAAGAGCGGCATCGACAGGCCGTGGCGAGTGCATCCTTTTCTGCAACTTCTTGCGTTGCAGGAGGGGACGCCGACGGTCGCCGTGTGGGGTCGCTTTGAGGTGACCATCCCTGGACATTCCCCTCGCCCAAGAGGCGTGCAACGGGCCACGCACTCACGCTCAAAGCCCAGTCGGCGCTCTTCCCCGCCATCCCACCTCCCTTCGAGGCGTTGAAGACGATGCCAAGAGGGCGGTGGCGTTGATGATATCTCCGGGCGCGTCTCGCGTTCCTCGGCACCTCTCTGTCTGCCATACCGCCCGACCGGGTCGGCGCGGTGTCAAATGTGGTGTCGCATTGAGAACGCAGCCGGTTGTCCAACAACAGGGCCATATTCCGGCAGACGAGGCGGTGTGATGAGGCCTAGCATCGGCGTGGGCGCTGGCGCCAGAGTGCGGGCGCTCTCTCACGCTAGAGTGGCGGCGGCGATTTCGTTTCCGCCGCCTGTTTTCGGCGTCCCTACCCTGGCCGGCGTGAGGCCGCGACCAGCGTCGAGGGCGCAACGTGGGCTTCCCGCATCGTGCGACCAGCTGAAGCTGCCGTAGGCTAGTGTCGCCATCTCTGTGAATGCACAGATCGAAGACAGGGGCGAGTTTCGACAGGCAGGAAGCAGGAACGATCGGAGGGGTATGAGAAAGCGATGATTGCGAAGAAGGCCGCGCCTGGCAGGTGCGGCGACCGAGAGAAGATTCGGAGGACCAGAGGCCGCTGTCAGCTGCGGGCAGGCACGCAAGCATACGAGATCGAGCTCGAACGAGGCGACGAGAGGCATTCGACCGAAGACCCCTGCTCCGGCCGTCCGGACGCCGTTGCCTAGTTCTCGGGAATACGGCTGTGGGAGGTATGTAGTCAACGGTGACGATAGAGGACAAGGCAAAACCGCCGAGGGAAGCAGTGGTCAGCGGCGTTTAATCTAGTGTGTTGGGCGCACCGTCGATGAACGGGCGTCGAAAGGAAGGCTGGCTGGTCGTTTGTCGACGCCGGCCTGCTCATCGACGCCGACAACACTTTCTGCTGACGGCCCCTTTTTTGGCGCAGCACGTCGACGACGCCCGGGTGCATGCATGCACGCACGCCGAATCGCGTGGCAGGCACGCAGGGTCGCCCTTCGCGCTCGCCTGAGACGAGGCCGGATTAAACGAGAGGCATCGGGCAGTCGCGCCTGCGGCTCCAAGGCCCCCCGATCGTCCGTTGGCCCAATGCAGCGGCAGAGGCGGCAGGTTAGCGCTATGGCTCCGGGCGACTCACAATACGGTGATCTCCTGCTGCTTAAAGTAGCGCCGATTCTCCTCGTCGATGAGGACGAGATTGAGGTAGTAGCGCGTGCTGAACTTCTTGTTGACGTCACGGAATGTCGGCGTCAGCTCGAACCCGCCAAGGAAGAGTCGGATCGGGATGGTCTCGCCTGATGCATGGGGCAGCGGTGGGGTGGGGGCGGTCGCATGGGGTCAGAGAAAGGCACGGAGCGCGCGGTACAGCCTAGCGCGCCGCCCAGCCCGCCGCCAAGGCTACGGGGGCGTGCCACGCTGAAGGCGTATGTATATGAACGCCCAACGCGGCTAGCTAGCTCACCTCGTACGGGGGCGCCATCCATGATCTCGAACTTTGTAATCGTCTCCGACTCATTGTACTGGTTCGGCGCTGAGGTGCAGCATGGCGTCGCGGAACGGAACCGAGTTTGGCAGAGTCAGTGCACGGATCCGTCTCGGGTGAGCAACGGCATGTGGCCACCAAAAGCCGCTGCGCAAAGGTCGGGAAGGGGTCAGGTTCCAGACTTGCGCAGACAACGCACCTGCTCCGGTCGTTTCTCGACGGATGATGGAAAGCTCCATGTGCTTGATCTTTATCCGCACCAGCAAAAAGTAGATCTTGCCCACGATGACGTCCTTGAGGTGGTATCTGCGCAGGGGGGCGACAGCCGGCCGGCTCGGATAGTGAGCACATGATCGACCTCTGGAGGTCCTCTCGTCCTCGGCACTCTGCGATGCCCGGATCGGCTCACTTTGACTTGTTGTACTCGAACTCGATGTGCAGACAATCTTCGATGCCGACCTCCATCTTGATGGCGTTGTTCGAGTCCGGCGGCATGCGGTACGAGTGGACCCAGATGTCCCTCTCCTTGATCACGTCGGCCAGCCGTCGAGAGATTGACACACGGATGAAGTATCTGCAGAGGCATCGGCGATGGCCAACGAACGTGAGTCCACCGGCCAAGTTGCTGGTATCTGGCCCATCGATGGACCGCGACGACCGGATCACGCCCGCGCCGCTGTACTCACCGGAGCTTGACGTTGATGCCGTTGTAGCTCTCGTACTGCTTTTCGACGTTCTTGAACTCAAAGTCAAAGTTCTGCGCAGCCCTCATCTCTCCCGGAGATGCGAGCTCCTGGACCAGCGAGAGAAACTCGTAGTGGTTGCCGCGGTCGTAGAAGAGCTCTGGCGGTGGGAAAGCGCCACGAGGCTGGTAAGCAGGCAGTATACCATCTTGCACCGGAGGTGGCGAGGCGGCCGTCACTCACCGATGCTGCCGACGAACTCTACCTTGATGCCATCGTGCACCAGCTTCTTGCCATCTCGCACCCTTACCGAGACCTTGCGGAAGGTGTAGGGAAGACCCGGTGCGAAGTCAGTCGATGTAGGCGCACGCGGCTACACGCCGAGAAGCTCGCTCAAGGCTCACCGTTCCCTTGACGCTCTCTCCATCGAAGTAGATCGGACACTTTTCCCTGGTCGCCTTGTCCATCTTGATCTCGACTTGCTTTCTGGCATCCTCATTTTCGAGGCGGACGTCGACGTCGACGGGCGACGCAAAGGAGAAGAAGGAGGCCATGGTCGCCGTCCAACCTGGGAGTTTTGTCCAGGTTCAGGTCAGACGATGCGTGGATGTGTATGTGTGTGCAAGCAGCCGTTCCAGGGCAAAACTGAGGGGAGCAGGCTGGGTCGGCTTCTGGCGAGTAAAGTCGGCAGGCGGCAATGAGGCCCCGATCTGCCGATGGGGGAGGCGACTGGCGACCAGAAGCAACCAAGGTCCGAGGTTGGAACAGCGCTGTTGAGGGGCTTGGGTGGATCGGATCCGGTTCGAAGCCTCGGAAAGAGTATGATGAGGCGGGCAGGAGCGGGATGTGTGTTCCGAGCGGAAAGGAGGTCGAGGGTTGGAGGCTGCGCTGGTGATGGTGGTCGAGAAGCCGGCAAAGCAGCCTCGCCTCGGCCAAGGGTTCTCCACGCGCGCATGGGCCCGCACGCACCACGCACGGCCTGCCCGCTTTCAAGGCTCCAGCTCCGCGCACCCGCCTCGCCCAGGCAGAAAAACGTCGCCCGCCAGCTCCACCTCGAGCCCCTCGCTCACCAACTACTGCTACCCTGGCGCTCTTCAATCCGCCGGGCCCCTCACCCTTCCACACTACTGCTACATCGCATCCCAGACTCGACTCGTAGCCGGTGTAGACGAAGCCAGGAACGAGGATCGAGGTCAGAGTTGTGGGCACCACGAATGCGGCCATCGGGTTGGCCCGATCCCGTTGCCGGCCTCATCGGCCCAACCGGGGACGACCTTCTTGCGGCTACGCCCCTCGGGTCAGGCCCGAGGGCGGTCAGCCTCTTCGCAGTGGTGCCCTTTGAAGCCCTTAGTCCGTTCGATCTGGCACTTGGCGAGTCCCTCTGGCAAAGCGCCACGGCGACTGAGATTAGAACGAGGAGGAGACGGTTGACGATGATCGTCCTTCTTTTGCTAAAAGTACATGGGGGGTTGAACGCTGCAGACCCCGCGGTATATCTACAGGTCGGGTCAGATCGAAGGGCGGGACGAGCTAGGTGCTTGGCACGGCGACGCTGCTCTACGCCGAGCGAGGACAGCGCAGCCGAGTCGGGCACTCCTCCTCACTTGCCAATCTCGTGTTCGGCCAGCAGCTGCGACAAGGGTCGACCAAGGCGGAAGCCAACGTGGGGCAAGGGAACGATGCCAGTTAGCCTCTTCTGCGTACCGTCAAAGTTGCGCAGCAGGTTCGATCATTGGCCAGCTCACCATGTTGGGAATACCACTGCGGATCTGGTAGACGTGCGAGCAGTTGGGGCACACCATCTGACCCTCGACGATGTGGATCTGCAGTTTCGGCGAGTGCGAAGCAGAGGCAGCAAGCATGGTCGCTTGACGTCAGTGGCCCGACCCTCGGTCGCTTTGACAGGTGTGCAGCGGGGGCAAGGCTTACCTCGAGGAGAACATGATGCAACGTCCGGAGGAGCCCCTCGTCGAGCATGGGCTCCGATGGGTCTGGGCCCTTGTCCGGCAGCGAGGTGTCTCCAAGCTGTTGGATGTTATGCACGAGAAAAGGAAGAAGAAGGATTGCGGGCCGTCAGCTCCCGATCGACATGATTCCTTCGCGATGGTGGCACGAGGCCAAGCAGCGCCAGGCAAACGAGGTCGCCTCGCAACTCACGGCTCTGGCGGTCGAGACTAGCGCGTTCCACTCGAGCTTTGGCAGGAAGCCTCGGATGAACTGCTCGTTTTCCTCGGCCTCGATCTGCTCGAGCTGGACGTCTTTGAGGATCAGGGGGAAGTTGTTCGAGGTGGTGGCGCACGTCTTGGCGTGGCAGGCGAGCAGGTTGTGCGTGAGAAGCCTCATCTTGGCAGATTGTGGCGGAAGACTACGCGATCGGATGTCGAGGTACCAGGGCCGGCTTGAAGCTCGAGAACCGAACAGCAGGATGAGGAGGAGGAGGAGGAGGAGGAGGAGGAGGAGGAGGAGGAGGAGGAGGATGAGGAGGAGGTGGTGGTCAGAGGAGCGCGGGGGTGGGGGGGAGCGAGAGAGGGAAGGAGAAAAATCCGAGGGCAGCGGGCCCGGCATCGACACCCGATTCCCGGAGACGGAACAGGGCGAGGTTTGGTGGTGGGCGGATCGGGGTTGCGACCCTGGCCGATGCAGGTGGAGGCGGCAGGCAGCCCTCGACTGAGCCACGGCTGCAACGACGAGGAGCATTTGCACCCGTCATTGCAATCTGCATCACCACCACCACCACCACCACCGCCGCCATCGCCATCTCCCTTGTCACCGCCGGCTCCCTGGCTTACTTTGCAGCTCACGGCTTCCTCCATGACGTAGCTCTCAGACCCTCCGGACCTGTCCCTACGCAGACTCGACTTCTGCACCTCGGCCGACCTGACCTGGAACCCGCGCTGGGCTCGGCCTGGCCTGCAGCCGCTGCACCAGCATGGCTTCGTCGAAGCCGGCCCCGACGGCCGAAGCAAACGGCCAGAATGGACGCGCACTCACGCTCAACCAGCAGAGCCAGGCGGCGGGCATCGGGTCGGAGACGATCGACGACTTCCTCGACCGCCAGCCGCGCAGCATCCTCATCCGACTGTACGAGAAGCCCGCCAGCTGCCTTGCCATCTTCCGCCTCCTCCCCATCATGGCGCGTCAGCTCGTCATGCACATGCTCTTCCTGCAGCAGCCTCCGTCCATAGACGACCTACACGTCTGGATCAAAAAGGACGGCAGGGCCAGCTTCCAGGCCGCCGTCGAGAAGCTCGTTCGCCTGTCCATCGTCAAGCAGGAGTCGGTAGCCGGCAGACCCTCGCAGATCCTGCTCAACGGAGTCTTCACAAAGGGCATGCAGCGTGCCCTCATCGGTGGCGGCGACCACCGATCCTTTGGAGTGCCCTGCGACACCGAGGACAAGAACGCCGTCGATGTGGCCTACCTGGACGAGTACGCGCGGACCAAGTGGGAGACGATCCTGCACTACATGGTCGGCTCTCAGGGCTCCGTGACGCCTCGCGAGCCAGTCCTCTGCGTGCTGCGCCGGAGCAACCTGATGCAAGAGGGCAGCAAGGGCAGCAGCCGGCTGAGCATCACGTCGCGGGGCTTCCAGTTCCTCCTCGAGTCGGTCAACACGCAGCTATGGTACCTGCTGCTCCAGTATCTCGACATGGCTGAGGGTCGCAGCTTTGACCTGGTCGAGGTGCTGGCTTTCCTCTTCATGCTCGGATCGCTCGAGCTGGGCCGCGACTACTCGACCGAGGAGCTGCCCGAGACGCAGCTGCACATGCTCGAAGACTTTCGCGACTACGGGCTGGTCTACCAGCGCAAGGCCTCGAGCCGGCGCTTCTACCCGACACGGCTGGCGACTACGCTGACGTCGAATGCGGCCACGCCGCTGCTGGCGTCGAACGGCAACGAGCAGGAGGAGCGGGGCTACATTGTCCTCGAGACCAACTACCGCGTCTACGCATACACGAGCAGCCCGCTGCGCGTTGCGGTGCTGAAGCTGTTTGTCACGGTCAAGGCGCGGTTCCCCAACCTGGTCGTCGGCTCCATCACGCGCGACAGCGTCAAGAGCGCGCTGGCCAACGGCATCACGGCAGAGCAGGTGAGCAGAGCAGCGCGCGCGCCGGTGGTTGACGCGACCCAGGACTCGCTCGCTCGTGCGCTGCCAAGGCTGTGGACTGACGTCGCTCGCTCCGACCCCCCTCCCCATGAGCCGCTGTCGGACAGATTATCACGTATCTCACGCACCACGCGCACCCGCAGATGTACCGGAGCGACCCGCTGCTGCCGGTGACGGTGTCAGACCAGATCCGGCTGTGGGAGCGCGAAAAGAACCGGGTGGGCCAGGAGCTGGGCGCGCTCTTCACCGAGTTTTCGTCGCAGGCCGACTTTGAGCAGGTGCGCAACTACGCCGACCAGATGGGCGTGCTCCTGTGGCAGGACGAGTCCAAGCGCTGCTTCTTTGTCGCCGAAGAAGGATTCCAGCCGGTGCGCGACTTTATCAGGCGCAGGGTCACGTAGAGAGCGGGCGAGCGGCGGGCGGGCCAGCGGGCAGCAGTGTACATCCAACATCGTCCGGCGACGCAGCGTAGCGCAGTCACACGAGCACAGTGACAGAATGTCGAGCATCGAGGTCGTGCTGACGACTAACCGGCTCACCGCGTCTTCCTGCCCGTGTGAGGAGAAGGCTGAGGGAGCGCAGCCGCGGGGCCGCCATGTGGAGGAGTGAGGGGACAAGAAGCGACAGCGCGCACTGACCCTCTCGCCATCTGGACAGGAGGGGGCCTTGCTTGCTCGCCTTTCTTCCTCACCCCCCCACCACCACGACCCACCTCCTCCTCACCCGCACCCGCACCTCGGTCTGGCCACCACCACCGTCATCTTATCCCCGCGCTCGGCACGCTCAGATCAAGGACAGGGCGGCGGAAGGAGGACTATGTCCCCCGCAGCTTCGTCATCCGGTCTGCGGCAGCGCGCCACGGTCCTGGCTTCCAACAACCGCGCCGACGATGCGGTCGCTTCTCACCCCGACGGATCCATGGCCGAGGCTACAACATCCTCTCGAGCCGCACGCCTCTTCGCCTTCCTGCTCCTGTTCCGTCTGGCAAACGCCTTCCTGACCCAGACCTACTTCCAGCCTGACGAGCACTGGCAGGCCCTCGAGGTGGCCCACCGCCTCGTCTTCGGGTACGGCTACGTCACCTGGGAGTGGGTCCCAACCGCGGTTCCCTCTGCGCTGGCCGATCATCCCCTCGTAGCGACGTGGCATAACCTCTTCAACGGCCCCATCCGCAGCGTGCTCCATCCGCTCATCTTTGTACCCACCTACTGGCTGCTCAAGGTCTGCCGCCTGGATGGCACGAGGCTGCTCGTCATCGCACCCAGGCTGCAGCAGGCCGTCTTTTCCGCAATAGGCGACTTCTACCTGTACAGGCTGGCCGAAAGGGTGGCGAGCAGGAAAGTGGCACTCTGCACGGTGAGTCGGGTCGATGCCAGACTGAGAACGCAGCTCCCGGCCATTGCCAAGCTGACCGCTTCTTTGTCCCATCTGTTCCGTCCTCACACCGTCCGGCAGCTCTTCGTCAGCCTCACCAACGTCTACACCTTCTTCACCGCCACCCGGACCTTCTCCAACACGCTCGAGGCCACCATCACCGTTGTGGCGCTGTACTACTGGCCCTTCGTTCCCGTTTCAGCGTGGCGTCCCCTCTCGCCCTCGTCACTCTCACTCTCGTCGACGGCGGCGTCTTCGGCATCGACGTCGGCGTACATCGACGAGATACGTCCCTCGGACGCTAGCCTGGACCGCACCGTAGCCAGACGCAACATGTACCGTCAGAGTCTGTCCCGATCCCTCTGGCTCGCGGCCTTGGCCTGCCTACTCCGGCCCACCAACGGCATCGTCTGGGCCTTTCTCGTTGGGCAACTGCTATGGAGGACCGTTCGGGAGCTTCGCGCAGATGGCGCTGACGATAGACGGACAGTCTCCATCAGCAACAGCATCGAGGTCGCCGTCGAGGTCGGCGGTTTGGTCGTCGTGGCTCTCAAGGTCGCGTGAGTGCCGTTGACCTTTCAACTGCTTGTAGACCGTGCGCATTCACGACTGAACGGCCTTTCTCGTCCCGTCCCCCTCTGTCTCTCTCTGCGTTGCTTCCGTCGCCTGAATGTGGCGACGAGTAGCATCAGCGCTCTTCTGTCTGCGCTCGTCCTCGACACGCTCTACTTCTCGGACGATGCAGCGGTGGCGACAGCTGCGTCCAGCTGGCCACGCCTCTTCGGGCGTCCTCTACCGCTCCTGACCTTGACGCCGCTGTCCTTCTTCCACCGCAACGTCGTGGCGTCGCTATCTCTCTTCTACGGCGCAAACCCATGGCACTGGTACGTCACCCAAGGCCTGCCCGTCCTCTGCACTCTGTGGATTCCATGGTGCGCTAAGGGATGGTACAATGCGTTCAAGGGCGCCGCTGTCACTGGCAAAAACGGACCCGTGCGCGATCGGCGGCCCCTCAATGACCTGGCGGCCGTGTCGCTGTGGACCACTGCGGTGCTCTCGTTGCTTGGACACAAGGAGTTCCGCTTTCTTCAACCCGTCCTGCCATTGCTCTGCATCTTTGGCGGCGCGGAACTGGTCACGTCGCTCCCTTATGCGACATCAGTGCCTTCTAAGGATCGACGCGGCGCCCGCGGCGACGGAGACGAAGACGACGCCGACGAGGTTCGGGCACTGGCACGAGTCTGTCGCAACTTGCCGAGATGGCACAAGGCGATGATAGTGTGCCTTCAAGTCCCGCTCGCCATCTTCCTAACGACGTTCCACTGCCGCGGTCAGGAGTCAATCACCTACGACCTGGGCAAGGCCGCCAGGAGGCAACGGGATCAAGGCGCCATCGACGACCGTCTGGGCAGGATTGAGTCGATCGGCTTCCTGATGCCGTGCCACAGCACGCCCTGGCAGAGCAGCCTGCACTGGCAGCCGTCGACGTCGGCCACGGATCGAGATGAGGGCGAGAGGCTCTGGTTCATCTCTTGCCCGCCACCCGCCTCGTGAGTATTGATGCCGGTGAGATGTGGCCGGTGCATAGGGAACGAACTCAAGCGTCTGAACTTCGCAGCCCCCGCCGACCTCTGCCTTCCATCCCATCGTTGCTGCAATGGCGGTGCAGAGACCAGGATGCCTCGACCTACAAGGACCAATCCGACTTCTTCTACGCCGACCCGCACTACTACCTGAGCCACCGCTTCCCGAGCTCGGTCGACATCGCCTTTCCTTCCAGTCCTGCTGACCCGCAACCTTCCGCCGCAAGATCGTCTCCGTTGGGGCGACACAAAGACGATCTGGGCTGGCGTCACGTCTGGCCGTCGCACCTGGTCGTCTTCGACAACCTCCTCCAGCTTCGACCTGCCGCCTTGCCATCGTCCGCCGACCCGGAGGACAGACGCAACGGTGGGCAGAGCATGCAGACGGTGGGAGGTCTGCTGGCGCAGAGGGGATACGTGGAGAGGACGCGGACTTGGAACTCGTTCAAGCACGAGGATCCGAGGAGGGACGGCGACATCGTCGTCCTTGTTCACCGCAGCGTGCTGCTCAGTTGACGCTTTGGGCGCGGGCGCGGGCGCGGGCGTGGGCGTGGATACGGCACCGGCACCGGTACCGTCGCAGTCGGTGTTGCATGAGGGACAAAGGTGGAGGAACAGCGTGAAGCGAGGAGGGCCTCGCAAGTAGGCAGGCGGGCCTGGCAGCCAAGCAAGCGACACGAGGCCGCGCCGGCGTTAACGACTTTCGTTGCTTGCTTGCTTGTTGGACCCTGACAAAGCATGCGCACCCTGCCCTGGCATGGCCACGACACAGTACCGATCCCAACCAGTCGAGCAGAGCACCTTGCTGGGCCTCCGCTCCGAGATTGCCGCCCGCATCTGGCGAGTAAAGTCAAGGGCCGACGAGGCGAGCTCGAGGCTCGGGCGACACGTCCACTTCCCCGGGCGGGATGCAGCGAAGATCGTGCGGCATGCGTGCTTGGACAACCCTATCCCCGGCCTGCTGATGCTGCCGCCCTCCTCGGGCCAAGCCAAATGCCGCCGGAGCACGTCGGTCGGCCGGTCGATGCGTCAACCGTGATGTCCCTCGCTGCCTGCAGCCGTCGTCGAGGTGTCCTCCTGCCTTTATGTCTTCGCTTTCTCCGCGTTTTCAGTCACCTTGTCGATCCTTGCTGCTCCTTCACCACCTCTCTCCCTTGGCCGATCGATCGACGACATAGACGCCTCGAGAGAGCCAACTGCCTACCGCCATGTCTGCCAACGCTGTCGAGCAAGGCGGCCGCCGCCACGCAGACGAACGGCAAGGAGTCTTCGGTACAGACGCTGCCGGCGATGCTAGTAACGCCGCCGCCGCCGCCACGGTGCAAGAAACGCACTTTGCCGCCACCGAGCACGGCGATGCGGTCGCAGACCACAATGAACGGCTGCGAGCGTCGTCACCCTCGACCTCATCCTCGACGCAGGCCTCCGCGACCATCAGCAACGACAGCCAGCCTGGCCAGGCCGGAAGTCGACATGGCAAGAAGTTGAGCTACGGGAGCATCACCAACGGCTTCCCTCGCTCCGCACCTTCCTTCTCGCCGCCATCTTCCGGCGTCCACCCCTCGGCTCCTCCGCCGCCCGGCCCGGCGGCGGGCGCGGGCAAGACGAGGGTGCTTGCGCCGGACCTGCTGAGGGGGTTGCTCATGGTGCTTCAGTCCATCGACCACTCGGCGATGCAGATGGGCGTCTGGCAGCACGGCGTGGGCAAAGTCACAGAGGGCGATGGTACCGTCGTCCACGAGTGGAACCCGGGCCGCGCCTGGATCGCACGTACCCTCACGCACCTCTGCGCACCCGGGTTCATGTTCCTGCTCGGCATGGGCACCGTCTACTTTACCAGATCCGTAAGTCGTCGGCAGACGAGGCTCTCAGCCGCATCTTCTCTGAACATCCAGGACGAAGTCTGACCGTTTGCGAGCTTCTGTCCTTTCCTTGGCGTGCCGGCACAGCGCACCAACCTCGGCTGGTCGCCGTCTAGGCTGCTGCGCCACTACTTCATCCGGATGGTGGCGCTCCTGCTCGTCGAAGAGGTGCTGGGCTTCATCCTGATGTGGAACCGGGCGACAAAGGTGCTCATCCTCAACATTGTCCTGCTAGCTTTGGCGGTCAACTACTTCCTCAGCGGGCTCCTCTGCCTCTTCTTCCGCTACACTGAGCCCCGACTGGCGCGGCTCCTCGCCCCGCTCTTTGGCCACGCCGGTGCTGATGCCGCTCGCGAGTCGGACGACGAGACGCAAGGTGGCGAGCGCAGCCGCCTCATTGCCCCATCGTCGACGACGCCAACGACGACGACGGCGGGCGAGGAGTCGTCGCCGAGCTGCGCCAATCTCTCCAGGGCCACCTCGCTATCCTGGCATATCCACAACCTCATCCTCCTCGTCCTCTCGCTGCTCAGCATCTTTGGCAACGTCCTCCTCTCGCCGCATGCGGGGCGCTGCGCTTCCGCTTCGGACTCGACCTCGACCTCGTCCGGGCCCCTTTCGTCGAGCGCCTTGGTCGACTTCGTCACCGCAGCCGCAGCCGATGCGCCTGCGACGCCGCCGTCGTCGGGCCACGGCGCGCTGTTCGACTTCCTCTTCTTCCCCGTCATCAACCAGTACATTGTCTCGCCCTTTCCGCCGCTGGCCTGGACGAGCTTCGCCGTGTTTGGCATCCTCTACGCCCGCATCGTCCTCGCGCGAAAGTGGAGCCCGAACGCAGTCGTCTGCGGCAACCTCGTGAGTGCTGTCCGTCCCTTTCTTGCAGAGACGAGAAAGCGGGGACTTCCATGTGCTGACGATTCGCATTCCTTGACCTCACTCTGTGGCTTGTGTTCTGCGCGGCACCGGTCAGGCCACCGCCGTGGTCCTCGCGATCCTCTTTGTCTGCACCCGCCTGCTGCACTTCGGCAATCTCTCCGAAGACTGCCTGCGTATGCCCGAGCACCTCGCCCACCCGGGTAGGAACCAGTACCTCGCCTCGTTCCGCAGCTTCTTCTACATCGTCAAGGTTAGTCCCTCGCTTCCCCCACCCTTCTTGCCTTGCCGTTGGGACAACGTCACTGACCCGACCCCGAACCGACCCCCCCCCCCCCCCCCCCCCCGCCCGTCGGCTCCTCGTCGTCCCCGAGCAGTATCCGCCGAGCGTGGCCTACTTTAGCATGACCATGTCCCTCAACTTCTTCCTCCTCGCCTTCTTTGGCGCCATCCCGGCAAACTGGGCCGTCAAGATCCCCGGCCTGATGAACTTTGGATCGTCGGCCCTCTTCTTCTACGCGTGCGTACTCAACCCCCGACCCCTTGTCTTCGTTGTCACGCTCTTCCGCACGACGGACACGCATGCTCAAGCTTTCCCCTCCTCTTCTCTCCTCTCCCCCTCCCCGTTCGGACCGATCAGGACGCACTTTGTCGTCTACAAACTGCTCTCGATCCCGGCCTACCGCCTCTTTGCCCATCGCCTACCCGACAACGACCCCAACACGGGCCAACCCACCTACGGCCTGGGCGATACCGCGGCCTACTGGTTGTTTTGGCTGCTCGGTCTCTTCATCCTCTCTCCCCTCTGCCGCGTCTATGGCAGGTTCAAGAGCCGCCAGCCTGCCGATTCCATCTGGCGCTTCTTTTAGTCGATTCGCTGCTGCGACGCTGTCCTCAAAGCATGCGGGGCGCAACGTATAGACGCGGAGATGCTCTTCTCTTCTTTCTCTTCTTTTGTTTGACAGCGAGGGTGTGAGTCTAGGTCGAGGCGATGGCGTAGATCTCGACCTGGTATACGGTGACGCGGCCGTAGTCGTCGGTGCTCCCGCTGAGCTGTAGCCGCAGCGAGGTGGCGATCTCGTCCTTGGCGGTCTCATTGGTCTCGAGCCTGTCATGCCGCGAGAACGATTTGAGCGATGTCAGCGACGGCCCATCTCTGCTCCGCTCCGCTATGGCCTCGTACCTACCGGAAGAACTGCTTTGCGTTGGAGTCGTAGGGAAACACTTCGGCGGCGGCGTCTTTCCATTCAGTCGGCGACGACTCGGTCGAGTAGAGGAGGCGGGCGTTCATGGCCGAGAAGCCGCCGGCAAAGGTGAGGGCCATGGAGTGGAGGGATCCGATGCGCGCGCCACCCTGGTCGGACGGCAGCTTGAATGTCAATGTCGAGACTGTCGATCCAGGATCCGAGACGGGCGATGCCTGTCGCGCGACCGGGCAGAGTGCGAGGTAAGTCGGTTGAGCAGGTCGGTGATGTTGGTCAGCATCACGACTCGATGGTCTGCGGTCGATGGGTCAGGCAGGGAGGGAGGGAAGAGGGCGACATACATTCTCGGACGTCCAGGCGGTCTCGAGGTCACCGCTGAGGATGGCCTTTGCGTCCTTTGACGAGCCAGAAGATGCCCTGGCGATTCGCCGAGGATGGAGGGAAAGAGGAAGCCACGCCCATGGTCAGCCTAGCCCAACCTGGACCTGCCAAGCGACGGCTGGGAGGGAAAGAGGATCCGACCTACTTTACCTTGACCTCGTTTGCGAGGAGGTTGACGAGCTTCTGGCCCGCTGCGAGGTCGGCTGTGGGCTGGCTGCTCTGTGGTGCAGATACCATGCTGAGATTTCTGTGGTGGAAGGGTGGGTGGGTTGGACGACGTGATGGTGGTAGCCCTGGTGACAGCGGTGAGCATAGGCGAGGAAGGGCCTCTCTGGCTCGCTCTCTTTCGTTACTCTCTCAGCCTGCCTGCCGCCTCCACTTGTCCGAAGGCCGAGGGCAGCCAGCAGGCAGCCAGCCAGCCAGCCAGAGCCAGCCAGGGCGAGGGCGGCGTGCGGGTGGACCCTGGCGCTGCACCTCGCTCGACTCTCAAAAGTGAGCGAGCGAGCTTTTTTCCTTGCGCCGTGCCGTCGGACCATTGCCGGACAGTCAACCCCCAAACCCCCACCCACCACCACCTGCCTTTTGCTCGCCGTCCTGCTACAAGGCTTGCCTGCCCGCCGTCGTTGCACCTTTTGCCTCTGGGCTTCATCGGCCATCTCCCGACGCAGCTCGGCGTGGCTGTATGGCATCGCTTTGCCCGACGCTCGCCCGGCTCTCCGCTCTCGCCACCACCGCTGCGCAGCGAGCATCCGTGCACAGCCACACCCCTCTCCGCGCTACAGTCACAATTCGCCCCTCACAGGCTCATCCCCGCGCTTCGTCTGGCACCTTGCTGGCCCCGGCCCGTTCCGTCGACTCTCACCGCCAAGCTCGCCACTCCCGCAACGCTTTCGACCACCGCTTCATCTCCACCGACGCCGCAGAGCGGCACGACGACCACATGGCAAAGTCAAAAGGCGGCTTCTATGCCGTACAGCGCGGCAAGCAGACGGGCGTCTACACCTCGTGGTCAGTCGTCTGCGCCGCTCCGAAGCCTCTCCTCGGCCTGTACCTGCCAAGCTGACGACCATAACGACACCCCCCTTTCGCTTCCCCTGTCCCCCACTGACTTGACCACAGGACAGAGTGCGAGGCAAACGTCCGCGGCTTCAACGGCGCCGTCTTCAAAAAGTTCGACACCCGCCACGAGGCCGAGGCGTTTGTCAAGAGCCACTCGGGCTACCACAAGGGCGCATCGGCCGACTTTATCCCACTCCACGACGACACGCCCTCGCAGCCCTCGTCGTCAAAGGACAACAAGAAGCGCCACCGCCAAGAGTCCGTAGCATCGACAGCCTCGTCGTCCTCGTCTTCGAAACGCGTCAAGGAGGAAAAGATCAACGCGACCGCCTCATCGTCAAAGGCCGTCTTTCCTCGGCCGCAGTACTCGGCAGACGGCTCCAAGGTCAAGACGATCAACGTCTTTGTCGACGGATCCGGGCTTGGCAATGGGAAAAAGTCGGCCAGGGCGGGCTGGGGCGTCTACTGGGAGGATCAGAGCCTGCACGGTCTCAACGAGGCCAGGCGGGTGCCAGGTCCCATCCAGACCAACAATCGCGGAGAGCTCATGGCGAGTCTAGCTCCGGTTCCAGCCGTCCTCGCCTTCTTCCGGCTGACGTCGCTTTTCGTCTCCCCCTGCATCTATGCGCTCGACAGGCGATGATCCGGGCCATCCAGCTGTGTCCAGACCCAGAGGCTCAGCTGGTCATCCACACCGACAGCCAGTACTCTATGGACTGTGAGTGATATCATGGCGCCCTCTCACCGTGTATGCGCCACCGCCGACCAAGCCCGCTGACCCGCCCGAGTCATCTATGCCCGCTCACCCATCTGGCAGGCGTGGAGAAGTGGATTTCGGGCTGGCGCAAGAGGGGCTGGATCAACTCGATGGGCACCGACGTCATGAACCGCGACCTGGTCCGGCGCCTGGACCGCGAGATGGCGTCGTGCAAGCTGCGCCCCAAGCTGGTCAAGGTGCTGGCGCACTCGGGCATCCACGGCAACGAGATGGCCGACAAGCTGGCCAAGCACGGCGCGTCGCTGCCCGCCGAGATGGGAGAGGACCTCGAGCCGCCACCCTCTGACGAGGAGAACGGCAGGGCGCCTGCCAGGGCGTCTAGAGCGATGGCTCCGGCAAAGCGCGAGGTGTGGACGACGACGACGACGATGGCTGTCCCCGCGGCTAAAGTCGTCCCAATACCGCCGGCGTTCAAGAGGGCGGGTCAGGATGGGGCGTCGAAGCCGGTCAAGGCTGAGAAGGTCAAGACGGAGCGGCTCGACGGTGCCATGCCCAGCTCGTCGCAGACCACCTCCTACACGAGGGCTGAAGAGGTGGACCCTTCGGACGAGCTCGACGGGCTCGATGAAGATGTGAGTCACTCGTGGTTTCCCCGCTGCGCTGGCGTAGAGATCTGACCCGACGTGCTGTCCCGCGTCTCCTGCGACAGGCATTCATGTCGCCGGAGGAGCTCAAGGAGCTGGAAGGCGGTCGATGACGGTCAATGGACGGGCCACATAGGCAGAGTTGCGTCCATCTAACGGCAAGAGACATCGGCGAGGCGCAAAGCGCCACGATCACGCGGGACAATTAAGAGAGGCGATGAGGAAGACGAAACAGGACTAGCTGTATCTACGAATCGACACGAGGGCCACTACCGCCGCTCAAACTTCGACAAACCAGACGAAGCCGTCCGGAAGTCAAACCAGAGTCCAGCCACCGAGCACGGCAGCGACGACGGCAGCAGCGATGCTGGCCCTTGACATGCCGAGGCCGGATGCGGCAGCGTTGTTCTTCTTGTCGCCCGTGGAGTTGGGGAGCGAGCCGGTGGCGGGGTCGTTGGATCCTGGCTTGGCGGAAGTGGGGCCGGCGGCGGTGGCACCAGCGTTGGCAGCGGTCTGACCGGTCGCGGCGTTGCTCGAGGACGACGACGAGGACGAGGTGGAGGGAGCCGAGAGGGAGGTGTTTGTGGAAGCGGCGGCGAAGTTAGGGTCGGGCCTCGAGGAGATCTTTGTCTGGTGCGAGTTGGGCGCTGGTGTGGTGCCGTTTGCCTTGATCGAGGTGCTTTCGGAGCTGGCTAGCAGGCCGTTCTCTAGTGGCGTGGATGGGGGAACGGGAGTGAGGGATGGGAGGGTGAGCGGATGAGGCGACGCAGACGCGGGATGGGTCTGAAGGGGTCGGAGAGAGAGACGTACTGTGGTCGTAGCTATTCGCAGCGCGGCAAGGAGAGGGAGAACGAGGAGGGCCGAGAGACGAGGGTCAGTCGAGGCTCTCGCAAGAGATCCTAGGTATCGCGGCGACCCACTGGCTAGCGTTGACGAGATGGACCATGATGTTGTCGGTGGGGGCGATGCAGGGTACAAAGACCTCTGCGGCGCCCTGCTTGGTGTTCAACGAGTTGGCCGCTGCGTCATGGTCCAGACGAAGGTGAGCCTCTGGATGTCAGCAAGGCCCACACGCTCTTCACACAGCTATCACCAGGACGACGACGACGACGACGTACCGAGCTCATCGTCGTTGATGGCCGTCTTGTTCTGCGCCTGGATCGAGACGGAAAAGATGGGCGGGTCGTTTGCGTCGCTCGTCCAGCGCAGCACGTTCCATCCGCACGCCACCCAGTAGTCGGACGACGTGGGAAACGTGACCTGCAGACCCGTCACGGCCGAAATGGCCAGGAGGGAGAGCGACGAAAAGAGGAGGGCGGCGTGCATCGTTGACGGTTCCGGGAGGGGGGATGCGTCGGCTCTTGTAGGAGGATGGGAAGGGGAGCTCGTCGGTTTAGGCAAGGGTGAGATGTGAGGGAGGGGGTTAGAAGAGCAACGAAGGGGGAGGAGGCTTTATATGGCTGCGATGTGGGGCGTCATCGAAGTGGGACGAGCCGCGAGGAACAGCAAAGAACGACGACAAAGGATCATGATCGGCGCACAACGTGAACGCCTCGGCTTGCTCCTGAGCCTATCCTTGTGTGCCATCCCGCTGGCTCCCCTTTTGTGTAGTCGGACAACACGATCATATTAGGCTCCTGTACGCCCACTTGGTCCGTGTAGCGACGGGGCGTTGCGCCGAAAGCGCTGAGCTGAGGACTGGCGGCGCGCCAGACCAGGCCACGCCCCGGTGCAGCCTGGCCGTTCCAGGATGGCCGCGCGCAAGCCTATGTAGCCTCGTCGACGCCGATACGGATGGTCAGTGATCATGCATGTCCAAGCTCGCTTTGCGCCGGTGGCTGGCCGCTCTAGGGCGAGTAGTCGTCAAGCGTAACGTTAGCCGCAGCAGCCTTTCGTGGGTCCTCGCCACCAGCAAGCACACAGCCTGGCAGGCCCCTGCGCCCAGAGTCGGCCAGGCGCAGGCCAAGGCCTGGGGTCGGGCGCAGCGCTGCCCAAACCCTCTCCCGACTTCCGACTTCCGCGCCGGCCCGCCGAGTTTTTCCTCCGCTGCACCTTTTAACCTCGAGGCTTCTTCGAGGCTTCCTTGCTTGCTTGCCCGCCTCTCCTCGACCATCCCCCTTTCAGCGCCCTCCCGCTATCCGCCCGACATGGCCGCATTCTCCACCACCGATGCCGCCATCATCACCCACGAGGTAGAGCTCGACGCGGCAGCCCAGTCGGCCACCGCGGCCGCATCCGGCCGCTCCATCTACCACGTCTACGACATCCTCTCGACCGCCACCAAGATCGTCAAGGGCAGGTTCCGCCATGTGGCCCTTCAGTTTCCAGACGAGGCTCTCATCGATTCCGTACCCGTCTACTGGGCTCTGAAGCGCGAGACCCGTGCCCTCTACCGCTCCTCTAACCCGGACATCGAAGAGCAGGACGCAGCCGAGTGGGAAAAGAAGCTGCCCAGCTTCTACGTCCTCGCCGATACGAGCTACGGCAGCTGCTGCGTTGACGAGGTCGCCGCTCAGCATGTCAATGCCGACCTCGTCGTGCACTACGGCCACGCCTGCCTCAGCCCGACCGCACGCCTGCCCGTCATCTACGTCTTCCCCAAGCAGCCCATCGACGTCGACCACGCCGCCTCGTCCCTCGCAGACGCGTCCCTCGCCGACCTCTTCCATGGCATCAGCGACCCAGCAGCACCAGCTGGATCCTCTTCGACCGCCTCCGCGTCAACACCCTCCGCGCTCGTGCTCTCCTACGACGTTGCCTGGGCCCATGCGGCTGACGAAACCTTCCGGCGCCTCGAGGAATGCCTGAGGCAAAGGGGCATCAAGGTGCCTCTCATCAGGACCGAGATCGACACCCGGCGCAACTACGAGGAAAAGCTGGCTTCCGGTCTATCCAGAGATGTTGGCGCGCTGTCAATGCAGGATCGTGACCAGGCCGACGGTCCCTGCCGTCAGACCTCATCGACATCTAGCTGCTGCCGAGCATCGCCGAGAGAGGCCTCATCGTCATCGACGGCAGTACCACCGTCATCATCGGCATGCTGCGGTGGCGGCTGCACTTCAGCTTCCGCTTCGTCATCCGTGCCGCCGCCGCGGCCCTCGCCGTCGCAGCCACCAAGCCAAGAGAAACGCTCCGAGTCGCCGCTCGGACCGTCCAAGTCGCTCCACCTCCCCGACGGCGTCGCGCTGTCGGACTGCGCCTTCCTCTACCTGGGTCCCGAGTCTCTGTCGCTCACCAACCTCCTGCTGCTGCTGGGACCGACGACACCTTTCCTCTCGTACAACCCTCACACGCGGTCGACACGGCTCGAGACGGGCTCGACGAACCGGCTGCTGATGAAGCGGTACACGCACGTGCTCAAGGCGCGCGACGCCGCCGTCGTCGGCCTGCTGGTGGGCACGCTCGGCGTGCACGCCTACCTGCCGCTGCTTTCGCGGCTGCGCTCCAAGCTGACGGCCAAGGGCAGCGGACGCAAGGTGTACACAATCAGCGTGGGCAAGCTCAACCCGGCCAAGCTGGCCAACTTCCAAGAGGTTGACCTGTTCGTCCTCATCGCGTGTCCCGAAAACAGCCTGGTCGACTCAAAGGACTTTTTCCGGCCCATCGTCACGCCCTTTGAGATGGAGCTCGCCCTCCAGGCGGGCAATGGCGACGATGTGCGGTGGACGGGAGAGTATGTTCTTGAACTCGGGCAGCTCCTGGGGCGTGGCGGTGGAGATGCTCGAGGGGACGACGAGGAGCACGAGGACGGAGAGGGCGCAAGGCAACCGCCGTCGAGCGCCGACGGTGCAGATGCAGGCCGGCAGGACGACGAGGAGGACGAGGACGAGGACCGGCCCCACTTTTCCCTCATCACGGGCTCCTACGTCTCGCGCACGCGCTACGGTGGCACGGGCACCACTCCAAGCGACGACGACGCAGCAGCGACTTCGACTTCTCGAGCGTTGCTCCCGGCGTCCTCGACAAACGGCGGCGGGGCGGAGAGCCACACGGTGGCGCTGCGCAACGCCGACGGGACGATGACGACGATCCTGCAGTCGGCGAGCACGGCGCACCTCGAGAAGCGTGGGTGGAAGGGCCTCGAGCAGCGGCTCGGGCTCGATGCGCCCAGCAGGTTGGAAGAGGGCCGAGAGGGTATCGCAAGGGGCTACAGGGAGTCTGACGGTACGGCCGAGGGGACGACGTGACGTAGCTACTCTGTCAGTCGGTTCCTCCCGCCGCCCGTTTGGCTTGAAATCATAGGAAAAGGGGGAGGGGATCGGACGGGGCGTCCGCTTCACCCATCTCCACCACCACCACCACCATCACCACCGTCTCGGCCAGCGCTGGCCGGCCGATCGCCTAGTCTCCACCACGCTCGAGGGCGCTGACAATGGCCCAACTTGCGCCGGCCGCGACGCCGCCGACGGCGAGGGTGCTGAGGGCGCCGTAGAGGTAACCGCGTACGCCGCCCTCTCCGCCCGTGACGCGCTGCTTGACGACGCCAAAGACGAGGAGGATGACGCCCGTGACGACGATCGAGACGAGGAGCGCCTGGGCGGCGTCCGGGATGAAGACGTAGGGCAGCAGCGGGATGGCGCCGCCGACGAAGTAGCTCGTCCCGATTGTCAGGGCCGAAATGTAGAGGCGCGACGTCGAGACGGGCTCGAGGCCCGATCCGACGCGGAGAAGGAAGGGCGTCAGACCGACCTGGTCCTCATCCTCGTCCTCGTCCTCGTCGTGGTCGTGGTTGTCGACGTTGGCAGTGTTGCTGGCGCTTGGCGCGGCGAGGCTCTCCTCGTCTCCTCTCCTCCTCGTCGGCGTCGGCGCAGCACCAACAGCCGAAGAGGGCAAGGGAAGCACGCCAAACACTTTACGCCTCCTGGCGCTCTTCTCCCTCTCCTTTCGCGCCTGGACCTGCAACCTCCTCTGTACGCGTTGGTCCTCCTTGCGCCTCAGCTCGCGCGCCACGCGGCGGCACGTGTCGCGCTCGACGCCGTAGTCGGTGAGGATCTCCTCGACCTGGCGGTCGATTTCGCCGTCGCACGACCGCAGCAGGCGCGCCTGGGTCGCGCGCTCGTGGTAGTGGAAGTGCTGCAGCTCGGCCTGGGCCGAGAGGAAGCCGCCGATGCCCATCGAAATCGCACCCGATACCAGCTCCGCGAGTCCCGCCAGGACGACGAGGCGCGAGGACCCCACGCTCGATAGGCCCGCCGTGAGCGCAAAGGGCACCTGGTGATGTGCGAATCGAATCGAGGAGGAGGAGGAGGGGAAGTCAGAAAACCCTGGAACAGCATCTCGGGTCGATGTGAGTGTGGAAGCTTGGGCGGAATGCGCTTCGGTAGGCTACGCACGGTGAGGCCATCCGAGAGTCCGACGATGCAGTCGCGTGCGAGGTCCGGATCGATGAGGGTGCGTTCCTCCTCCTGGTGCGTGCGGCAGCACACGGTCCCGGCACCACCCTGAGCCACGACCGCACACGGCTCCTCGCCCTGCTGCCGCTCGGTCGACTGGTAGTTTTCTGAAGCGTTACCGGCCGTGTTGCCATCGGTCGTGGGCCAGAGGAGGGGTGTGGACTCGTTGGTGGTGCCGCCCTGACGACGGGGGAGCGAGACGGCCGCGCCGCTCGTGGGGCCGCTGGCGCTGGCGGGGGCGGGGGCGCAGGAGCAGTTGGCGCAACCCTTTTGACTTGGTGGGCAGGGCATGTTGGATCGTATCGACCTTGGGCGGACAATCGAGGATAGGAGAATGTGAGGATGGTGTCCGTGGGGCAAGAAGATGGGGATGGCGATGGCGATGGAGAAGCGGCAGCGGAGGGGGACGAAGGTATCTCTTTTTATCCACCCTCGCCCGCCCTCCGCAGAGGATGGCGGCGGCATGGCTGCTTGTCACCGAAAGGAACCAACGACGACCCTGCTCCTGCTCCCAGGCCGGGCAAAAGCAGAGGTGCATGGACCAATGACGAGCGCCGTATTGACGATCCGACAGCTGACAGTCTACCTTGAGCCCGCTCACGTTACACACGTTGGTCGGACAGGCCAGCCTCGCTCCAGAGGCGGAAAATTTAGAGCTGTGTCTCGCTCGCCCTCGAGGGCCCGGCGGCCGACTCTTCTCGGCTGGGATAACGAGATCTGGCGGACCCGGCTGGCCAGGCAGGGCGAGGCGAGGCCCGCTTCGATAACGCGACCCTCGACGCGGGGGAGGAGCCCAAGGAGGGCCCCACAGCCAATCAGAAGCCGTCCATTTGAAATTCCATCTGGAGCTGGGGGCCTCGTCGCGATTCCACCATCTTCGTCCCGCGCTCCACCATCTTCCATTGCCAGGTGCGACCAGACGGCCTACGCCTCCCACGGTCCGGTCTCGCCGCGAATGTCAAACGCCCACTCGCCGCCCTCGACGAGGTCCTGCCAGCGCAGCACCGCGCCCCTCCTCTGCCCATTCACCTCGACCCCGCGCGTGTACACCCGTCCCTCGTCCAGCCCCTCGGCCGTGATCGTCAGCCTGGTCGCCTCGCCGCCCGCACGTCGGGGCGGGATGCGCACCTCGACGCGCTCAAACGCCATGCCGCCGCCCACGACAACCTCGCCGCTGACCGGGTTCATGGGGTACACGCCCAGCGCCGCGTTCCAGAGGTACCAGCTGCTCATCTGGCCGCAGTCCTCGTTGCCCGTGATGCCGTCCTCTCGGTCGCCGTACCCCTCGCCCAGGATTTGCCGCACGATGCGGTGCGTGTCCCCGTGCCGGTCCAGGTACGAGTAGAGGTAGGGGATGTGCTGCGACGGCTCGTTGGAGATGTTGTTGTGGCCCTCGTCAAAGTGCCGCCGCAGCAGCTCGACGAGCTTCGAGGGCGAGAGGTACGAAATCAGGCCCTTGACGTCGTGCGGCACCGCAAACGTGTAGTCAAACATGTTGCCCTCGGTGAAGCCGTCCTGCCTCGCCTGCGGCGTCGGCAGCGGCTGCGGCAGGAAGCTGCCGTTCGAGTGCCGCGCGCACGCCATGCCCGTCGACGGGTCAAAGACGTTGCGCCAGCGCGTCTTGCTCCGCCTCTCGAAGCGCTCCGCCTCATCGGTGCGATTCTGCAGCCGGGCCAGCACAGCCACCGCCGCGTCGTCGTAGGCGTAGTCGAGGGTGCGGCTCGTCGACTCGTCCCACTGGTCCAGCGGGACGTACCCAAGCTCCTCGTACGCCGACAGGCCCGCGCGCACCTCGAGCGGCGTGTACTCCTCGCGGTCGGCGTAGCGCAGCTCGCCCTCGCGCTCCGGAGGCACCGTGGCGTCGTCGAGGACAGCCCGCCACGCCTTGTCGGCGTCGAACCCAGAGATGCCCTTGAGCGCCGCCTCGGCGATGAGCGAGTCGGCGTGCGTGCCAATCATGATGTTGGTCTCGCCCAGGTTGGCCCACATCGGCAGCCGTCCAGACTCGTCGTAGATGTCGAGCATCGACCGCACCATGTCGGCAACACGCTCGGGCTCGAACAGGATCAGCGTCGACCACTGCGCCCGGTAGATGTCCCAGATGGAAAACGACTGGTAGCGCTGCGTGCCTTTGCCCTTTGGCACGCGGTGGACCGAGTCGGTGTAGGCCGAGTAGTAGTGATGCTGTCGCTCTTCCCCGGCTGCCGCTGCGGCAGCCGTCGACGCAGCCGTGGCAATGTGCTGGCGCGCGTGGGGGATACCGTGCTCGGAAGGTGCGGGCGAGGCAGAAGGCATCGCACCAGCGGCTCGAGCCTTCCAGCCCTCTGGCGGCACCACTTCGGCGTGTTCGGCCGGGTAGACGCTGGCGCGGACCATGGCCGTAAAGAGGATGGTCTTGTCCCTCTGCTCGCCGCCCTGGACCTGGATCCGGTCCACCTTTTTCCTCCATGCCTCGATCGAGTGCTGCACCACGTCCTCGAGCTCGGTGCCGTCGGGCATCTCGTCTTCGAGGTTGAACGCGGCCTGCTGCTTCGATATGAGGCTCATGCCGATCCGCACCCTCGCCCGCTTGACGTTGGCAGGCAGGCGTACGTAGCCGTAGACGCCGAGGTCGTTCCACCTTGCCCGCTCGGCGGGATGGAGCGTGGTCCCGCTCGAGTTGGTGTGGACCGTGCCGTAGTCGACGCGATGCCCGTCTGAGGCGAAACCGGCGATCCACTGATCGGAGCCCTGCAGCTGGTGCTCGATGCGCGCCACGTACCATCCCTTGAAGTCGAGCGCCTGGTTGGGTCCAAGCCGGTAGTCCATGCGCTCGGTGTTGTAGCCGCTCACCTCGCCGTGATCGACGTCGATCTCGACACCACCTCGCCACGAAGCCCGCGAGGATTTGGAGGAGATGGCCGGGCCCTTTGCATGCTCGTCCTCGTCCTTCATCACCCCGGCCGCCCCGGCTTCTGGGGTCGACGGCAGGTCGGGATAGGTGAACTGGACCATGTGAGCTCGGCTCTTGCCCGCCAGCTCCATGACGACCTGCTCCTCTTCTGGCCCTTGGCCGCCGAGCCGTACGGCGTACTTCCACACCTTTGCATACTCGTCGCGCTCGCGATCGAAGGGCTTTGCCCTTTGGTGCACGTCGAGCTTGACGTCCTCGCCCCTAGCGGTGGACCAGAGGGCGACGTGGCCGTAATCTCCCATCCAGATAGCGGGCTGCCTGCTGATGATGGCGCCGATGCTCGACGTGTCGTTGAAGTGGTACGGAACGCCGCTGACCTTGTTCTCGCGCGTCATTGGGATGAGGCGGGTCGATGCAAACGGCGACGAGAGCGAAGGGACCATGCCGCCGTACTCGGATGGATCCGGGCCCTGGGTGCCAATCAGCGGGTTGGTGAACTCGAGGTTGCCCAGCGATGCCGCGGGGTAGCGGCGCGATTCGATTTGGGCGAGGGAGCCGTGCGAAGAGGGGCAGAATGGATGGCATGGCGGGATGGATGACCAAGAGACGGCGGCAGGCGCAGGCGACGAGGCAAAGTGGCGTTGCTGCGATGCAAGTGATGGGCCTGGGCCGCCCAGAGCCGCGGTCAGGAGGGCGACGAAAAGCAGCCTCATGGTGCCCGGATGCGGCAGCTGTTGGTGCAGCAAGCAAGACTGATGACAACGGCGATGGGTTGTGGTGGTCGAGGCGTTCGAGGTGTCCGAACCCCCCAGGGTGCCGTTTGCGCGAAATGCGGGGAGAGGAGGGCGACGCGCCACCTTGGCTTCTGGGCCGTGCGCGGCCCCCTCTGGCTCAGATCCAGCCAACTACACGCTTGCAACTCGACGGCGCTCAGCAGACTGCCCGAGGACCGTCTCAACGGAGAGGTGAAGTGAAAGAGAGGGGGCAAGTCTCGCCTTTGATTCGACTGGCCAGCGTCGACCTGATTGGCGGCGTCGTACGATGAAATCAGAGTCCTGTTGCTACGCTACGCCTACCTACGCACTCGACTCGGACCAGATGAGGGGGGTTATGTATGGCGGGCTGGGCATGGGACCTAATCTAGGTTGCGACGTCAAGGGGCGAGAGCGGGAGCGAACAAAAGAGGCAAGGAGGGCGTCGTACGAGATGCAGAGCGATGACAAAAACGAGTGCGAGGCCGTCACATGGCCCTGGCGTCGACGTCGTCGTCGAGGTCCATGTCGTCGACCCACTGCTGTTCGGCCGCCAGATGGTGGGAGCCCGTGCGATGCACGCTGTCCCCGTCGTCGAGATCCGAGCTGTAGCGCGGCCTACCGCCCCCAACGCCACCGATGCTGCATGGCTGAATGTCGGCGAGCGGCCTGCGCATCCCCAGCTGGCTCGACTGCGGCGTGGGCGAGGCGCACGACGACGACGAGGCAGTCGAGGAAAACGACGAGTCGTACGGGTACGCCGAGTGCGAGAGGGACTGCTCGACCGGATCGGCCGCCACCACCTCGCGCATAAAGTCGTCCTCGGGCTCCTGGATCAGAGCGCCGCGCACGTTGAGCGCCAGATTCGACGACGCCGATGCCAAACTGCACGTCGACGTCGTGGTACGGTCCGAGGCCGATGCAGGGATGCCCGAAAGGCCCAGCGCCGATGCCGATGCCAATGCTGATGCCGATGCGCCGTCGCCGTCGTCTGGGTCGCCTCCAAGCTCGCTGCGTCGTCCGGCGGTCCGGTTCGAGGCGGCGCTGCATACCGAGTTGGTCGAGGCGCTGGCGGTGAGGCCCGACTCGGAGTGCGGCAGGTCGATCTCGGGCAGTTGGTCGAGCTCGCTGGTCAGCAGACCCCTGGCCATCCGCGTGCGCACGACTGCCATGACCGGGTGCTCGACAATCTCGTCGACCGTGGGCCGGCGCGCCGGGTCCGAGGCCAGCAGGCTCGACAGCATGCGCAGCAGCGTGCCGCTGCGATCGCGCAGGTCGAGGTCGGAAAAGTCGTCGTTGCGCAGCTTCTGCCACGGCTCGCCGTTGTCGGGCAGCTGCACGTTGCCGGCAGCCTCGAGCAGGATGAGGCCCAGGCTGAAGATGTCGGCCGCCTTGCCGTACTGGCCCTCGCGCATAATCTCAGGCGCGAGGTACTCGCGGTCGCCCTCGCGCTCCAGGCTCCAGCCCCTCGTCGGGTGAGGGCGACGGGTGGCCAGCGCGGCCACGCCTTCGAGTTGCCCGAGCTTGCTGGGCGCCGATGCGGCGTCGGTCGCCTCGAGCGCGGCACCACGGAGGATCGTCATCGCGTCCGGCGGCGGCCAGCGCGTGGCCATGCCAAAGTCGCCAATCTTGAGCGTGCCGAGCTCCGTGATGAAGACGTTGGCTGGCTTGAGGTCGAGGTGAAGGATGCCGTTGCCGTGGATGTGTGCGAGGCCGGAAGAGAGCTCGGCCAGGATCTTCCACAGCCGCGGTTCGTCGAGCGAGCCGACAGAGTCGCCGTACTGGTCGAGGAAGAAGGCGAGCGTGCCGAGCGAGCACAGCTCGGTCTGGACAAAGAGGTGGCCGCCCTCCTCCCACGCATCGATGAGGCCAATGACGTTGGGGTGGCCGCGATCCTTGGAGAGGTGGCGGAGCACATCGACCTCTTCGAGCCTTCGAAGGCGGTCGCGCGGCCCGCTGTAGGCCTTCTTCATCCGCTTGACCGCATAGGCCATCCCGGTCACCTTGTCCTCGGCCTTGACGACCTCGCTGAACTCGCCCTGCCCGAGAATCGATTCCATCGTGAAGCACAGCTCCAGGCGGCTGCCGGCGGCGACATCGATGCCGTGGAGCGAAGCGGTGGTGCCGCTCGGGGTGCCCGGGCCGTCCGGGCCGGCGAAGGCGAGGGATGCTTCGTTGTCGACGTTTGCGGCCGACGCCGGGCCGTCGTGGGCTGCGAACGATTCCGACAGCTGCGAGGCGCGACGGCCACCCTGGATCAGGCTGCGCCGCTGAGCACGCAGCTGCTGGGCTGCCTGTCGTCGGGACGAGGGCGATGGTGTAGTGACGACCTGGGCAGCTGTGGCGGGTTCGAGGAGAGTGTAGGGCAGCCGGAGATAGCATCGGCGGTCAGCATCACTGTTGTGTCGGCCCACAGCATCCAGTCAAACAGGGGCGCGGCTCACCTTCGAACCACTTGAGCGGGGTCGAGGTCCTGGTCGGCGTCATCGGGACCGCTTCGTCGTTCGATTCGGGGTCGTTGTTGAGTCCGAAGCTGCTCTTGCGCTGCAGTCCAATCGAGTTGCGGTTGCGGATGAATGAGGGGCGCTGACGGGCAGCATGCTCGACCTCGCTCAGCTGGGCGCGCTTGTGTCCAGGACGAGCAGACACGTCGATGCCGCGAGTCGGCTTGGCTGGGCTATCGAAGCGCGGCAAGGCCTTCGACGGCGAGGCGGTTGCGCCGGCGTCGTCGAGGGTCAGTCCGAGTCCCGATCTGCTGTTCTTGCGTCCGAGGGCGTGGGAAAGCGGCGTCGCCCGCACCCGTCCCTTTCGCAGACTGGTTGGCGGCGGCAGGCGGTTGGGGCCTCGCTGCTGCTGAAGGCTCGGACTGGCAGGCGTATCGTCCGACTTGACGTCGTCGTCGGCAGAGTCTGTCGTCACCAGCGGCTGGAACGCGTGCGAGAGCGACATGGGCGGCCTCCTCGCCCGAGGCACGGTGCTGTAGGCCGGCCAGCCGTGGCCGTGGCCGTGCCGCGGGCCTTCGTGATCGGTCGTCGGCGGGCTCAGCGCCATCAGGTTGAACGTCGGGCTGTCGCAGGCGTCCGGCAAGAGGGGCGAGTCGGCGCTGCAGCCGCTCGAGACCGAGTCTGCGGCGGGCGAGTGCATCCCAAGAGGCGAGGGCGCCCTTCGAGCCGCCTGAGCAGGTGGCCGCAGCGACGAGCCGCCACCACCACCGCCTCCAACGCCTCCAACGACGGGGAAGGGGATCATGCTGGCAGTTCCCTTCTTGACTGGAGTATCTGGCATCGCGTGGCTAGTCCTGTCGGCATTGGCGGCGGCGTGTGCGTTGGCGGCGGCCACCACCTCGCGCAGGCCGAGGGCGCTGCCAAAGTTGGGCCGGGGCGGTGCAGGAAGGTTGTCTGGGCCGCCTCCGCCTCCATTTGATCCCTCCGAGTTCTCCCTCGGCCGGCTGCGCTTGCTGACCAGACCGGTCGACATAAAGGCAGCCTGCAGCGGCTTGACGCTCTTGAAGTTCTGCGGCGTCATGTAGCTTGACGTGGCATTGGAGGCCGAGCCGTCGGCACAGTGGTGGGACGGCGCCGAGCTGTTGGCTGCGAGGCCCCGCGCCGGGCTGGTGAAGGGCTTGCGGACGGAATGTTGGAGGGCCGCAGCGCGATCGGGTGTGGAAGTGGCGGAGCTGCCATCGGACCACCGGGTCTCGTGAATCAGCGCCGACCTCTCCTTTGGCCCGAAGGCGTTGAACTTCGAGATCGGCGCGCGAGAGTGTGGGGTCTTGCCGTGAAAGCTCGCCTCCCGGCGGGGCGGTGTCGCCGTCATTGCCTCGGCCTCGGCCTTGGACGGCGAGGTCAGGCTGTCTGCCGACAGGGACTTGCGCGAGTGAGTGAAACGACGACCTCCAGTTGCTGCCTTGCGGAGCCCCAGGCTGTTTGCGAGCAGGCCGCTTCCCTTCTTTAGCGACATGGCGTGCCGCTCCTCCTCGCCGCCACCGAATGCCACACCACTGTCGTCCGCACCCAGGTTGCTGGGGTCGAAGATGCGGCTAGGCGTGTCGAGACTGGTGTCGGCGTACCTCGAGTCGTCGGCGAGGCTCGAAGAGCTCGGCGTCGCACGTCGCCTGGCCCGCACCGAGGACGAAGGCGTCGACAGCAGATCCGTGGGCCACGTGCCCGCAGTCGACGGCGACGGCGGTTCCGTATCGTCGAGGTCGCCTTGTGTGGCCGCAATCTCGCTCTGGAACAGCTTGCCCGCGCTCATGGGCGCGAGTGAAGCGCCGATGGACCGCCGTTTCGCGACGCGCGACGGCTCCGGCGTCACGCTTTCCGTCTGTGTCGCTGACCGCGTGCTAGGGCGCGGCTGGCTTGCGAAGCTGAAGAGGGTGGCGGCGCCGGCGAGCTTGTCTCCGTTGAGTGCAGACGAGCTCGAGCTCCGCGGCGTGAGGAATTCGGGTACGGGTCGCGGCACCGCTGCCGACGAGAGAGCCCGGCTGCGCTGGCCCCGGCTTGATCCGTTTGCGCGGCTCCGGTCAGGCGTCATCGAGACGACCAAAGAGTGCGCAGCGGGTGCTGAAACACCAGTGGGAGCGTCGTCGACACCCGTCGGCGGTCTCCGCAAGCCTGGCTGCAGCAGCGGCTCAGCGAGATCAGCTGCCATGCCGCGACAAGCCTGCCCGCCGAAGGTGGCGTCGCCGAGGGGAGAGGGCGAGGGCAGGGGCAAGCCATCTGCCTCATTGTCCGAGTCGACGTCCATCGCGGAGGCTTCGTTGTCGGCGGCAAGCTCCTTGGAACGCAAGAACGACGGCACCTTGCCACGTCTCGAGCCGACCGATGATGAAGCTCGGAGGGTCTCGGGCTCCGTCCTCGATCGAGCGCGAGTTGCATTCGAGGGCGCCGTAAAGCCAGCGAAGATGCCTCTGCCCTGCTCCACCTCTTGATCTTCCTCTGCGTCCGATACGAGGTCGTCCCGTTGCTGCCAGGCGTCAAAGCCCCCGGCGCCAGAGATGCCGAGCCCCTGCATGCCCGCGTCGGAAGGACCACGGCTACGCCTCGAAGGTATCGCCTCGACCGGCATGCCGAGGTCCTGGCCATCGCCGCCGTCGTCGCCGCAAAGATTGGCCGAGTCCCTTGCGGGAGCGACCAGCTTGGAAAGCGGAGCGAGGCTGCCGAATGCCTGGGAGCGCGGGATGCCGGTGGTGGGCGGCCGCAGCTCCGTCGCCGGGGCGAGCGCCGGCTGCTGGCCGTAGCTCGCGGCGAATGGGGTTTCGTTCGATGTGCGAGATCCGAAGCTTGCTGGCGGCGTCATGCTGACGTAGGTGGCAAAGTGGCGTTCAAGGGCGTAGGCGGGGTTCGGGCCCGGCGTATGGCTGTTGCCTCCGCCCGAGACCTGGGACAGGCGATGGTGAGCCCGGAAGGCGTTGGCCGAGGCGGTCTCGATCCTGGCCTGGCGTGCCGCTTCCTCGTCGGCCGTTGCGGTGGGTGCGGCGGGCGAGAGGTCGAATCGGTCGCGAGGCGGGTCTTGCGCGTCGTCGTCGATGTCGTCGCTGCCGCTGCTGTCGTGGCGATGCTGGTGGCTCGATCCGCGACTCCTGGTCCAGGCGCTGGCAGGCATGGCGTCGCGCGCCAGTCGACTCGCGGGGCCGCGCGTCAGCCTGCCTGCGGCCGCCGCTTCACGGGCCTGCTTGCGTGCGCGCGCTTCTTTGGCCGGCGATGCCGAGGGAGACTCCATCAATTTGAGCGTCGAGGGCCCAGGAGCGTAGGGGTCGAGCTGCTGCTGCGACGTGGGAGATCGAAAGACGCCTCCGAGCAGCCGCGGACTCTGACTCTTGCGGCGGCCATCGGCGACCATCGAGGAGCACGGAAACGGAATGGCCTTGGACGATGCGGACGGTGTGCAGCTCCCGTACCGCTGCAGCCGGTGAGGCGAGTTGCCAGGCGTCGACGCGTTGTTGGTGCGGCAGATTGGCGCGGGCGAAAGGGAGAAGGACATCCTACGACGTCGGTGGACTCGGCCCCCGAAGCGGTGCCTTCTATAGCGAGACCGCAGGAGGTGGGTGTGGCAGGCCGTGGCCCGCTGGAGCGTGTATGCGAGATGGCGGTCCGGGCCCTTTGACCAAAGGGGAGGCGGTACCAGCCGAGACGCGTTTGAGGCTAGCGTCGATCGCAAGGCCAGAAGCGGGCACTGGGTCCGAAAGCCGGGGAGCGTTTCGCCGCTGATCGATGGCCGACTGTTGGAGCAGAGGGATGGCTCGGTAGATGTTGGTGCGTGCCAGCGATCCTGGTGGCGGGGCGGATGGCCAAGTCGGACGCTGTGTGGTCTGCGGCGACAAGGTGCGGGTGCGATGAATCCGCAGCGTCACGGCCGATGTGGACCGATTGGTTGTTGTTGACGAAAGCAGGAAGCGGTACCGAACGCGGCAGGGCGGCGGCGCGATAGGCGGGGGTATGTGCGAGAAGCGGAGCGGGCGGGGCCGGGGCCCGTGTGGGTGGGCAGGTACGTGTGATGGATATGAGAGCGCGGCTGTTGCCCAAGGTGACCGATGACGGTGAAGCGAGAGAGCGAGATGCTGAGATGCTGTGACGGTGGTCGAGAGAAGAAACGGCGGAGGAGGATCGGATGGCTGACGAGGCTGGAAACAAGGCGGGCAGAGAGATGGGCGCGGTGGGTCGGGCGGGAAGCAGATGGGCTAAGGAATGGCTAGGTGGCCGTGGTGGCCAAGCGAAGAAGAAGAGGCTGCCGGGTCGGGCGTTGCGCAAAGAGCAGCAACGGGCGCGGCGGGTGGGTGATGGTGTTGGTGTTGGTGGTGGTGGTGGTGGTGGTGACGGGGGAAGGTGGCGTCCGAAGGCGAGATTGAGGTGCAGCGTGGAGTTGGGGGGGTCGTCCATCGGTGCGTGTCGAGATTTTGGCGTGCCGGCTTCATTTGGCAGGCAGGCGAGGCAGCCAGGCAGCCAGGCCCCTGCCTCGTTGGATGGCCGGCGCTGGATGGATGGCTGAGCTGCGTCAGGCCAGGGCAAGCAAAGAGAGGCAGGCCGGCAGGCCAAACGCACGCAGGCAGGGCAGGCACGCAGGGCAGCCCTAGCCTGCGCGTCGGTCCAGCCAAAGGACCCAAGGGCAGGCGCGGATTCTCGGGGGAAGCCCTGCCTGCTTTTTGGATTTTGGATTTTAGATCTTGGCTTTTTCGCCCTCGCTCCAGCCCCCAGTCTGCTGGGCTGTGGTGCGTCGCTCAGCTCACCAACGTCCCCATGCCAAACCAACACCCGCACCGTAACCTACCGTTACCGCACCTCGCTCGACGTCGGGGGCAGCCGAGGCAGGCCTGGCCTGGCCTGCTGGCGCGTCGGGCAGATGTCTGCATCGACCAACGAGCGAGCGCAACCCGAGCCCGCCCTAGCCTCTGCCTCCATCGTCGGTCTGGAACGGCTCGGCAGCCAGCCACCACCACCAGCCAGCAGCTTGGATCTCCTTTGTCCGTCGTCGACCAGAAAGCAACCAAGACGACCGACCGGAGGCGGGAAGCTTGCTACATCAGAGGCTGCATGCCTTTTCAAAGGGGAGGGGCATCGCCGCTCCGCCCCGATCGCCAGGGCTGCCCGCATGCCCGAGGGACGGTGAGCTGGCTGGGCCTGCCGTCAGCCTTGGCCGAGGCCGAGCGCTCGCTCCTCCCCTGGCCGGAGGCAGGCCGGGCGTGCGCCAGACGCGTCGACGCGTAAGCAGGGCGCGACCAGGTCCAGCTCGGGTCGAGAGGATTTGCGTCGGGTGCCAGGCAAAGCGAAAAGGTGGGCTTGCACTGCGGCTTAGGGCGACGCCAAACGTAGCCAGGCAGGGCAGGCAGGCAGGGCCGGGTTGCTCTCTGCTGGCATGCGTGGAAGCCACCCGCCGCTGGCCAGGCTAAGCAAGCAGGCAGGCGAGGCTGCTTGGGCTTGATTGCCTTGCCTGGCCCTGCCTGCCTGCCTGCCTGCCTGCCTGCCTGCCTGCCTGCCTGCCTGCCTGCCTGCCTGCCTGCCTGCCTGCCTGCTGCTGGCCTGCGTTGCTGCGAGCCACCCCTCTGTCTGAACCTTAATCTCGCTCTTCCCGCTCAGTCCGTCGACCGCCACCGCACCGCCTAGCCCTGTCCAGCTTGGCGCCATCCTCGTCGTTCCGTCGTCCCCTTTGATCCATCGTCGAACGTGGTCGTCTCTCCAGCTCGACTCACTACTGCTTGTTTTGTTGACTCACAGCTGCGCCAAGCGCCGACGCACAAAAGGCAACCACGACAACGTACAAACAGACAGCGAGGTTGGCCGGTGCGCTGCGGCGCGGCGCGGAGCTACGACGTCCGGCCCAACGTATGTACATAGCTTGGCCCATCTACGCACGCGTTGGGGCCTAGCGCCACCTTGGCGGCAGTCTTGGTGCAGGCCAGGCTACCGGTAGGCTACATACGACTCTGGTATCCTCTGCTCTCTAGCTGAACCGTCGTAGTTGCTGCGCGGACCGGACCGGAACGATAAGTAGCGGGACAGGTCAAAGGAGCGGTCCAGACTCGATGAGGAACGGTCGGCTTCGCTCGGTTGCAGCGGAGGATTGGCCAGGGCCAACAAAGCTCCTACCGAGCCAGCCCAGCGCGAGCGAGCGCGCGCGCGTAGCGAAACGTAGCGTAGCACAGCTTAGCGTAGCGAACCGTGGATGACGGGTAAACAGGCTAGCCCAGCTAGAGGCAGCTTCATGATCTGCGTTGCAGCTTCGCCGTCATCGGCCCTGCCTTGGGCGGCTTCACAGGCAGTACAGTGTACCCTTACTCTGCTAATTCATCCTACGAGCCGTACATTGGCCGTTCGGGGGTCCTGGAACGCCGAAGACGATGATACGTTCGTAGATCATCATCATCTACCCCTGCCTGTACAAGAGTAGTGGCGCCTTCTCTGCAAGGGGGTTGGAACGACGACGACGGAGCGCGGGATCCTAACGCCGAGGGGCTGCGCTGACGAGGCGCCATCAGGTCTAGCCCGGGATACCTACACTGCGCAACAGAAAAGATGGGCGTTCGACGGTCGGGAGCAAGGAGACATGCCTCACCTCACCTCGCCTCGCCTCGCCTCGCCTCGCCTCGCCTCGTTCCGCCTCCCGCTCAACTCAGTTAGACCAGGTCGGTACGCTTCGGGATCTGTCCCTTTGTTCCCTACGGCAGGAAAGCGCCAGCATCAACATCGAACATCAACAACACACGCGAGGATGCTCGAGGTAGGGCTAGGTAGGGGTACCACGAAGCAGCTTCCACCGGTGTACGCGCGTGCGTGCGGACCTGCCCCGCAAAGCGGGCCAGCTCGCAGTCAGATGCACGGATATACAAGGGAGTGTGGATATCTGACAATCGTCGGCTGCGCATCGTCTACCATCGGTAAGAAACGGGAGGCTGTCGAAGCTTTGGGGGGGACGGCTTTTGCACCTGCGCGCGCGTGCACATCGAGGACGATGATGGGGGACGCTACATGCCCCCACAACCACTTACGGTTGCACGGGCCTGACCTCACGATGGAGATGGCCGATACTCCCTTTGTGTCGACCTCGATGGTATCGTGGGGAGGCACGCACAAACAGATAGTCTAGCAAGCCACACCGCACCGTACCACCCCCAATTGTAGCATAGCATCACCCGCATCGGACCGCTTTGAAACCCAAGCGTGGTTTGAGCTTATCCTTGCAGCAATAGATAGAGCTCAAAGGCATCTAGCTGCCTGTCAGATCGTATCAAACAAGTCGATTGTCGATTGCCCCCCCCCCCCCCCCCCCCCCATCTTCGAACCTCGGCTTGCAACCAAGCGAGCGAGCAAGAAGCTAAGCAAGACTGCTCGAACATACCGATGCAGCGCGAAAAGAACAGCCAAAAAAGGACCTCTTGCGTCCAGACCCGCCACCCGCCACCCCTCCTTCCATGCTTCCGACGGCGACGGCGACGGCGATGTCGCGACGGCGATGTCGACAATGGTACCCGTGCAGCCTGGTTGGTTCGTCTTGGCCCGTGATTGGCGGTGGCGAACCCCGGAAGCACACTACGCTTCTTAAGTAGCGGGGTACGCACTGACGCGGATGCCGATGCTGCTCGCCCGAAGCTTGCTTGTTTGCACACCAAATCAGCCGAACGATCCCACGCGCCACCCCGCGCTCGCGCTCCCTTTGTCCTCCTTTCACACCGTGGCCTTGGGCCCGACGGATCTCGGCTTGCGTAGACAGCATATCATGGCGTTCTGCTCGCTTCCCGATCTCAAAGGGGGTATATAAACCGCACCGTACGTGCAAATCCCGCGGCCGATGGTGGTAACACAAAGGGACAGCCCGTCGACGCCCAACGCCGACGATGCCGCCGCCGCCTCAGAAGATTTCGTTGGCGTACGGACATTCCTCGAACCGATGCCCGTGTTCGCCGCAGTCGTCGCACGCCTCGCCATCCAATTGTCCCGCCGCCGACGCCGATGCCCCGATCCCGGCCCCAGCCGACATGGCCGACATGGCCGGTGGCTGGTCGAGCTGCTTGCAGTCGACGACCGAGTGGCCGCGCTTCGAGCAGAGGCCGCAAAAGTCTTCGATCTCATCATCGTCGTCGTCTTCATCGTCTTCGACACCGCCCAGCGGTCCAGCCTTGCCCTCGAGCGTCGAGGCCGAAGGAGCGGCCGACGTAGCCGCCGCAGCACCAGAGAGCCGCCGCGAAGCTCTCCGGTTGGCCGTTGGCGAATCCTGCTCGATCTGGCTCGTGGTACGACGTCGGACGGGAGCCTCGACGCTTGGTGCGGCTTCAACCGCCGAGGGTTCAGCAGGGCCTCGTCCGTCTGCTTCCGGGCGGGGCTCCGTCACGACCGGGGCTGCGGACCTCTCCTGGCCCACCTTGCGCTTTAGCCGGTCGATTTCGCCCTCGAGCTCGTCCTCGCGGAAGATGCGCGCCTCGACGAGCGCCTCGAGCTCGGCCACCTCCTTGTTGAGGCTGCTGACCTCGCGCTCCCGGCTCCGCTCCACGTCCTTGACCCGCAGGCGCAGCTTGGCAATCTCGTCGTCGTTCTCCCGCAGCCGCTGCTCGCACTCGGCAAGCTTGGCCGCGAGCTCCTCGGCATCGTTGCCGCCGCCGCCGGCCGCTTTGCCGCCCTGCAGCGCCTCGACGGTGAGCTCGAGCGTGCGCGCCTTTTGCTCGGCAGCCCGCAGCTTGTCCTTGACCTCGGACTCGAGCATCTTGTGCTTGTTCTTGATCTCGGCGTTCTCTTCGGTGAGCTGGCGGACGAGGTAGTTGAGGCCCGACACCTGATTGGCAGACGAGGCCTCGCTCGAAGCCATGCCGCCGTTGATCGAGGTGCGGCTCGAGCGGCGGTTGGTGGTGTCGTTGCTCGTCACCGAGATCGACGACGCAGACGAGATCCTCCTGCTGTCGTCGCGGGCCACGGGGCCCGGGCTCGAGAGTGGCACGTCGAGCGACCGCTCTCCCGCCTCGCGGGCGGCGCCGCTGCTGCTGCCAAGCTTGTCGGTCAGCGCCTTGATCTCGGCCTCGTACTTCGACTTTTCCGCCTCCCACTTCTTGCGCGCCTCGTTCAGGTCCCTGGCGGTCGTCGAGCCCCGCACGCTTCCGCCGTTGAGCGACTCGATGTTCTGCACGTCGGCCCGTAGCACCTCGAGCTCGGCTCGTTCCGTCTCGTGCGCCGCCTTGCTCTCGTCGAGCGCAGCGTGTACCTCCTCGAACCGCTCTTTGGCCTCCCTTTCTGCGGCGACCAGGCGTTCGACCTCGGCCTTGAGTCGCTTGATCTCGTTCTTGAGGCTGGTCTCGACCTCGACCGCGCGCTCCTTTTTCTTCTGGAGGTACTCTTTCTCCTTCTCGAGCGCCATCGTCGCCTCGGCGATCTGGTCCTCGTAGTTGCCTAGCCGGTCCTGGAGGTGCGCCACCTGCTCGCGCAGGTTCTCGTTGTCGATCTCGGTCGCGGCCGAGGGCTGAGCCGTCGATCCGTTGCGACCGGCGAGGGCCTCGTACCGCGCCTCGGCGGCGCCGATGGCCTCCTGCGCACGCTGCTCGAGGAGCTTCATGTTGTCTAGGAGCTCGTGGTTCTCGTGCTCGACCTCCTCGATGCGCTGCTCGTAGAGACTGTGGGCGAGGCGGCGGCGAGGCAACAAGGTCGAGCATAAAGCAAGATTGCGTCAGTCGATGACCGTCGTGCGGCGTATCCCTCCCGACCTTGACCTTGCGTACAAACCTGATCGTCTCCCTGCCCGCGTCCTTGAGCTCGTCGATCTGCTCGCCGAGTTCCTTCCTCTCCCTTTGCAGCTCGGCCTCGAGCCTCCGCACGGCGCTCTGCATGCTCTCGATCTCGGCGTCCTTGACCTTGAGCTGGACCTCGAGCGCGGCCTTGGCGTCGCCCTCCTCCTTGACCGCCTGCTCCTCGAGGCTGCGCTTCATCTCGTCGACTAGCGTGGCGCTCTCCTGCAGCTTGGCCTGGAGGTCCCGCGTCTGGCTCTCGTGTTCGCCCTTGGCCTTCAGGTGCTCGTCTTGGAGCCTTTCGAGGCGCTCCTTGAGCTCGCGCTCGCGGTCCTCGATCTCCTTGCGCCTGCGCAGATCGTCCTGGCGCTCAATCTGGCGCTCCTCGTCCATCTCCCTCTCCTTTTCGCGCGCCTCGGCGCGCATCTTGGCGCGCTCCTCCTCAAGCACGGCCTCATTGGAGCGGATCTCGGACATGCGCGCCTTGCGAGCGCCCTGGAGCTTTGTGAGCTCGGCGTTCTTCTTTTCGAGCTCCTCGGCCTGTGTCCGCAGCCGCTCGAGCTCCGCCTCTTGCTCCTCGTACAGCGAGAGGGGCACGACGGCCTCGGCGACCGACTCGTTCTGCTGGAAGGCCGGCTCGTCTGGCACTGCTGTGCCGTAGCCCGAGAACGAGGCGCTCTGCTGGTGTCGTCCTGGCCGAGAACCGGTCGCCGCGGCGGCTGCGGGGCGTCGAGGGGTCAGATCCATGGCCTCGAGCAGGTCCCTCGCTCGATCCAAGCTGCTGTTCCGGCCCGAGGGCGCGGCCTCACCATTCGGGTCGCCGTCGTCGTCGTCGGCAGCGGCCGAGTGGACGTTGCTGAGGCGGCTCGACGAACGCATCGAGAGCGCGCTCGCCGGTCTGAGTGAGCTATCCTTTGTCGGGCTCCGCGGTGGCGGCATCGTGGCGGCGGCCCCGTTGCTGCCCGGCGGACGCGCGAACATTGAGACCCTGCCTTTGGCTGCCCGAGGCGTGGGTATGCCGCCGAGGCTCTGGCGCGCCTTGGGCAAGCCCGGGGTTGCGGGCCCGCCGAGTGCGCCACCAACGAGCGAGCTGCGCGGAGTGCGGGTCCCGATCAGCGAGCTCTTGAGCGGGCTGGAGGGCGCACCTGCAAGCGCACCCTTGACCGGACTGCCTCCGAGCCTACTGCTGACCTTGCCACCGGCCGAGCCGGCAATCCTCCGTTGCTGCAGGTCCTTGGCCGTCATGCCGAGCAGCTTGTGCGCGCGAGAACCCTCGGTGATGCGCTTTTCGGCGGCGGCGGCGTACTCGGCCGACGTCTTGGCCCGGCGCTGCGGCTCCTGGTCGTCGTCGTCGCGCGAGGCGGCGATGGCGCCCAGGCTCTTGCGCGCAGTCAGCCGGCTGCTCGGCCTCGACAGGCTCATGGCCGAGGCGGGTCGGCTTCCCGGAGTGGCCGAAGGCGGCCTGACGCTCGCCCTAGATGACGCGCGGGAGGGCGTCGTGGACGGCGGCCGCGACACGGTGCTCGCCCGCCTGCGACCCGGTGTGGTCGACGGCGGCCGCTCGTAGACGTCTGACTGGCGCGACGAGGAGCGGTTCGACATGGCCGACGCAGGCCTCGCCACCGCATCCTTGGGCGGCGAGTCACTGACGGCCACCACCTTGTGCACCGGGCAGAAGACGCCGTCACCGTCGGCGCAGGCAAAGTACTGCACGCCTTTGACGGAGCCGTTGTTCTTGCCCTTGCCGATGCAGTCTCCAATCAGCTCGAGACCGGCATACGAGCCGTTCATGCCCTGCACGGGGCCCAGGAAGCGGAGCACGCCGGTGAGGTCCTGGCCCTCCATAATCACAATGTCTCCAATCTCGAGGTCCTTGCCCCTCCGCGCCAGCTTTGAAGGCTGTTCTCGCGCTCTGGAGGCGATCGTTGCCGCAGCGTGCGAAGGAAGCCCGGGCGTAGCGGTACTGGCAGCCGAGCCCGACCCTGCTGCTGCCGCTGCTGCGGGAGGGGTGCGGCCGTGGATGTCCGAAAGCCGCTTGGGCGTGGCCAGACCGCGAGGAATCGAGACGCTGGCGCTCAAGTTGGGTCGACCGGCTGGCACCAGCGGGCTCCTGGACCTGGACGGCGAGCCACCGATGCCATCGACGCTAGAAGCGGCAGAGGCCGCACGGCTGTGGGGAGGCAGGCTGGGCGGCGAGAGCTGCGAGCCTTGCGGAACCGGCAGTCCCGTCGGCGTCTCGGAGCGAGGCCGTAGACCTGCAGTCGACCGCCTTCCAATCATGCCTGGCCTGGGGAGCTTGCCGGCCGTCAGGATCGGCGATCCCCGGTCGGCCTCTGCTGAGTCGCCATTGCTGCTGGTGCTCGTAGCGCTGCGGTACTTTGCCGGGTCGTTCCGGGAGATGGCCTCGGCGAGCGACTGCTTTTTGTAGGCAGTGTCTGGGCTGTCAATGGGGCTGCTGTTGGCCGCGAGCGACGAACGGCGGGCGATGCCGGAGGGCGTGGGGAGACCAGAGCGGACGATGGTGTGGGACGGCGTCGAAGGCCCGCTGCTGGAGCTCGAGGGCTGGGACATCAAGGCGGGACGTCGCAGCACCTCGATTTGAAGTCGTGCTGAAGTAGGCGATCAGAGGGCGGGACGGGGAAGAAGAGAGCGCAGTGCGCTCGTGCCAAGCCGCCGGCAGCCTGGCGGAGGAGAGGTACGTGACGGACGGGGCGCGCCGATGCGTGGCGAGGGGCGGTCGAGGTCGGAAGCGGTCTCCGCAGCGGCGACGGGAGGAGCAGGCCGGGATGCTGGGACTAGGTGAGTTCGATGGTCTCGGATGCTCTTGCGAGAAAAGAGCGTGATGCGGATGTTCCGAGGCGAGCGGTGCCGATACGCTCACTGGTCGAAAGCAGGGTCGGAGCAGCAGATAGAAGGAAGGTGGTCTCTCGGACTTGGCAGGCGATGGGGATGAGGTATCAAAGAGCGAGGAGGCGAGGTGTAGGCGGCGATGGCGATAGACGTTGGGCGATGGATAGAGAGAGCGTGGTGGAGAACGATGGTGGTCGTCTGGCCAGATGGAGCCGGGCGTCCGGGCTGCACAGTAAACACGCCTTGAAACAGAGCCAGAGCGTCGGCGGTAGGGAAATGCGCGCGATATTCCGGGGTGAAAAGGCGAGTCGAGCCAGGCCAGAGAGACCCTTGCTGGCTTGCTGGCCGGCCTGGCCGCTGATGCTGCTTTCTTTGGCTCGCTGCCCTCGCTTGGGCCTTGCAGATGCCTGGGTGGCCCGCCTTGCTTTGGGCCTGGCCCCTGCAGCCCGCCAGCAGTTGAGTTGGGAGCGCGCGGCCCCCCACTTCCCTCCACCTGCTCTCTGTCACACGCTGCTGCTCGCCGCGGCTCTGCTGCTGCTGCTGCCAGCCATGCGAGCGCAGAGAGACGTGCTTCCAGGCCTCGTCCTCGTCCTCGTCCTCGTCCTCCTCTCCCTCACCTCTGTCACCTCTTCGTTACACATCCGTCGGCCGGCTTCCTCCTCCTGAAGGACCTCGCCGAACTCTACGACGGGCTGCCTGAGCGCGCCTATCCTTCCTGCCCTCGCTAGGCGCGTTCTGTGTCCATCGGTCCTCCGTCCCCAGCTCATCTTCATCGTCTGCGCTCGACGTCGGACAGCCGATGAGCAGCTGCCATGACGCGCCTCGCTCGTCCAGCGGCATCTGCATCGGACCGCACAGACGATGAGCGCACACCCCTGCTCGCCTCGTCCAGCAACCAGGGCAGCGCCAACATAGGCGACCCTCCCGCCACTGCCATCGATCGAGATGACGACGAAGACGCCGCCGAAGACGAGCTCGACTTTGACGCCAGGTTCCGCAAGTGGAAGGCGGCCGTCGCCCAAAAGTTCCGCCGCTCGAATCGAAGCAAGAAGCGCCACCCCAAGGTCCTCGTCTCGGTCTTTGACGGCGTCGACGGCTCCAGGCAGCTGCTCACCATCCTGACCGAGGCCAAGAGGCAGCAGCGCATCCGCTCCGCCGGTCACGATGCCACGCTCATGTCCGGCAGCGAGTTTGAGCAGCAGGTCAGGCAGGTCAAGAGGGCAATCGAGCAGGGCATCTATCCCAAGATGATCACCACCGGCTCGAGCGGGTCCTACTTTGTCCGCGTGCCGAATGGCGACGCCACCTCGACCGCCGCAGCGACCACCACCACCACCGTGGCCGTATTCAAGCCCAAGGACGAGGAGCCCTACGGCAACCTCAACCCGAAGCGCCAGTTCGTCCGCAAATACCTTTGGTGGGCCATGGGCCGCCCCTGCCTGATCCCGAACTTTTCGTACCTGAGCGAGGTGGGCGCCTCCTACCTCGACTCGCGCCTCGTCCTGCAGATGGTGCCGAGGACGGAGCTGGTCGAGCTCTCGTCGCCCTCGTTCCACTATGCCTACGCCGACCGCAAGGCGTTTGAGACCAGCGGCAAGCGCCTGCCCGAAAAGATCGGCAGCTACCAGACGTTCCTCAATGGCTACGTCATGGCCTCTGACTTTCTCCGCAAGCATCCATGGCCGTCGCGGTCCCGCAGCCTCGCGCTCATGTTGCGCGACTTTGACGACGAGCGGCAGGCGCACAAGGTCAGCCGCAAGCAGGAAAAGGCAAGGCTGCGCAAGTGCGGCATCGCCCTAAAGCGCCTGCTCCTCTGCCGGACCGGCTTCGACGAGCCATCGCCGCAGGACGAGGAGGACGCTTTCGCCCACCCATCGACCGCCGCCGACGGCGGCACCCATCGTGCGACGTCCGAGCAGCCGCACGGCGCTGCGACGATGTCCCTGGCAGACGGCGCAGCCGATGCCTCCTCGATCGATGCCTTCGTCTGGACCCCGCATCGCATGCAGAGCTTCCGCCTGGAGCTCGAGAAGCTCGTCGTGCTCGACTTTCTCATGCGCAACACCGACCGCGGCCTGGACAACTTCATGGTGCACCACGACGCGGCCACAGACGAGATCAAGATCGGCGCCATCGACAACTCGCTCTCCTTCCCCATCAAGCACCCCAACGAGATCCGCCAGTATCCGTTCGGCTGGCTGTGGCTCCCCTCGGACCTCATCGGTCTGCCCTTCTCCCAGTCGACCCGGCAGCACTTCCTTCCCATCCTCAACGACCCGCTCTGGTGGCAGGACACGGTCCACGGCCTTCGCACGATCTTCGCAAAGGACCCGCACTTCGACGAGGCCAAGTTTGAGCGACAGATCAGCGTGATGAAGGGCCAGGCCTGGAACCTCGTCAGGAGCTTGGAGAACTCGGACGAAGGTCCGCTCGACCTCTGCGCGCGCGAGAAGAAGCTGGTCGTCAAGGAAACGCTCGACGCCACCGAGGACAAGCTTGCTGAGCTGGAAGGCGTCAAGCTCCCCCTCAGTCCAACGGGCCTCGTACGGACCGATGCGCTTGGCCGCCCAGATGGCCTCCGGGGGTTGGGCCTGTTCGATACGCCGATCAAGCCGAAGTTGACGCGCGACGGCTCGTCCTCGAAAGCGCACTTCGGACCGTATCCCGGACGGGCATCCGGCAGCCGCCCAATCGGCGTGCGCGCCTCGATGTCGTACCGCCAGGCGCTGATCTACGCCGCCGGCGGTATGGCCAGTCCAGCCGAGGGGGCCCATCCGAGATCGCTGCCGGAAAACGACCTCACGGATCCGTTCGAAGACCGTCTCGGGGGAGAGACCGCGGACGACGCTGACGTTTCCGCATCTCTGCAGCAGTCGAGCACGCACCACCAGCAGCGACCCAGCCTTCATCAACGCATCATGTCGCTGCAGGAGCCCGGAACGACGAGCGCGCTCCTGCTTGGCGAGCCCGGCGGCGACCGAGCCGTCGCGCCGCTCGATACCCCGCAGCCGGGCTACGACACCGTCGTCGGCAAGACGGGCATCGAGATCCTCGAGAGCCTCGACAAGCAGCGCCGAAAGGAGAGCAAGATCTTGATCTTTGGCGGACCCGGCCGCAAGCGCTCGTCGACCGAGTCCACGGTCAACACAGTCGACATCGCCAAGCCGTCGCCATCCAGAGCCGAGCGCAAAAGGGCCCTCGCTAGCGACGGCCTCGACGACGCCACCGGTGGAGAAGACATGATCAGCTCGATTGTGTCCGACCCAGGCATGCACCGCCACGGCCTGCACCGCAGGTCAAGCAGCGACGCTGTCCACCGGCGGATGGCGAGCAGCGGATACATCCGTCGGGAAGCGTCTTCGCAGTGGGACGAGGGTGTCTTGTCGGAAGAGGACGAGGAGGACGAGGAAGAGGCGAATGATGGGCGTGCAGCGACACCCCGATACTCGCAGGGCCTCTCCGACCGCGCACAGGGGCGAGGCGGACCGGCCGGCGGCGCAGTCGTGCCCAGCATCGAAGGCGTCCTTGCGCGTTCCGGCCAAGCCGCCACGCCAGCCGCCCGCGAGAGGACAGGGTCGTCGTCGTCGCGCCGGCAACATGTCCCGCACCTGCCGCACGCTCGCGCCTTGGCGGTGGCGGTCGACGTTGCAGATGACGATGACGGCGGTGAAGACGCCGGTGCGGAGAAGAGCGCCGACCAAGGCAAAGGGGCGCGTGTCGATCAGCAGGGCAGGCCCGGCGGCACGACCGCTGACGAAGGCGGCGCCACCGCCGTGCAAAACGGCATGCCAAACAGGAGCACCGGGAGCGGCCCACTCGTCCAAGCGGTGGGTCACAGCAGCAAAGGCAAGAAGGCGGCCAAGCGCAAGATCAAGGTCGCGGTCGAGCGGCTGGTCTCTGATACCCGACAGGCTTGGCTGACCTGGATGTAGGCCGCGCAATAGGCCGCTTCCACGATGCACAGATAGATGAATCGACACGATACCCTCTGCTGCAGACCAGATGCAGGCAGGCCATCCCGTGACGGCGACAGCATCCGAGCAGCTGCATTGCACTTCACATGCATCGATGGAGGGGAGTGCCGCTTGTCGTGCCCAGGTGGCCCTGCTCAACCACGAGATACGGACGGGGGCAGGTACGGCGCAAGGAACGACCGACAAACCCGCCTCTCGTGCCCCATCGCCTCGACTCGCCATGCCCTGCTCCCTCGAAGACAGGGCGTCGACCTCAGCTGTGCTAGTTCAGAGGGCGATAGAAGGCGCTGTCTTTGTTTAAGACTTTAGAGGCGACGCCGGGAGGAGCGGGGACGCGGCGTCAGTCCAGCGAGTCTGCTGAGCGGCTCGGTGCGCTCTTTGTCCTGGCGGTGCTTACATTCCAGCACGATGCCCTTCTGGGAGCCATTGAGAAGGGGCCACAGCTTGGTGCTGTAGTCCTGCTCTGAGATCGAACCGACCAGACAGCCTTTGACGGGCGAGAGGAGGCAGGGACTTCCCAGATTGGGGCAGTTGGGGAACCTGGGCTTGAAGGAGCATTGGGTACCACAGACGACTTCGACGTAATTGTTGGCCCTGGGCGCGTTGAGATCCACGAAAAAGAAGCCGAGGTAGCTGTTGCAGATGGTCACCTTGCCCTGCGACCACTCGACGGTGAAGCGGCCGATGGCCGGTCCAAAATCCTTGTCGATCGAGGGCGGCGGCGAGACGCAGTCGACGCCGACCGAAAGCGCCAGAGCGGCGACGAGGAGGGAGAGGTAGTTCATCGTTGCAACCTCGAGGCGGGGTGTCTAGATGGGGGGATGCGTGATTGGGGTTGACAAGCGGAAAGAGGCAAGTTTCCTCTTTTCTTATCAGGCCGACTTGCTTGGGGCCCTCATGGCCGACGTGCCAGGTCACTCTCCACCTAGGATATTGTAGGCATTCAAGAGACGAGGCGGTGCGACCCACTTCGCCGCCCTGGTGGGGTCGTCCGGAGTTCCGAACCCGGCCGGCCCGAAGAGTCATGTACAAGAAGCTGATGAAGCGACCTGGCCCGATGCGAAGTGCGCGTTGCAGGGCTGCGGCTACGGCCACAATGTCATGTGAGGATGACACGGCCAGCGCGCGGATCGTCTCTCGGACAACTTGAAGAGGTGGGGCAACACAGGCCGTTCAGGTGACAATGTACATCTGTACGTGCCCCTGGTCTTGATGCGGGGGTCCTCGGGGCTGAGCAGACGAGGCTTTCGTGCGGGAAGCGACACCGGCCAGCAAAGAACAGGCGATGCTTTGGGGAGGCCCGTGAACTGAACAGGGACATGCCCTGGACACGCATGCGACACGGGCGCACTCCATGTGGGGTGTTGAGGGGTCGACGTCGTTGCAGAACAACACCGTCACCGCACCCGTCGTTGAGCACCTTGGCGGGCGACGCCGACCGACGCCCAGCGGGGCAGGGCCTTTCGTACGTACACGTACGCCTGCCGTATCCACGCGTCGGCCCGGTTGTGCCCATTTGTCGAGCGTGCGCGGAATTTGGCTGCTACTTGCTTGTGCTCTGCCATTCGGCCCCACACAACGGCCCAGGGGGGGCTGGTTTGCGTTGGCGCCGTGTGGAAACAACGCCGCTGCCGCCGAGGTGGGGCGTGAGTTGCTCTACCTTTCTCGCACCCACCACCATCATGACCGAGGGCGCCCCGAGTCGAGGCCCACAGCAGGGCAGACCCGCTACCACGGGCCCACCGTATCTTCACCAGCCTCGGATTTAAGCAGTCTTCTCTTCTTCGACTTCCGATGCTTTCCCTCCCAGAACCTTGTTCCTTCCCTTCCTCAACGTCACCTTCGACTCAATTTCTCTCACGATGGTCGCGAACAAGACTCGCTCCGCAGGTCGGGCCGTGCTCATCAGCCTGGTGCTGCTCGCCGTCATGCTGCCGCTCCAGGTGCTGGGCCACCTAGAGCCGCGTCAGAAGCACCGCGCAGCCTCTTCGAGCTCGAGTCCGGGTCCGAGCTTGCAGCAAACGCCTGTGTACACGTGCAACGGCATGACGGCGATCGAGCGGAAGTGCGGCAACGACTTCAAGACCAACAGCGACGCCAAGCCATGCACCGGACTCGTTGTCCAGTTCTACAGCGACGACGGATGCAAGAGTGAGTGGTCATCCTGCTGCGATGCGGGTCCCGGTGGTGCTCGAAACGGTGCTGAGCTTGTCCCGCGTCACGCCTCTGCTGCCATCCAGCTCCGACCGGCCGTCCCTACCGGCTGCGCAACATGGTCCCGACGACCATCTCCCAGTCGATCGGAAGCTTCAAGGTCCTCGACGGCGAAAGCACTTCGGTGCCTGTCTTCTTCTCCGGCCTCGACGCGACGTGAGCACATGCGCTTTCCCCCCACAGCTTCCTTCGACGACCTGCTCAGCTGGACTCACCTCGGATCGCCCCGCATCGTTCCTCTCTGTAGCTGCGCCGTCGGAAACGGTCTCGCCATCGACCCCGCCGCGGTCAGGCAGGCACGCAGCCGACCGGGCGGCGGCTGCATCGTCTCCCCCTTTACGCCCTCGTCGGTCAAGGCCGTCACGTCCCTTGTTGGCAGCAGCATCCAGCAGACTCCCGCCTGGGAAACGTCGAGGTACCCCACGCGGCGCACGGTTGCCGGCGCACCGCGCACGGTGGGCGTCATGAACAACGATGGAGCCACCGTCGAGCTCTACAACGGACCGCGCTGCACCGGCGGTGAGCATTCTGTTCCCCCGCTCTAACCTGGAGCAGAGCTCGAAGTCGAGTCCGTGACTGACTCTGTCACACGTAATCTTTCCCTACCCCTCCGCTGAAACGGACGCTGCGGCTGTACGTGCACACAGCAATGACGAGGCTCAACGTCCTCTATGGCGGATCCATCAACATCTGCACGCCCGTCAGTCCGGCGTTTGGCCGCTTCCAGAGCGCCAAGGTGGTCGAAATCTCGACGGACAGCGGCAAGGCGGTGGGCAACACGCTCTCGTTGTCCGTCAATCCCCTTGACAGCGCACCCGACTCGCTCAGCCACACGTTTGGGTGAGCGTTTTAGCCGCGCCCACCACGCCCTTCCATCGACCGATCCAGATGCTGACTGACTTCACTCCCCCTTTCCTCCCCCCTGCCCTCGTTGCGATGCAGTTGTGGACGAGAGAGCTACGTCACGGGCCTCTCGAACAGTCGCGACGTCCCTCGGATCGGCTCTTGCTTTGACCGCTCCGCCCTCACGACGGTCACTGGCAACGGCGTAAAGGGACCGCAGAACGTCGTTAGCGCCCTCTTCCTCCAGACTCAGGACCCCCCGCTTGCCCCGCCCTCATGAGCAAGCATGGCGCGGCCAGACAAGGGGACGACCCCCTCGCTCCCCCTCATACGAGTCGGCCCGATCGCCTCGCCCTCAGACCCCATGTCGCTCCTCACGTCCCCGGCCCGCAACTACTCTACGCCACTCTCGAGGCGAGGAGCCATACCTGCTCGGTATGCCTTCTTCCGCCTCTCTGACACACTCACCGAGCCCCATCTTCTCAAGAGACTGTCTCCTGCCACAGCCCGGGTATGCATCGGGCGTCTCCGCCGTCTCGTGTCGTCCTGACCGGCCCGGATGCTACGATGCGAGCGTTGCGTGCGAGGGAGAAAGGAGCCAGTTGCTAGGAATACAGGGTATGAGGATGATACAACATCGCGTGCGGGCGAGAGCATAAACAGAAAGCAGACACAGGAGGAAGGGGAGAGAGAGAGGGGGTTCTGGATGGGCAGGGAGAAGGAAGTGGCACACAAGAAGGGTGACTACATACGCTGCAGGGCGTCAAAGACCTCGCGGGCGGTGGGCCGGGCCTGCGGCGAGGCCTTGACCATCGAACGGAGCAAGTCCCGCGCTTCGTCCGGCAGCCTGCCGCCTCCGGCCAGGATCAGGGCGGGATGGCCATCGGCGTACGGCCGCAGGTCCACCCGATAGTCGTCGTCGAGGTCGTCCGACATGCGGGGCCCTCCGGTGGCTTTGGCGCTTGTTTGCTCGGCCTCGGGGTGCTGGACTGATGTCGTCGATGATGTTTGGCGGCTTCGCACCTCCCACGGCGGCAGCGGAGACGCGCCCGCTTCCCTTGTGGGCGTCTGCAAGTCGGCGTCGAGGTCCAGATCCGAAGGAGTGAGGGCTGCGCGGAGGCCGCTCGGACGCATCGGGGGTGACGAGATCTCGTCGATCCTCGAGGGCAGGGCGGTCGGGCCCGGATGGTGGCTGCTGCCGGCGTTGTGAGCCGACACAGTCTCGGATCCCGGCTGGACGCCATCGCCAAACGACGAGGCGCGACGGAGCACATCTGGACGGGCAGCAAAGGGGACGCTGAGCCTGCTCGAGATTGGCGTGCCCGCGGATCGGGCGGGCTTGCCTCGATCCGCCTCGTCGCCCAACTGCGCCGTCCGCAGCCTCAACGACGACGCGGGGTTCTTCTGCTGCAGCCGGCCCATCGAGGCCCTGCGCTCCACGCCAGACTGCTGCGTCAGGATGGGCGACAAGAGCCCCTTTCGCGGCGCCTCGTTCTCGTTGACCAGCAGGCCCCTCGGCTCCGGCGAAGGATCGAGGAGGCAAGCGATGGCGTACGGCGACGGGTTCCGCCCGGATATTGTCGTGATGCTGGATGCGACACTCTCAAGGCTGTCGGTGCTGGCGTTCCTGCCGCCGCCGCTGGCCGAGATCGGGCTGCTGGGCATGGTCAGCGCCGCCAGAGAGCGCGAGATGGCGCCCGGCGACAGGCAGAAGGACGAGTCGTCCCCGCCGCGCTCGCTGCGCCGGCCTCGCATGCTGTTGCTCCGGCTGGCGGGCGAGCTGGCTGGGTTGCTGCTGCCGCCGGCCTCGACGGCCAGGCGATCGGCGCGGCTGTTTTCTTCGGATTCAAAAAACGCCCGCTTGCGCTGGAGGATCTCGATGACGCTGCGGGCGTTGCTGAAGGGCTCGACGCCGGTCGCAAGCGAGTAGAGCACCGCACCCAGCGAGTAGATGTCGATGGGAAACGAAAAGGAGCTGGCGCCAGGCCCGCCCGTTGCGCGGCTCAGTTCGGGAGCGCCGTAGGCCGGCGTGCCCAGCCCCATGCCGTCGGTGGGCGGATCGGCGGGGTTGGGAAAGACGGCCGAGTTGAAGTCGCACAGCTTGATGGTCAGCTCATCGGTCAGGAGCATGTTTTCCTTCTTGAGGTCGGCGTGGATGCACCCGCGGTCGTGGAGCCAGGCCACCGCGCTGGTCATCTCGCGCGCCCAGCAGTGCCACTGCTCCAAGTCGACGCGCTCCGGATGCAGGCGGGTGTAGTTGGCCAAGCTATTCGGCAGCAGCTCTAGGAGGATCAGCAGTCGAGGAGTGTCGGCGGCACCGGCCGACGCTGGCGGCAGCAAGGGGCTGCTCGAAGCTCGCGAAGCATCGCCACTGGCATCCTGACCCTCAGCACCGAAACGGCCGAGGTCGAGCCTGTCCTTTTCCGGGGAGGCGATTTTCAGCGTTGGCACCTCCGAATGGCGAGGCCCTCTCCTCTCGACCCTGAGCGAACCAGTCTTGCGAGCGGCGCTGGCTTTGCCTAGCGTCGCGGAGTCGTTTTCCCAATCACCGGCCACCTCTGCCTCTGTCTGCGCGGCGAGCGCTCGCTTCAGCGTCCGCGCCTCGGACAAGACCTCGGCCTTGCCGGTCATGTCGCTGGTCGAGCGCCCATGAGAATGCGGTGAGGAGGGTGCGGTCGACTCGCTCAACTCGCGCCCGGCAGCGGTTGAAACATTGCCAGCTCGGGCAGCACCGCCGCTGCGAGCGCTCGGCAGCCCCTTGCCGAGATCGGACAGCATGTCCCTGGGCGGGGCCCTGGGCGAGGGTTGGGGCGAAGGCGTGAATTCGACCTCGTCACGGATGTCAATGAGTCGGATGATGTTGGGATGCGCGCCCAGCCTTCGCAGGGCGAAAGCCTCGTCCAGGCCAAGCAGCTGGCTCTGTCGGTCGGCATGGAGCCGCTTGATGGCACACAGCTTCCAGTGCGGCCCCTTGAGGTCGAGCCTGGCCCTTAGCGATCCGGCCGACCTGCCGGGCGAGCCCGGGTCCGACTCGGCCTGCTTACGCTTGGAGTAGTACGAACCCAGGAACACGTTGCAGTGGCGCCCTTCGCCGAGGAGAAACTCGCGCGACGGGCAGAGGCGGAACTCGACGTCTTTGGCCTGGCGGATGCGCGCCTCCTCGCGCTCCCGCTCCTCGGTGTTGGCGCGGCCCAGCGACGACTTGCGCGAGTGACCGCCCGTGGGACGGCCTCCCCCACCGATCCCTTCGGCTGGCAGCTGGCCGGCAGCGGTCGTCTTAAGGGCTGACGACGACGGCTCGGTTCCTTGTGGTGATGCGGCCTGCGAGGCGGATGACGATGGGAGGTCGGCCGAGGCACGCGAGCGAGATGCCGAAGGAGGTGGCGTGACGGTCGGGGTTGACGACGATGCGAAGAAGAGGGATGTCTTGGAGGCAGTGCGAGGCGCGGCGGCGGTAGGTGGCGACGCGGGGCTCTCAGAAATGCTCGGTCCTCTCCCGGACGACGATCGATCCACCGGCAGCGCGGGCGGCGGTGCGGGCGCAGGAGCGATCCACACCGACCGGCTGTTGAAGATGTCATTCTTGCTTGGCGGCTTGACGGGTGGAGGGGTCTTGGCGGGGTCTTCCACGGATTCCTTCCGCCCGTCCATAAAACGAGCGAGAGAGGCCTGGCCATTGGATCCCCGCTCCTTGCCCTGGAAAGGCGCATCATCGAGGTCGGCGACGGCGGGTAGCTGAAAGTCGGACATGCCCGAATCGGGTGGTGTCACTGGCAGGTCGGAGAGCTGCGGCGACAGCTGCTTGTCGGCCTCGATCCGGAGGGGATCGCTAAAGGAAGACGAGGATGAAGAAGACCGCCTGCCAGGAATCGAAAGGCGGCGCTGATCGCTGTGTAGTGCCGCGGCCTGGGATGCCGGGGTGAGAGTGGCATCCTCCCTTTTGCCGCTGCTGCCGCTGCCACCGAAGAGGCGCGCGGATGCATGGCCGAAGAAGGTGTCGAGAGGCCAGGGCGCCTTCGGACGAGAGCCTCTGCGGTCCAGAGCGGACCCCGCGACAGGGATAGGGCCGGACTCGTCGGGACGCGCCTCCAGCTGACGGTCGCCATCTTTGCCCGACATCCGCTCCTTGTCCTTGTCCTTCTCGCGCTGTCTTTTGCCGGCCGCGAGCTTGGCTTCTTGTCCGCGCGTTGGGGCCATCGCGACTCGAAGCCTCGCAGAGAGAAGCGCGGATGGGGCGGCTACAGAGGCGGCCGGCGCGGCTCCACCTTGGCTGACGGATGAGTGGCCTTTGAAGGCCGTTGGAAGAGGTGCGGCAAGGAAAATGCAGCCTTCACCCCGGAGCGGTCCAGCTAGTCTTTCAGCAGACAGGAGGAGGTATGCTATGGGCCGCTGAACATATGGTGCGGCGTCGAAAGTCGCGCGGTGGACGCGATCGAGGGCAAGGCCGGTGCTATATGGCGCCCAAAGGTGCGCAGTAGACGTTGGCGAGGATCGCACGTCGGTCGATGGCCGAGTGGCAGGCGACCGTCGTGCGCCGATGGCGGGGGATGATGCGCAGCGGCAGGAGCGCGGACGGGGCGTTGAAATGTGTGGGCTCCACTCTGTGCGAGCAAGACGAGGGATATGGTCGGGGGGAAGGAAGGGAAGGCCCGAAGGCGGAAGGCAGAGGGTGCGAGGCAGAGGCCGAGGCCGAGGGCGAGGGCGGCACTCTGGCCAGCCGTTTTGGCTCGCTCTCTGACAGACGAGGTGGGGGGGAGGCGGGCCAGCCGCTTTCTCGCGTCCCGAAAGCGGCGAAAAAGTTGGGCTCAGGCGGGGCGGGGCAGCGCAGCGCCAGCCAGGCAGAGTCGGGCAGAGTCAGGCGCAGGCAGGACCGGCATATGCCGACGGCCAGACGAGGTTCCAGCAGCGTCGAAGCCAACGTAAGAAGGCGGGCAGCTGCCACGGCGGGGCCAGGGCCAGGCCAGGCAGGGCCAGCTGTCCATAACTACATGCCTGCCTGCCTGCCTGCTTCTCTTTCGGAGGATTGCCGCCGTGCGTGCCTGTTCGCTCCTCGCCGCCGCCCGTCGTCGCCGGCAAGCCAGCATGCCATGCCTAGGCCAGGCCATTATGCCTGCCTGCCGCCGTCAACTCGAGGAGGGTAGCGTAGCGTAGGTGGAGAGTTACGTACTTCGTCCCATCGTCTGCGGTGCAAACACTTGTCAACCTGCCAACCCGCTCTCCCCAGCGATACAGAGTGCGACGTGATTGCGGGCGGGCGTGCGTCGTCGGCGGCGTCGGCGGCGACCAAGTTGAGGCGAAGGCGCAAACGTCACCAACGCACGCGGGCCCGGCATGCCGCTTCTCTCTTGAAATGGCTGTGTGCCCACGTTCTTCGCGGGCGGATAGGGCTAGGCAGCCAAGAAAGGAGCCGGCCCCGCTCTCGACGATCCGGCACCAAAGCCCCAGCGGCTTAACTAGCCCGTCGTTACACGACGAGATCCTGCCAAGGGGTTCGAGTGGTCAACCTCGGACGCCGTCGTCATCGCCGCTCCCTCGATACGGTAGGACCGAGGAAGGGTCAGGCCGGCAGGGCTGCGCCAAGCGAGGCCGGCAGCGCTCGGCCTCGACTGACGACGTCCACAGAGCCTTTTCCGATGAGGCCAGCGAGATCGGTACTTGGGTCGAGGCTGCCACCATCCCGCTGTCCTAGCCCACTGTGGCCTGCGCCATGGGCAGAGCAACGGCGGGCAGACCAAGCAGCAGACCAGCAATCAACGAGGTTCCCGGTCCGGCGTCGGCACAGCACACCTTGCTGGTGTGCCTGGGCCGCCCGCCTGGACCACCGACCGAGCCCGGCACGCCGTTCGACCGTCTCTCTACGCGACACGAGACGCGCCCTTCCGTCGTCCTGGACGAGGATCACGTCGGGGCCTGGCCGAGCCCCAATGGCCCGCCCGCCGAGATGCACGGGTTCAAAGGGAGGCTGCTCTCTTCCCGACGAGGCCACTGGCTTGGCCCGGCATCCAGCAGGCGTGAGCGGCGCCTCATATTGTCTGCTCGCTGCGCCGTCGTATCCTAGCCTGTGGCTTTGCCCTTCGTCGAGACGACGGCCATCGGCCCTACGGCACTGCCTCCTGTCTGCCGTCTGCCGACCGATTCGGACGCAGCATCCTAGCTCGACGACAATGCCGGCAGACAAGATGGCAGGGCGACGGCAGCGCGCGGTCGTATTCCGTGCGTGCCAAGTTGAGAAGCGAAGCTGGCCAGGAGGAGCTGTGCCTGTGACGCACGCGCTGTCGTCATCCGCCAGAGAAGATATGGCTGCTGGCTGGCAGCAGCCTTCGACGGGCCCTTGCTTGCCCGATCGGTGTCCCGCTTCCGTCGTCGCTCCTCGACCTCGTGAGCTAGAGAGACCGGGGCAAGCCGCCATCCGAAGCAAGAGCGGGGTCGCATCGGTCCGCTCGTCTCCATCGCTCAACGGTGGCTGGCGAGCCAGGCCTGGCCCATGGCAGCCAACAGCCAGCCCCCTTTGCCAATTCGATGCCAGGCAGGGCAAGCCGGCACGTGAGGGCCGCACGACTGGTCGCGTCTACTTGCCGGCCGAGTAGATGGACGGGTGGGAGCTGGTTGGGCAGTGTGGAGAGGCGCCCGAGTCCAACACCCGCGTCCAGCTTCGCCTCGGACCACCACTCTTTCACCTTCACCCGCCACTACCTTCTCCCTCGCTGCCGCAACTCCTCATTGCTCGGCCGCCACACGCCCTTGCGAAGATCTCTTCGGACGATATACGTCGCTGGTCATCGATACGTCGGCTCCTTCGGTGCTCCTGCCACAACACTCTTGGGCTTTAGCTCCGCCCGTACCCGTTCGATCCTGGTCCCCCGCCGACTCCACGCCAACAGAGCATTGGGTCATCGTCTACCACCCTCACATCCTCCTTCGACCATTTATTCTATCGAGCACGCAGAGCTTCTGCCGCAGCCTGCCTGTCCATAGCCATGTTCCACAGTCGGGGATTCGCGCCGCACGAGAACCAGCCGTTTGCGGCACAGGCTCGGACGCCCGGCCCTTCCCGCTCCCACCTCTCACCGACACGCTCCAGAGCCATGACGACCGGGAAGCGTGGGCTCGGCGAAATGTCGTCAAAGCCGCCGTTCGGACAAGACTCTAGCACTCTGGGCCCCAAGCAGCTGTTCAAGGAGCTGGCCTCCAAGACGCCGGCCAGAGCGCTTGGTGATCGTACTAACAAGACGCCTGGCCTGAGGAACCGCCAGGGCCAGAACGAGGACAGCTCCCCCGCCAAGAAGGACATGTCTTCGCCGTCCAAGGGCAAGGCCAAGACGGCGCTGCAGTCCCCCTCCAAGGGCTCGCAGAGCGTCAGCCCCAAGAAGGCCGTCGGCCAGCCCCTCCGCACGCTCAACGGCAAGATGAAGGAGAATGCCGCGACGCCCTTCTCCCGCGCCGACCAGTCCTACGCCACCGACATGAGCTCGATGATGACGCCGGCTCCAAACGCTCCGCTGCTCAAAGGCCGCATGATGAGCAGGCAGACCAGCTTCGTCACGCCGGCCGCCAACATCGGCAAAGCGGGCCAGATCAAGGCGAGGATGGGCGAGATGCTCGACGCCGAGCTCGGACTCAACCTCGACGACCTCGAGGCGCCGCAGCTCGAAACGCACCAGTCGCAGAGGGAGTTGACTGAAGAAGAGCTCTACCCGGAGATCGAGTACATGCCACCGAGTACCTGGGCGACAAGTGAGTGTGCGGGAGGATGCCGGCTGCCTAAATGCTACAGGCCGCTGTCGACGTCTCGTAGACCTCGCTCACCACTCTTTGCGTCCTGCCGCTCCGCCTCGCTCCACCCCGCTATGCCTTCGCCGCCCCTCTTTTGCACCTTCTCCGCCAGATCCGCCGTACGAGTACCCCTCCGAGCTCGACGGCGTGCCCAGCGCCAAGGAGCTGGCCCAACAGCTGGCCACCTTCCGTCCGGCAGGCTTCCTCAAGGGAGTGCCTGCTGAGCTGTCGGACTCCGAGGATGCCAAGGCCTTCCCGGAGCTGACCGGCGACGCTCTCGACCTTGGATCGCCGCCACAGCTGAGCGACGGTGGTGCCTCTGACGATGATCTCTGGCCGGACGTCCCGATCAGCGCGTCTTCCGCCGAAGCCGGGTCCGCACGCCCCTCTGATCGCCTCACGAAGGTCTCTGCTCGACCGACCGAGCCCCGCAAGGCGAGCTCTTTGCAAGTGAAGAGCCGCACCCCGGCCACGGCCACTTCTGCACGCGCAGGCGCCACTTCGGCCTCGACGATACGGCCCCGCTCCCAACCCTCGTCGGCATCATCGTCGACCACGCTCTCGCGACCCTCGACCAGCGCATCGAAGGCCTCGGCTGCAAGCACATCGACAAGGTTGGGCGCCGCACCGCCGGGTGCGAAAGCCGCCAGCGGTCCTGCTGGCAGAGGCGCGCCACCCGCCGGCTCTACCAGGCCCGGACCGAGCCGTCCATCCAACCGGATCGCTCAAACACCGACGTCGGCAAGGCCGGCGTCGAGCAGCAGCGCTGGAACCACGCAGTCGCGCAAAACGAGCCTGATGCGATCCATCGCGCCGCCTCGGCTGGCAACAGCGGGCCGACCCGCGACGGGCGCGAGGCCGACGGCTCGGCCGCCACCGCCGTCTGCTGCGCGTGGCGCTGTCCCCGCGCCGCCGAAGCCTCGCATGCAGATGAACGTCAAGCTGCGCGACCTCAGAAACGACGATCTCGGCCGCTTTGTCGAAGAGAAGATGCAGCAGTCGACGGCTGAGACGAGCTTCGAGGGATTCGACCTCGAGCCGGTCATCGAGGCCAGCGACGAGCCCTGCGCGGCGACCTCTTCAGCTGAGCCCGCCCCAGAGGCATTGGCCCTACCCGCTGGACAAGATGCGGAAGAGACAGCGCCGGAGCCAGTCTCCGTCTCTAGTCACTCTGCTGCAGAGCCAGCGGTCGAAGGGCCGGGTTCGCCGCAGCCCTCACTCTCGTAAGAACAGAGTCGTTGCGTCCAGAGCAAGCAGGCAAGCGAGCAAGCATCGCCGGGCGTTGAGCTGCGCCAGCAACCATTCCTTCCGTTCCCGCCGCTCCACCTCTGTCGCGCGTTCGTGGATATCCCAGCTGTGGCGTCGTCGCACCGCAAGCCAGAGCGGCCACCGTCACCCAGAGTCTCGTCGCTGTCCATACACCCCCTCATGACCTACTCATCGCATCGTTTTCAGGTCCCCTGTATACATAGCGTCATCATGATGCTAGCCCGGGTACAGGCGTCGTGGCCCGCCGAGGCCGCATGCCATCCCCGTGTCGTGACCCTGTGCCCATCGCGTCAGTTGCCGCTCCTCGAGTCTCACCCTCTTTTTGAGAGCCGCACCCTCTGCCTGTGCGTTGCGCGCGCCGAGCAGAAGCAGATGAGGCACGGCCGCCCGACGAGCTCGTCGCCACACTGGTGGCCGAGGCAAGCTAGGTCCGCAGGCCCTCTTCCCAGCGTCAGCGCTTTGCCGACAGACCGCCTTGGGAACGAGGCCTTGCGAGCTTGTCGTCGTGCTGGCAGGGCTCGGTGAATGCGACGACGGCTTCCATTTGGGAGCCCCTCTTGTCGATCCCGGGCTCGAGACGTGGTCGTCCCCCGATACTGTGCGGTAGATGAAAGGAAGAGGTAGGCAAGAGAGAGCTGAACCGGTCGATGGCGGCAGCAGCAGCAAAGTAGCAGCAGCGTGCACCTCCGTCGGCCATCTTCTTGGCCCTGGCAACGCTGCCCGGCCAGCTGGCTTTCCAGCCCCCCTTTTGGAGGAGCCCGTGCGTAAGGTCGCCTGCCTGCCTGGCCGGCTGTTACGTTCTGCTGCGTGCTCCTCCTTGCCTGCTGCTGCTGGCTGCCGGCCTGTTGTTTGGCAGGGGCGGGGGGGCAAGCTGCCTTAGCTTCCTTGGCTTGGCCCGGGGTTTGTATTGCAGGCCAGACCCGGCTGCCGCGGGTTCTCAATTCGGGCCAGGGCGCTGTTTGTATTGCAACCCGCGAGGGTGGGCGGATGGCTTTTGAAATGGACCCCGCTGGCCCGCCCGCCCGCCTGCCCGCCTGCCAGCCAGCCACGCCGTGCCGAGGCCCGCTCGCACAGCCTGGCCAGCCTGGCAGCCCATCTGGCTGGCTTGGGGCTGGGCTTGTGCGCAACGCAACGCAACGCAACGGAGCGCGCCAACGCTAGCAGCTGTGCTTGCTTGCGAGTGAAGCTGGCTGCCTGCTGCTGCTCTTTGAGCTAGCTAGCTGCCTGCCCGCCGGGTCTGTCGCTTCGTCTCGCACACCCTTTCCCGTCCGTCCGCTTGCTCGATCTCGACCGCCTGCTGCTGCCTTTGCTTCACCTCGACCCTCTCGTCGTCGCCGCCGCCGTCACCGACAGCCCTATCCAGCCCATCCCCCAGCAGCATTATCATCCGCCCAGATTCTCGCGCAGGCTCGACGTAGCAGGCTTCGGCGTCATCGCACCCGCGCGATCCCCCCCAACGAACGGCGCCATTCTTTGGCCTGATCGACTCCTCCGCTCGCCCCAGCGTTCGACCTCCTCGCTCCTTCACATCGACGCTTGTACGGCACCTTTGAGGCTGTCTTGGATCCAGCCAGCCAGCGGCATCAGCCTGGCGAGGATCTGCTCGCTCCCCTTGCCACAGCGCATCGGCCACAAGTCGGACCGCTGCCGACGCCCATCACCCCGCTTCGCATCGCTCTAGCTTGCTGTCTGCCATCCCCGCTCAGCCAAACCTCAGCTCCTCGCGGTACCTCGGCTTCTCCTTGCGTTCAGCCTGGATCGGCCCGACCCGCATCTTGTTCACCACCAACTCTGCCTGGGAAGACAGCGCCGTGCATCGACCACCGGCTGATCCGACCGGCCTCGCCATCCCCGGCGTTGCCAGCGCGCAAGCGCCGCAGGATCCCGGACTTCGGCATCCAACCCGACGGCTCACCCCCTCTGTGTCGAGCCCGGCCTTCTCGCAGCACCGCCCAGCGACCACGCTGCTGCACCTCTTGCTCTCGCAGCCTACCACCGAGCTGCCGTCCCCTTAACGACCGCCACCGCCTCTTCTGCCGACGCTGCTGCTGCCGCCGCCGTCGTCATCCTTTGGCCCGGAATGGCGAGGCCATCCAGCGCCTATATCGGCGACGAATTCTCGTCTCTCCAGCATGACTCGCACGTAGGCATCAACATGGGCGCGTACGATCACCTCGGCGGCGGCAGCGGCGGAGGCTCGGCCGCACAATACGCCTCCGCCTCCAACAGCCACCGCTCTCCGCAGGCGTCCGGGTCGGGTTCAGCTTCCAGGTATCAGTCTGGCAGCATGGCACCTCCGCTGGGCCCGGGACCTTCGTCGTCGACCACTGGGCTTGGCTCGCTGGGCTTCGACTCGCTCGACACGCACTCGGCCTCGAACGCCATCTCGACCTATGCGTCGCCCCGCCTGGCCCAGGCGCACGCTGGCGGCTCCAGCGATGGCTACGATGGCAGCCGCTACGCGTCCAACGCCACCCTTGACCCTCACCGGGGCGGCAACGGCCTGGCTCGCGACGCTGGGCTCGGCCGCTCCCTCTCAATGGGCCACGCGACCCACAGTACTCACCGCGCCAGCACCGGATCGGCCCTGCACAGCGGCTCCCATGCTGCGACCAACAACCACCCACCCACCTCGGCGCCCTATGACCAGCAGCACCACCTCCTCGGACCGACGACGTCATCCTCGTCGTCCAATTCGCGGGTCAGCAGCTATGCGATGGGGAACAGCCCCGGTGGCGGCGGGTCCGGCTCGCAAGGCGCGGGCGCCATGACCAGCCTGTCGTCGGCCCTGGACCTGCCATCGTCTTCGTCGACCGGCCACGGCAACAGCAACACTGCCTCAGGCACGACGGCCGGCATGCACCGTCAGCCTTCCAACCAGCATCCCAACAGCCTGATGCCCGCGTCGCACCTCGGCGCCGGCACCGGCTATGGCGGCAGCGGCAGCGGCAGTCGGCGCTCGTCGGCCATCCTGGGTGGTTCGTCCAGCGCGCACTATGGGTCAAGCGCCGCGCCGCGCTCGCCGAACTCCACGCACGACTCGCTGATGCCGAGCGCCTACAGCCCCAACCACACGGTCGGCTCTCAGCGGTACTCCACGAACCTCGGCAGCTCCGCGCTGGGGCGGCGCAATAGCGGAAGCAGTGGCGGTGGCACGTTCATGGACCTGACGCCGCCTGGTACAGGAGGTCTCCGAGAATCTCGCGGTCCGTCACCCAACCAGCCCCAGCGGAGTCAGTACGATGCTCAAAGTCTCGGCGGTCTTGGCGACACGCTGCCGTACGCCTATACCTCTTCGTCATCCTCGGCGGCATACGTGAATTCCGGAGGCGCCGGGTCCAGCGCCAAGCATGCGACTGGCGGCAACCTTCGCAACTCCCAAGGTCCCCCGCCTCGCTCTAGCAACGCTGGCAACTCGGACTACGGCGCTGCCTCGCAGAGCAACAACAGCAACAGCTGGAACCAGGCTGCATCGCTGTCGAATTCCCGCAGCGGAGCGGCAGCTACGGGCGAGTCGCACCGGAACATCGACGTCGGGGTAAGCGGGCGGACGCAGACCAACGCCGGTCTCTCCTCGTTGCGAAGTTCAGGCTTGTACGGCGATCTGACGAGCGGCATCCATCCACAGGCCTCGGACCAGGGCAACTCGTACGCGCTCCCGGCTCCCGGCGATCACTCGCGGCGCACCAGCATGCGGAAAGAGCCGTCTTCGCACCGGCCACGACGGGCCGTCGAAGGGTTCCGGCGGGTGCGCGACCTCGACGACCTTCGGCCAGTGATGGACAAGAGCACCGCGGCGGCGAGCGGAGCAGCAGCGATTGCGGACGGCAAGGCCGCCACAGCGGCGGCCAAGACGACTATCCGGCGAGCCGATCCCGCAGGAGGCTTCGTCAGCCCCCTCAAGGCGCTCACCGCGTACCTCCACCACACCTACCACCTCGTCAACCCGGCCTTCTTCTACGAGCTCAGCTTCAACCCGCGGAGGGTGCTGACCAAGCCGAGCAAGCCGATGCAAAACGACGGCTACGACAACGAGGACAACGACTACATCCTCTACGTCAACGACTGGCTCGGCACGGAGGAGGGCCACAAGTACCTCATCCTCGACACGCTCGGCCAAGGGACGTTCGGCCAGGTGGTCAAGTGCCAGGACATGACCACCCACGAGATTGTCGCGGTCAAGGTGATCAAGAACAAACCGGCCTACTTCAACCAGAGCATGATGGAGGTGACGGTGCTCGAGATGGTGAGTCGTCGCGGGGGCTAGATGGCGGCGTCGGCCTCGAGAAGGCGCGCGGGGCGTTTCCTTCCATAGGTGCTGTCGTTTTCGCCGATCGCTGACACTGTCCTGCACTGCCTCGCCCTGCTCGCGCACCTCCGACCATCCCCGCAGCTCAACGGCAGTTGGGACCCGCACGACGAGCATCACATCCTGCGTTTGAAGGACACCTTCATCCACGCCAAGCACCTCTGCCTCGTGTTTGAGCTGCTCTCGTCCAACCTCTACGAGCTGATCAAGCAGAACTCGTTCCGGGGCCTGAGCACCAGCCTGGTGCGCGTCTTCACCGCACAGCTGCTCGATGCCCTCACCGTGCTCTACGAGGCCCGGCTGATCCACTGCGACCTCAAGCCCGAGAACATCCTGCTGAAGACGTGAGTACAAGATATGGTCCCCTGCCTGCGCACTGTGCGGGGCTCTGCTGATCCGCGATGCAATCATCGACCGTCGTCGCCTTCTCCTCCCGCCCACGTTCGCCGACGACAGCCTGCAAACACCGAGCATCAAGCTGGTCGACTTTGGGTCCGCCTGCCACGAGAAGCAGACGGTCTACACGTACATTCAGTCGCGCTTCTACCGGTCGCCAGAGGTGCTGCTGGGCCTGCCCTACTCGGCGGCCATCGACATGTGGTCGTTGGGTTGCATCGCCGTTGAGCTCTTCCTCGGCCTGCCGCTCTTCCCGGGCACCAGCGAGTTCAATCAGGTCTGCAGGATCGTCGAGATGCTCGGGTGAGTCGAAACCAACTTGCCTCGCCTCTCGTTCCGGGCATCGCAACCTATCGATGCCGCCGACTGACCGCGATCTCGCCTCCTGGTATCTGTGATTGTCCCGTACACCTTGTCTAGTCTGCCGCCGCAGTTCATGCTGGACAACGGCAAGCAGACTGGCGAGTTTTTCCAGGTCTTCAGCGACGAGTTTGGCCGCAAGAGCTACCGCCTCAAGTCGCTGGAGCAATACTCAAAGGAACACAACGTCCAGGAGCAGCCCAGCAAGAAGTACTTCCAGGCCACGACGCTACCGGACATCATCCGGACCTACCCGATGTCGCGCAAGAGTGGCAAATCGGCCGACGTCCAGAAAGGTGAGGACGACGCGGCGGCGAGATTAGATCGCGTGCAGGGCAATCGAGAGCTGACCGATTGACGAGGCGCGGTTCTTCCCACTTCATCTGCACCTCCACAGAGCTGGCCAACCGGAACTCCTTCATCGATTTCGTCAGCGGTCTGCTCAACATGGACCCGCACGAGCGGTGGACGCCGCAGCAGGCCAAGCTGCATCCCTTCATCACCGGCGAAAAGTTCACCAAGCCCTTCCGACCGCCTGCCACGTCTTTCGTGCCGAGCTCGACGGCGCTCGCCAAACCGAAAGCGCCCGATGCGGCCAAGCATCCGTACGGCGGCCTGCCACAAACATCGGCCCGGCCATCGGGCAAGTCGTTCCAGGACGCCGCCGCCTACAACCAGCACTTGGCGCAGCAGCAGGCCTACAACTCTGCCCACCAGGCGGCCGCCGCGCGACAGGCGCAGCCCGCCATCAACAACCCGTACGCCAGGGAAGAGGCGGCTGCGGCTGCGGCGCAAGCCCAGCATGCCGAGGCTCAGGCGCATGCAAAGGCCCAGGCTCAGGCAGCTCACGCTCACGCTCAGGCCCAGGCTCAAGCTCAAGCACAGGCGCACGCGCAGGCCGTCGCAGCTCAGCACTATGACGTGCGGCAGTCGTTGCCGCCGGCGGCCTCGTCGTCATCGTCGTCGGCCTACTACAGCCAGGGCGGGTCTTCGGGCGGCCAGCGATCCGACCATCGCCTCAGCGTGATCCCGCCGCAGCTGGCCAAGTTGGGGATCGACCCTTCGCTCGGCAGCGGCCAGAGCATCACGTCGCTCGTCAACCGCGAAGACTCTCTGCGAGAGTGGGAGCGCCGGCAAAATGGCCTCGCTCCAAGCCTCGGTGGCGGCGGTGGCGGCAGCAGCAGCAGCAGCAGCAAGCGGCGCCAGTCACAGTACCAGCAACTCGACCTTCTTCAGCAGCAGGCTGAAATGGCTGGTAGCGGGGGAACCGCCTGGAGCTCCGGCTGGGGTTTGTCGGCGCCGTCTTCGTCGGCCACGGGCGGGCCATCGGGCGGCTCGGCGGTTCAGTCGCCGCAGTCGGGCGGCTTCTCGGTGGTGGTCGATGGCCAAGAGCGAGGTGGGAGGATCATGCCCAACCCGCACGACGGCCAGGGCTCGACCAGCTTGGCATCGCCCTCGATTGCCGCTCCGCCGGCCGCCTACTCGTCGTCTTCGTCGCTCGGCGGGCGCTACCAGCCGTCGCACAGCGCATCGCACCACGGCTCGCTGCCGCACCACCACCTCGTTGGTGGCGGTGGCAGCAGCAGCGCTGGCGGCGGTGGAGCGTCGGGCGGCCTCTCTGCGCTGAGCGGCCTCGGCATGTCGTCGCACAGCGGCGGTGGCTATGGCGGTGGTGCCGGTGGCCTAGCTGGCCTTGGCAGCGGCGCCCCGTCCGGCGGATCGGGCGTCGTATAACTTCGTATAAGTGTATGCTATACGAAGTTATTACGCGGGGTTTGTATTGCAGGCCAGACCGGCTGCCGCGGTTCTCAATTCG